TGAACTTTCAACTTTGATTATAAATGAAAATGAAAACCTGCAAAAGTACTAGATTAGCTGCCAGAATATTTTCCTATACATCCGTCATCTATTGAGGAAAAGCAGCACTGACTGCTGTGACCGTAACGATCTTACAGTTCGCTGTAAAGGCAGAAAACTTATTTTGATCAGCTGGTGGGTACACACTTCACTTTCCTTAATTTTTTCATTTGCCACTTATTATTTTCAGGACAGTGCCAATATTATCAGTGACTAGTTTATTAGTACATTATTTACCTTGCATATTGTTGATTAAATATTAATTGAGAACAATCGTATATAATATCAATTGTGATTTAGTTCAGAGTGCTAAAACTCTATAAACACACTTCCAATCCAAGTAAGTAGAACAGTTGAGATGAAAAGGGGCTGAATAATCAATATAGTAAGGCATACTTACCTAATATTTCGTGAAAAAAAAATAGTGATTTTATGAGGACCGTAAAACCATGAAACATTGGTTAAGTTGGTTGAGTCATATTATTCCTATAATTTCCAACAATTATTGTGGCTGTAATATCGGACAAATATTTTTAGCAAAATTTTGACCTTCAAGCCAATCAAAGGAGGTTCAGGTTATTATTTTTGATATTTGGAAGTGGGATACTCCGCTTCGAAGTTTGTATGATGCGAACCGCATTTACATTAAAATTTACCTTTTACATTAGGTAGGTAAATATCATTTACTCATATGCATAGATATTATAATATATATAGTAGTCTTGCGACCTAAGACGCCGGTAGCTTAAATTCGCAATCCGCATCGGCATGGGGGCTTGCTTGTCACAGTGGCGTACGAAGTACTTACCCGGGCGCACCATATAAAAAATTTTTTTTGATCATATCTATATCACTGTTAGTAGTAAAAAATGCGCCGAAGTCGGAATTTTTTTGTGTTCAAAGTCAATATTTTTCAATTTAATGATCTGACGAGGATTCCCTCACTCCCTCTTATACTAGATTTCCTTAATGTACTCAATTGTCTGCTAAATATGGAGAAAAAAATCTAGTGTGCTGTGTATTTACAAATATGGATGGCTACCATTACACCAGATAGTTGAAGCAGTGACGGCTAAATATCAAGTAAGCTGCCGACCATGTATGATCAAAAAATGGCCACAAAAATTCAAATAAGTAATTCAAATGCAATAATCACAATTAAAAATGTTCTTATCAGTATCAGCACACGTCACACGATTTATGTATACCCACCCAATTGCCACACACGCCAACCCATCCAACCATGAGATGTATAAGTGATGTATACGCCACATCACTTTGTGACATGCGATATCGCATTTGAAGTCACAAACATGTTACCGATACAACGTGGCGATGTGAAAATGTCCGACTCAAGCAACATCACTGTGACGTCGTTCAGACATGAAATGCGACATCACATGAAAAATCACTATCAGGTCACATACAAGTGTACATTTCATATTACAAATACACTCGCAAATACATCACACTGCGACATCGATGATGTGGTCGCCGTACCTGTGATATTCGTGGGATATAAAATAATAATAATTATTCAACTTTACGAAGAAAATGTTTATTTTCCGAAAGTAAAAACAGATGATACAAAACTTATCATGATAATCAACCTAATTAGTAATCTTGAAGTAAAACATGACACATATATATAGCAATACAAATATACATTTTTCATCAATGATACATATCAAATACACTTATATCTTGGGATCTTTCATTCACCTTGTTTTAGATTGCAATATTCCTATCTCAGAGATAATCACAATATTACCTATTGTGATTGAACTCGCCGTCGTTCCTAAATGATTGTATACCTCCAATTTGAAGCTGATATAATATGTGCTATGAATCATCTCAGATATTTCAACAGAGAATTTGGAAGGAAATAGTCTGTACGGAGTCGGACTGACTGACTGACTGACTGACTGACTGACTGACTGACTGACTGACTGACTGACTGACTGACTGACTGACTGACTGACTGACTGACTGACTGACTGACTGACTGACTGACTGACTGACTGACTGACTGACTGACTGACTGACTGACTGACTGACTGACTGACTGACTGACTGACTGACTGACTGACTGACTGACTGACTGACTGACTGACTGACTGACTGACTGACTGACTGACTGACTGACTGACTGACTGACTGACTGACTGACTGACTGACTGACTGACTGACTGACTGACTGACTGACTGACTGACTGACTGACTGACTGACTGACTGACTGACTGACTGACTGACTGACTGACTGACTGACTGACTGACTGACTGACTGACTGACTGACTGACTGACTGACTGACTGACTGACTGACTGACTGACTGACTGACTGACTGACTGACTGACTGACTGACTGACTGACTGACTGACTGACTGACTGACTGACTGACTGACTGACTGACTGACTGACTGACTGACTGACTGACTGACTGACTGACTGACTGACTGACTGACTGACTGACTGACTGACTGACTGACTGACTGACTGACTGACTGACTGACTGACTGACTGACTGACTGACTGACTGACTGACTGACTGACTGACTGACTGACTGACTGACTGACTGACTGACTGACTGACTGACTGACTGACTGACTGACTGACTGACTGACTGACTGACTGACTGACTGACTGACTGACATGGCCATGCACAGCTCAACATGGCGTCTGGCGTGTGCGTTCGTTTTGCGCATGTCTGCGTCACACTCACAGGTCACAAAGATATCTCATGAGGATATCAATGTGAATTATTTAGTTAACGTCGAAGAGATGTAGTTTGAAGAAGTCGCTGCCACATTTTACATAGTTTCCTGGTTGCGATGTCACTTTGCGACGTTGATATCGAATCTACGTCGATAAGATGTGTTAACCTCGGTGTCAACGAGATATTGCATTTATGCAAGGTTGTTACATCACACAGATGTTGATGTCATACGATGGTTGGCTGGGAAGATGCTGTTTCTGTCGGCCTAAGATGACTTCTTGGCATCTGGAAAATTTTCTATTGCTCAACATAACGTTTCATTCAGCAATGGGGTAATAGTGGCCTGCCAGCATTTCCCCGACAAGTCCGGTCACCATAACCCCAATAAAAATTTCTTTCAATCGACATTCATAAAACAAAACTTTTTATTACTAGAGCCTACCTATTGTTTATAGTTTCAGTATAGGTATATAACAGAGATTTTTGAGTCTGTTTCTCAAAATGTACGTCTTCATCAACAAATAATATCTCACGCGTTAATTATATATAGACATTTGTTACAATCGACAAAAAATGAAATGAATTAGTGAAAACAGTTTCTTTTATCCTCAACTACAGTTCTCAACACACTAAATGGACCACTCATAATTTGACTCTATCTCGAAGACCTGTATTTTTTGAAAAAATTTACCGATCTTCATGCGGTTTTCGATATCAGATGTGATGTTTCATCGGCTTCACAGAATATCGAATTATATCTGTTAGAATCGAAAACAATATATTGTAATTCTGAGGAAATCTTATCTCTATATCATTCATTGAATATACATATAATGCAATATTCTGTGATAATAGCCAGGGAGGTATACTTGGTATATCTGTTTAGATATGCAAACAATAGGTACAGTGCGGCCCAAATAAATTGTAACGACGCTTGGTCGAATTCAAATTGCAGATGTACTATTCATTGCCTAGAAACGAACCGTTTCCCTCATTAGCATTTTATGACCTGCTTCGCGCTGTAAAGGTAACATATAAGGCGTTTTCGGAAACTTACTCGGGTTGATCATACATAAACCGAGTCACCTACCTCTGTTCGGAAACTTGAGTCATGCTAACTCGATCACTGACTCGGCAAAGAGGAGAGGGGGACTAACCTACTATTCTTTGGACTCGGGTTGATTTTTCGTGACCCTACTCAAAAGCAGGGTCGCCAGAGTCGCAAAGGAAACCGCATGCGCATAACCAATTTATCAAAATGACAATCGAAAAACGCGGGACTTTACCACTCCACGATAACCACAATAGTTTGCATGTTGGGAAAAGTTTCGATCGGTGATATAAATTTTCTTTATTTAGTAATGCATAGGGTAGAAAATCTGTGTAGATGTGAAGTTTGTGGTGTTCAAGTTCACCAATCACTAGGTAAATACAAATATTTGTAACCATATCAAAAAAGTACTTGAATATAATGTGAACATTTTCGTCAATCAAATTCACGAAACCACAGAAATAAGATTAAATTTTATGTTCCTAACCTGACACGTTCGAAAACGTTGAACACGAGTAGGTGATCCGAGTTTTTTGTCACGTGACCTCTCTGGATCGAGTTAACAACCCAGAGTGAGTTTCCGAAAACACCTATTGGGTGTCCTCAGAGGTGTTATAATTGTTCGAACGTGAAAAATAACAATGTACGTCCTTTGCCACAGAGCGCTAAGAAGTTTTAGGTGAAAGAGTAAAATGTGTTTTTCCCTGTATACTGATTGTCATCAGCTATTCAGTCTCCAGAAGTTCAAGCTATGACTCTGAAACATAAATCCACGATTTGGTCGAAATTTCAACATAATGGAACAAGAATTTAAAAAGTTACTCGGCGATCAATTTGCCTGAATTTTTTGCTGGACGCTTTTTTTTTGCCGGTGTGTGTATTTTTTCGTCTAAGACTTGCTGTTGTATTGATCATGTACTGAATCTATGAGTAAATAAATCAATATTGCTAATATCAATAAAATCAAGAGTTGTGACAATAAAGAACAATCTGAACCAATACAAATAATAAAAAGCTTCATATAAGGTTCTGGTACGAGTACCTACTTTATCGGTCGATCTCCATCGAGATCTCCATGTAATCATTGAAATATTCTTTGTTAACAATATTGATAGAAAGGTTATCGACCAATGATTAAAATACAGAGTAAAGTGATAATTACCTAAGATTATCTATCATCAAGCGTAGGTCCATGCAGGTTCTTCTCCATAATTTTGATTGAGTAGCGTTCAGTAGTGAATCAAACAATAAGATTTAGAGTATTTTTAGTGTATAAAGGGGTGTTCCAAAATGCTCTACAATGATGTTGAGGGCGTATATTGTGATCAAAATTTTATTCCCCATTAAATTAGGTACAAGCATACCTCTATACGTCTTTCTGAATCACCCTACATTCAATTGTTATTATACATATTGGATGTTTCTAGGTAAGGTCACCCATGGCTGAAAAACAATCTCAGTTCTCGTGAGTACAAAAATCTTTCAATATCTCCTATCCAATATAACAAAATAATAATGTTCCAGACTAGTTCCTAAAATAGTAAATGGCGGTATCGCAGGTATTATTGGTGTCACCTGTGTGTTCCCATTGGATCTCGTCAAAACCAGATTGCAAAATCAACAGATCGGTCCCAATGGAGAAAAAATGTACAGCAACATGTAAGTTATATCAATCAATTACATTATGTGCAGAAAAATCACAGCACAAAAGTAGTTCAAAAAATAGATCTCTTCATTTTATCAACAAATTAGCCTTCGATGCTGTCAAATCTAAACACAAACTTGACGTTTTTTATCTCGTTTTCCATGAAATGTCATTATTTGACAGCATATGCGCTCGCCAGGCAAATTAAAGAAAAAACGTTGGCATCGCTGCCAAGAACCTATTCTTGCATGATGAAAATAGTATATTATGTAACAAGTGTTATAAACGTCCTTTTAGTAACGAGTAGTTTAAGCACGAGCGGAGCAGAGCGGAGCGAGTGTTTAATAAACGAGTGTCTAGAAGAGTTTATAAACGCGTTACATACTATGATTTTTCTACGAACCCCAAAAATTGAATTAACATACCTGCAATTCCTGCTAACCTACAAAATAATTCGAAAGGAATGGGAATTGAGAACATAATACATGCAACTGCATGCAACCAGCGAGACACGTATAAGTGATATTGGTTGTAGATGTGTCCAGTCCATTGCTTACTAACCTTTGTTACACGTTTATTGTCATGCTTAGCGCAGAATGAATAAATTGTTCTCAAAGATGGATGCTTATCATGTTTACACTTCTTGGAGATATGCGAGTACCAGAACATTCTCTTCGATTTTTCTTTCGTCTACTTTTCGCATATATTTTTAATGAAGAATTCTGATACAAACGAATATTGTTTGAATAATTCTGATACAAAATTCGAAAATAACAGTTGACAATTAATACAATTGACAGGCCAGATGTGTCTGAAATTACTGAAGCTGTGTTTAATGAACTGCGTTGCCATGGTAATGTGTTTATGAAATCGTGTTGCCATGGTAACGTGTTCAATATTTTGAATAAATCACAGATCGACAATCCGTGATTAATCGATCATTTAGCGTGGTACATATCCGTACGCTAAATGCCATTTTAGTTATGTGAGTAGAAAAATACCATGAGTGATCTATTAAACACACCCCCTGATGTAGCTGGAAGTGTAAAAGTTTGAATAACGTTTTCTCCCACTGGAACTATGTATTATATATATGTTCCCTTCCATTAAGCTGACATTGTCCACGAACTTTCGACTATGATTAATATGGATCTGGATTCATAATACATTGCTACAAATGAATCATTTCCTTTATTCCTCAGGGTGGACGCCTTCAAGAAAACCTATAGGGCAGAAGGGTTCTTAGGCATGTACAGAGGATCAGCTGTGAACATCCTATTGATAACACCTGAAAAAGCCATCAAATTGGCAGCTAACGACTTTTTCAGATACAATTTGCAAACCAAAGAAAAGTAAGCTCAGAGTGAGGCTCATAGGGGAGACTCTTTATGATCATTGTACTAGTTCTAATTTGTTTGTAGGACTCTTCCTATCTTCAGACAAATGGTTGCTGGTGGTCTGGCCGGACTCTGCCAAATTGTTATTACTACCCCTATGGAGTTGTTGAAGATCCAGATGCAGGATGCTGGTAGAGTTGCTGCCCAAGCACTTCTAGGTGTGTATTTTCCTGAGGACGGCAAATAGCTCGGCTCACCTTAATATTCTCGTGTGTTTTACAGTATATTCGAAATTAATGTGAAGGCCTGCCTTTTGTGGGATCCAAATGATTTAAAAACATGTATTTCGAAAATGGATCTTGGATTATTCAGCTTGCAATACTTGTAGTAAAATTCCACTACAAAAACTAAAAGATACGAGAGAAAATAGGTCGAAAAATGGCTCTTATGCCTTTTGAAGAGGCTTTCCCGAAGATTTTCTCAATTCATGATTCCCGAAACGGTTTGAGATGAAATGATATCTTGTATGGAACACCCTCTGTTACATTTCCCTCATAAAATCTGAATATTCAACGTTTCACGAAGGTCTAGCATATCCCAAAATATTAGTATATGTGTTTAATTCTCTTTCCAGTGGGCAAGACCGTCAAGAAAACGTCAGCGACACAGCTGGCCTTAGGTTTACTCAAACAACATGGAATTCTGGGTCTCTACAAGGGTACAGGAGCTACCATGTTGAGAGACGTAACTTTTTCTGTGATATATTTTCCTCTGTTTGCCACTCTGAATTCATTAGGACCGAGAAAGAATGACGGATCAGGTAATACCACAAGAAAATACAACAGTGAGAAAAACAAATGTTTTGATTAAAAATGACTCGAGCAACAGTTACTGGTGTTTCTCCAGCCAGTTTGTGTCATTTTTCAATAACTATCCAATATAAATGGCGGAGTTATCCAGATTATAAGACTATGGACTTGTACCAAAGATTGAATAATTGATGATTTATGATTTTCAGGCGAAGCAGTCTTTTGGTGTTCATTTCTATCAGGTTGCACAGCAGGATCATTTGCAGCTCTTGCTGTGAACCCGATGGACGTCATCAAAACGAGATTACAAGCCTTAACAAAAGCTGAGGGCGAACGGTCGTACTCGGGTGTAGGAAACGCATTTGTGTAAGTAAAAAGTCTTGAAAATCATCAAAATTGCGGGTTATAAATTTACATATTTTTCTGTATTTATTGCAGTAACATTTTGAAATATGAAGGACCCACTGCTTTCTTCAAAGGGGGCGCTTGCCGTATGATAGTTATTGCTCCACTGTTTGGTATCGCCCAAACAGTGTACTTCCTTGGTGTTGCAGAATACCTTTTAGGCTATCAAAGAGGTTAATGACACTCATAGATATCAGTGGCGCATGCCTGAAGCAATGTCAAGTAATAACTAGCTGAATTATTTCAATTTTAATTATATTTATTCTAGCCCTAGGTCATTTTACATAACTTTTAGTTCGTTTTAGAACTGGCTATGTTTTTGAAAAAAAAGCCAATTAATGAAGAAATCGAGTAGGTATACAGAGCTGTGCTGTTATTATGTTTTTAATTTTACTTGTTTATTTTTTATATAACTTTTATTTGATTGCTCAGTATTACTCATGTGATCTGCAGCATTTTGATGAGATTAATTTTGTAGCAATAATGTTTTGTTGATATTGTTATGGCTATAAAATGAAAATGTTGGTGGAATCATGACAATAACTATATGCTATAGTCTGGCGTTGGTCTGGCATTACGGATAGATAGTAAAAGCAGCATATTTCAAATTAACAAAAGTCAGAAACGAGTAAAATGTTGGATGTTTTGTTGTTTAATGTGTTTCACTAGAATTGCCGAGGAATTAAATATGATGATGATGAATATGATCAATAGTTTCTGAAGTTTATCAAAACTATAAGGGACATATTCTTTTCGAAGTTCATTATAATATAAATACAAGACTAGCAGGAAAAATTGAACATATTGAATAAAATTATAGGACTATCAAGTTGGAATATGTTCATTTTGAAATCGCCATGTATGTTATGAAACTGTACAGATGTTCATAGGAGGTCAATGATATACCTTCAAAAAAATTTGCGTAATTCGAAAAATTTATAGAAATAGTTCGACAAAAATATCTTCACACTTCAGGCTTCCAGGGTTCATTTAAATTCTGTGAGCTCTTTCATACTCATTTTTTCAAGTTCATAAAGTTTCTAATCTACTATTGTGTACAATAAGGTGTTTGAAACATTCATGTAAACAATTTTCAAGTTAATTTTTGGCATCAGATCGAAAAATGTGTATCCTTTTAAATTGTAAAATTCCTTTTTTATTGAATGAACATTCGAAACACTCTTATTATATGATATTGAATCATATTACCTATCTATAGATATTGGACCTGAACTAAATTTTGTTCTGAACTCCAACATACTGTACCTATATCGAAAACCATCAAGCATTTTTGGACGTCAGAAACTTTTCACTTTCATTCTTAGATTATTAGAATATTCCTACTCATATACATTTTTTATAGATTATTGTCAAATTATTTTCCTATCATTATATTCACATATATTTTTGTTGAAGTGTCAAAATCATATTCTTTGTGTCCTATAGGTATAGTAAACAACCTATACATAGTAGGTAGTTAACATAGGATACAGTAATTTTTTATTTATATTGTTATGCTATTCGGCTATTCCAAATCATGAACATTTTGTCAATTAAATTGTAAGAGAGCAAAACATATTGACGTACATGAAGTGAAGGGTGTATCTGTTAGGGGAATCCAGATATTTCGGTGGAGTTCAAAAACACCCTGTATATTTAGGATCAAAATAAACTGGTACAGTACATGTTCTAACTTGTTTTATTTTTTTTATCCCTAAAACTGACTTCATTTGTTTGAATGACACAGTGGTAATTTTTGCGCAGACTCTAAAATGTAATCTACAGAGTATATTAAATACATATTATATCATGTCAAACAATGATATATATATAGTAAAAAACATCTTTCATCATTTTTGATACAGATATAGATATCTACATACCCAGCGAGCACAAACATCCCTGGGATGTTTTGGGATGTTTTGAAAATGTTGGCATGAAGATGTTATTTTGAGACGTAATATATGCACTGACCAAAGAGGTCTTTGAAGGATATTGAAGTATTGTTTTTGTTCTTCTGTGGCATTTCTTTGTTTGCCTACTGAGAGGTATCCCTGGGATGTTTTAGAAATGTAGGCATGAGGATGTTTTTTGAGGCGTAATATGCACTTCCCAAAAAGGTCTTAGAAGGATATTGAAAGTATTGTTTTTGTTCTTTTGTGCCCTTTCTTTGTTTGCCCCACCACAACGTCTCATGCTCACGTCACAATACGATAAATTCTGATTTGTTTTCGATTTTGTTCTTCTTGTTCGCAATTGGCATTCGCGTTTGCAGCGTGTCACGCTTACATCACGCTGCTAACGAACAGAAAGGAATTTGCTGAAGTTTATTGTGTTAGAAGACTTATTTAGTTTGTAATAATGACCATCAGATGCAAGATGTGTTGTTCGGTGCCTCAGTGTAATCAATATATAAAAGTACGAATGCATCAATACACAGCTTCTCCGCAGTTGCAAAATTATGCATTGTGGAGAACATTTCAAAAATTGGAAAACCTATTTCCAATTATATGTCTGTGTGTAGTAAGCACTACCCAGAAACCGATTAAGAAGGTAATTTCATATCAAGAAAATATTTTTATGTTCAATCTATTTTTAATGCATTTTTTCATTCAAGGGAAATGGAATCCTAATGCAAAAGTTCATTTTGACGTTTTGACAAAAGGCTTCAGAAAAATACCTCGAAAATGTTTTTTTTACAGCGATTTAATGTGCGCAAGACGCGTTGAAAATGTTTTGTTGTGTCCATGAAAAGGCTTTGAAAAGAACAAGGGAGAAGGTAGTTTTGTGACATATCGAGGACATCTCGATAATTGCCGCCTGCGGCGGACATTGGCTGTTCTATAATAGTTCTATTCATGTGTGAACAGAACATCGCAGTGGAGGTTCAATGTCTCGAAATCTCGTACTTTTAACATCTCTGAGATGTTTTTGTGCTCGCTGGGTAGTGTAATTATGGGCTTGTGTAGGCAATGTTTAAATACGAGGAAACTTGAAATATTTTTCCCATCAAACACATATAAGTACAAGCCTTCTTCAATTTCATAGTAGTTTCGACAGAGGCGGATCCAGGGGGCGGGGCATGAGGGCCATGGCTTGTAATACTGGATATCACAAAAAGTCTGTGTACGTCGTTATAGCCATCCTGTATACAGGGTTTCTAGATTATCGTAGCATCGTAGTGGCCGTTGAAATAGCTCTGCTTATGTGGTTTACAAACATTGAAGCGACCGAATGTGTCAAAATTCAGTCTCCATAAAAGAAAGGAGGCAAATCAATAAAATATCATTTATAGAGACCCTGTATAATAACAATAATTTTGAGAGCACTTCATTATCTTCACTTTTTTTATCCAATATATCGAGTTATATGACTGATAAAAAACGCTTCAAGCCATATAGCTCTGCTATTAGTGATACGATTTTAGAAAGAGCAAAAACCCCTCAGATGATAATTATGAGTGAGCTATCTGATTTTTTTTCAAATTTCAAAGGTTATGTCAGCGAGAGTCAACTTTTTTGCATAATATAATTTCTTTCTGATCTAGAATTTTTTTTTGAATACAGTGATGTATATGACAAATTGACTTTTGAACAGAATTAGTTGAAATAAAAAATGAATGGTCAGTTGACAAGACATACAATTTTGGGATGCATCCGAGGATACACCATTTAATATGACAGTAAATATCACGGAAATGAATGTCAGTATTCCAATTGTCAGATATATTTCAACACCACATTTGATTTTGAAGTTTGCTGTGAGAAAAATTTAAATATTCAAAACGACGTTTCACACTTACATAGGTACTTTGAAATTACAGACGGTGCCGAAATATTGGACAGATAATGAAACATTGACGTTCATTTCATTGACAAAATTTTATTAAAATATATATTTTTGGAAATTGAGAATGTATTTTCTATATTTCAACTAATTTTATTCTAAAATCAACTTTCCTTGTCATAATTATCATTGTATCCAGAAAAAGAACCTCGAACAAAAAGAATAAAATCATACTTAACATCAAACAAACAAAAATCAGTCGCATTCAGTTGGAACTTTAAAAAATAATGATCAAAGCCTATAGTCATAGGATTTGATTAGTAATTTCTTTCGTTTTTGTTGTCTGAAATCGGATTAAAAAGTGTGCTATGGTTTTGAACGGTTTTTGTCAGTTATCCTGTATATTCATGAAATATATATCTAATATTTTGAACTCTTTTTTTAACAGGAATTTTGATACTTGAAAGGAATGAAAGAACACTGAATATTATTTTATGTTCACTAAAATCGATCTTCCTATACAAACAACATTTTTTTCTGATGGCACCAATGAGACTCGATTTCTTTTTTGCTTTACTCAATGAGCCTCGATCTCCTAGCCCCCCCCCTTCAAACATCGCCTGGATCCGCCCCTGAGTTTCCTCAGTATTTGCGACTGAATAACCTTGTATAGTATCCTAGAACTATCCGTCAGATAAGTCAAATTTGATAGAAAACGGTCGGTACATATGACAAAATATGTCAAAAATCATCAAAAATATTATCATTATTGCTGTTACAAAAAAGCTGATTCAAATGTTAATTTCCTGCAAACTCGAGGAGAACTATTCTCAGTGATATACTTACTACAAGAAGCTGCCTATGGTACAAATAAAAGTTGATGAGGAATAAGCCACAATATAGCATTGAATAAGATTTTACCACATTCTTGAGATGGCAGAGAAACAGTCGTCTTTCTCGTGAGTATTCTGCAGAGCTTTTCCTTCGGAGTTTTTATGAAATAATTCCGGGTTTCAGATTATTACCAAAAATAATAAATGGAGGCATAGCCGGTATAGTAGGAGTCACATGCGTTTTTCCCTTAGATTTGGTCAAAACTAGGTTGCAAAACCAAAAGATCGGTCCGAAAGGCGAAAAAATGTATAATAACATGTAAGTAAGTAAATAAAACTTGTAAATTATTCTTGAATATGTGAATGTTTCAATTGTCGAGTACCGTCAAATGAGGTGTGATGAGGTGTGACTTCGGACAATCGGTATTTTCCTCTTTCAATCCAGAATACATCTGAAGTGGAGATCGGTATCGACTCAACACTCTGCTTTACGGATTTTCGAGCTGAATTTAGAGCATATTATTAGCAATTATATTTTGTAAGGCTCATGTCCAAATAATGGTTTGACCATGATGTATTCGGTCTTCAATATCATGAAATATTTTTATACAGGGTGATAACTAAAATAACAGCATTTTTGCTGGTGATTTCGGACATTGGCCGGAGCAAGAGAAAAGTTCCTGGTGGTCGTTGTTATAGGAGCCACACCAATGGGAAATCAGAATAAGCCACAAATGATGTGAAGAAATAGATGGATAAAGGTATCATTATATATACTACGAAGTGAGCTTCTTGAGAAAAAAAAAACGAATGAAAGATCATGTCTGGTTTTTCCTTCCATTCACAATTGATGAAGTAACTGTCAGTATGACAGGCATTCATCAAAAAGTCATATTGGAGAAGCCAAGGCAGCACCAGATATTCCATGAATCTTCATATCATATTCTTAATTATCTGGAAAATTCTCTAAATATGCATATAGGAATTCCTCAGATATTCATAGAATATGTCTAAAAGATTATTCTATATTGAATGTTCCTATGAACATATTCTATAATAAAAAAGTGACCCAAAAGATGCATGATCGAACACGTGCCTTCAGAGCAACGCCTTAACCACTCTAGCCCACTAACCAAAGTGGAAAGGTATATATGTTGATGCAATGTTGAAGCAATTACTGGAAACGGACGATTAGCAATATTGTAAAGGTGAAGATTGATAATGTATAGCGTTGCAGCAATATTACATGTTACTGTGACAGTGCTGGAACGTTACATTAACAAATTTACATTTGCAATATTACTGAAAGTGTTCTCCCCTTACAACTCCTTATATATAATTAATGTTTGATACCTACATCTCTGAAATAATGATTATTGGTGTTCATCTGTTGAAAAAACATGGGAATATTCAAGGAATATTTCATGAATATACAACACAAAATATTCAGTCGATGGGAATATTTCATGAATATACAACATACAATATTCAGTTGGGAATGTACATGGAACATTCATACCTGAATATTTCCTGAACAATCCATAACTAGAGTATTCTGAGATTATTCAGTATTGAATGTTACTTCGGAATATATTACAATCTAAATATTCATAGAATTTGGGTAATGTTATTTCATTGAAGTTACCTGCAAATAATATTGGTGTTGAAATCATCAAATGAGTTCCTGATTATGTTCATCATTAGAAATTTTCAACATTGTTGTTGTCCGAATTATTTTTGAAGGGGGAAGATATCACTTTTTCATTCCTTATTGTCCTTATACAATGCGCGTCCGAAGTCTTCCTCCATGACTAAAAAAGTCGGACACGCTTCTTCCAAAAATGTGGTGAATTTCATGTTTATAACTTATTTGAGAATCAAAAATTGTGCCCCAAATCGATAGTGAAGTGTCTAAATGTCGGTTTCACATGGTTTTCCACATGTGTCCGAAGTCACCACAGCCACACTTTTCAAATAAAAAAATATTTTCTAAAACAAAAACTGAAATTTTATATCACATTTTCAAAATGTTATGGCGAAAAAACTATAAAAAATGTCCGAAGTCTCCTCATTTGCCCTTTATAATTTCCTATACCTCATCTGTGATTCAGGATAGACGCATTCAGGAAGACTTATAAAAGTGAAGGATTCTTCGGAATGTACAGAGGATCCAGCATCAATATTCTTCTGATAACACCTGAAAAAGCCATAAAACTGGCTGCGAATGATTTTTTTCGATTTCACCTACAAACTAAAGACAAGTAAGACGGCTCTATATTCTTTTTTATCCAGTGGGTACATGAATGAATACCAGCTCAAACTCACCACTTTCTCAATTTTTCTAGACGACTTCCAATCTATAGACAAATGATAGCAGGGGGTTTGGCAGGCCTTTGCCAGATTATCATAACCACCCCTATGGAGTTGTTGAAAATCCAAATGCAAGATGCTGGTAGAATTGCAGCCCAAACTGGTATAATTAATATAATTCAATAATTCTGTGACTCCTGATCCTCTTCCACAGAATCATTTATTTATATAAAGATTATTACTTCAGGAGACAAATCACTGGCGAAGATGTCTGCCACACAAGTGACGATGAATCTATTGAAAAAACATGGTATTCTTGGACTATTCAAAGGAACTGCAGCTACAATGCTCAGAGATGTTTCTTTTTCTGTCATTTATTTTCCTGTTTTTGCGAACCTCAATGCTATGGGTCCCAGGAGAACTGATGGATCAGGTATATACGAGATAAATAAAATACCAAATTTGAGATTTTCATACTGATGCTAAATATACATTTATGCACCGGCAAATATACCGGCCAGCAAAAATTAAGCCAAATTGATCGCCTTCCCTAATAACACAACTCAATCCAATGAACATCCTCCTCTGGACATCTCGGACATCCATATGACATCCAGTTTGTGTACACTAGATGACGTATTCAAATTTAGCTATCCATATGGTATCCGTCATGGACATCTTTATGGTATCCGTCAAGGACATCCATATGGTATTAATATTTCCATGAAAAATCGTTTTTTAATTCATTCATTCAAGACAGTTGAGTGTCTTTTCATGTATTTCAATAAAACGTTTGTTAATAGTAATAGTTTCGAATTTTTATAAGTTTGAACTATTGAAATAACAACTTTTTTATCCTGTGTGTGATTTTTGTATCTTGGTCAGTTTTTGATGAAACAATAAAAATGTCAATTGGCTCCAAATTTTAATCTAGGTGTTTTCAAGACTCCTATTGGGATTACTCAATAACCCTAATTAGAATCATTTCGCAATTTTGGGGCTTGGTCAGTTTCCAACCATAATGAATTTTGGCACCATAAAAGCTTATATACAGAGGGGTTATAAATAAAAACAATTGATTCTTCCAACTTCAACATATCCTGTATCTCAAAAACGGAGCAGGTTAGGACACATGTTTATATGAACCTATTTGAAACCATGTATTTCTGGCCACATTTAATCATCAATTAATAAACCAACCGTGGAAAAATTCTACGCGATATAATAATATCCTCCTTCCTTAATTTGATTCTATTTACATTAACTTTTAGGTGAAGCTGTCTTTTGGTGCAGCTTTCTGTCAGGTTTAGTTGGTGGTTCCATAGCTTCTTGCTTGGTAACCCCTATGGACGTGGTGAAGACCAGGATTCAAACACAAACTAAGGTAGAAGGCGAAAAACCTTATACGGGAATACCAAATGCATTTGCGTGAGTAGTTTTTGTTTCTTCTTAGAAGCGCCTGGTACCTATACGGGGTGTTATTCAAGTGTGTGGCCAAACCTCGAGGGTCGGTTTTTTTATTTTTTTTATTCCTTGGAGAGGATATAGGGAGAGGCGGTAGGTATTTGATTTGTTATTGAACTTCTGGAGATTATAAGTTCTTGATGGAAATATACTTCCTCAGTAGCAAGTTTCGATAAAGTGCTGTTTTTTCGAGGTTGACATCCAAAGGATGTGCCGATTGGGCTATAGTCGAGTTCGTCTGACTGGTATTGCTAATGATGGAATGATAGCAGAGATTTATGAAGGGCATTTCCCGTGGAAGAATCAATATGGAAAAGTGGAAGGTCGCCGACTTTATTAAACGACGTTCCAATATCATAAATAAAAATTGAAATGTAATATTATCTTGACAAGAAATTTTGAAATTCATAGTCATCAAACCAGACGATATAACTTATTCACTATCATGATACTGAAACCAATGTAGTGGACTCAATTCGTGGGAAGTGATTCTAAGACAGATAGTTCAAATGAATATACCTCTAGAAATGCATGATTTTCAACATACAGAGTGTAAACTTTTTAAGAAACGAGTTTTTAGTAATTTTAGTGTATCTTACTATACTACAGTAAATACTGCAATATTTCAATATAATTAGATTAGAGATTTTTGCGCTATTTACGGAAAACCGACTTTTTATATATTAATGCGGCGTATTTCCGGACCTTGCATTTTGGTCACATACTCAACACACCCTCTGTGTATAACTTGAGGCTGGGTGGATTATATTCTATCTATCTTACTTAATTTTCAGTTCTGATTCATCAATTCTAAGTTGTGTTCCAAATTGAAACATATTTATTAAAAATGCGCCCATAACATATTTCTGAAAGCTATAAAGATTTTTTTTTTCCTGTAGAGGGAGTTGATTTGAAGAATTTGGCTTCATCAAAATATATTCATGAAAATATATTCATGAATAACTGATAACGTGATGAAATTTCTAAATGTTTTATTTTTCACCAATATAACAGAGATTTGGAAATATTATAAATACAAGGGTTGGACATATCGCTGTATGAATTTGCTGCATTGGCTATATTAATATAACTTGTTGCTGCTGTCAAAATCGTGCTAGCAAATACAATAAAAACGCAAACGTAAACTTCAAGATATTCCTCGAAGAAAGAACTTCTTGGCCACTCCTCTACTGTCCTGTCTAAATCTTCTCTTATATATCTGCTTATACTTTCTTGAGACGGTTCAACTCCTTTAGTGAGTACTATGTTCGTGATAGAAGACATGGTCAACTCTTCGAGGTGTTTCGTCCTCAGAGATTTCATCTTCAGGAACATGATGGGTGGTAGAATGAACGCGAATGGTGCGACGAAGGCTCCGCCAATTAGAGACATGACTAGGTCGAATTGTGGGACCGATTCGGCTATTACTATGGCCAAAATTGTCAGAGTGGTTCTCAAAATACATCTTTTGGTGTTGAATTCTGAAAAGAAATCATAAAAATGAAGTAAAAAAAGTCCGTATATGACACAGTTGAATTTTCCATCTATTGTCAATGAATAATGTTGTACAGTGCTTCCCATTCAGTTGAGCATAGATGTTGAGATTGCCAATCGGTTTTCGCGTTTTCTCGTAATTTCTAAAATATTGAACGAATTTTGAATTCCCGCCTAGATTCTGCATGCCTTTTTCATCGTCTTTCGAACCGTTCCTTACAGCTTCTTCTAAATTGATCAGGATCCATGATACAGGGTGAAACAAAGTTACGTGCATTTTAAAAAAAATGTCTCCGCCCCCCCATTTTGTCGGAAGACCACGATGCTCATATTTTATTCAGGCATTTCATGAATAGCAACCATACCTCGGGACTTTTTCGAGTTTTTGCCAAAAACTACTGTGGTTTCCGAAAAAAAAAAAATTGTTTAGCATTTTATTTTAAATGGACTAATTACCTGTTTCCTCAAAACGATGAATCAGTCTTTTTATTGTCATGACTGACTTATTGAAAATGGTACTTAAATGAGTTAGGGTATAAGGTATATCCTAATCGTCGTAACCTGAAATAATAATTATCTGTACTGAATTATAGTTTATATCACTATAGTGATCTTACCTGATATGATATGATATTTTCCATTTCGACCCGATTTGAACGAGGCATCTTTAAATTTTTCAGGACCCGAATTACACTGACGTTTTCATGAAAATTGGCAATTGATATAACATATAATATGCATACCTACATTGTTTCAACAATACGATGTTATAGAAACAAGGTATCGTTGTTTGTTTTTGTTGATGAGATGTGTTGATTTACTGCTCACTTAGGTAGAAAATTTTTATCATAGACTGCGAAGTAATAAATTATTGATTGTTTTTGAGTAACTTGGTATACATATCTGCTCCAACGATTTCCTGAAATGCATAAAAGCATCCATTTATGGAACTTCTCTAAAATTAGTCCATTAAAAGAAATGCAAAAAAAAATTATTTTTTTATTGGAAACCACAGTAGTTTTCGGCAAAAACTCGAAAATGTCCTGAGGTATGGTTGCTATTTATGAAATGCCCGGATAAAATATGAGCATCGTGGTCTTCCGACAAAATGGGGGGGCGGAGAATTTTTTTTCGAAATGCACCCTGTATCACGGGTACTGATGAATTCAGAAGAAGCTGTAAGGAACGGTTCGAAAGACGATGAAAAAGGCATTCAGAATCTTGTCGGCAATTCAAAATTCGTTCAATATTTCAGAAATTACGAGAAGTCAAACTTGATGCCAAATTTCACTATTAACGTTCAATTGACGCCCAGTTTAATAAGCAACATAATTTGTTTCTGAAAATAAAAGGGATTTTCATTTCGATAATCATCAATACACTTGTAAACAAAAATTGTTTCATTTCATGAAAACTGTATCTCGATTCCAGATCCATATGGAAAAATGAAGGATTCACAGCATTTTTCAAAGGAGGCGTTTGCAGAGTGATGGTGGTTGCACCTCTTTTCGCTATTGCCCAAGTAATGTATTTTGTAGGAATAGGTGAATATTTACTAGGTATCGATAAATCGAAAAAATAAATTGAGAAGTCTTCATTGGTTTCATTCCTCATGCTGGAAAGTAAGTCATAGTGATTCGGGATGACACAATATCTTGAAACATCTATTTTTCAAATAATCAAAAAATAATGTTTCGAGTAGAGAACTGAATACAAAGATATAATAAACTATAATAAAAAGGTATTCCTACCTCACAAAGAGAGAGAAACTCAAAGTCATTACCACAATAGTTCAATAGTGGATATATGTCACGCAGAAGATTGAATTACATACTCCCGATATCTATATGCAAATATTCGTGAAGACGAATATACGACTGCAAGTGATTCTTTCCTAAATGCTGAGCTGTGCTCGAATTGTCCAGGAACGCTTGACTACCTACAAACCGGTTTCGAGCTTATGGCTCTCATCAGTGCAAGGGTGGCCCAGATGGCTTTATGACCGCCATCTGGTGCGGACCTATCCCCCTGCTATATAGATTCAAACGAACGCCACCTGAGTTTCTTTCTCTTTGTGACCAATGCATTTCACTTCGAGTATTTGGCTTTTTCCTAGTTAATATTCCTACCTCTTGAAATTTGCATGCAATCTTCCATCTGTTGGTAAAGGGCACTATTACTAACGGCTGATGTCAAACACAGTTGGATTGCAATTAAAGCTGCTGCTAAATGTAAAGGAATCGTGGTAGGTAAAGTTTCCAGAATACTTGGTTGTGTAATCACCCCGTATTTGAGGGCAGCTAGTACAGTTGTTATTCCAAACATCAGAATGGTAGCTAAAATGATCAAAATCTTTTCAGTGCAGAAGACATCTGCATTCGCTTAACGGTTACCTATTCAAAAATTAAAGCGGCGTTCACAACCAAACTTTGTACGTTTCGCTTTTTACGTTTCGTATTCTGATTGGTGAGGCAGAATCTGAAATTGAACGTGAATTAAACGTCATACACAACAACAAAAAATCAACGTGACTTTTTACGGCTTTCCTCAGTTGCCTTGGTTTTGTCATTTGTGTTTAATCCTGAAATGAAGTGATATAATCATAACAATAATATTGATTAGATAATTATTAATATTCATAGAACTGGCGGTGACGTAAATTGATCCCTATTCAATACTTGAAGAGAAAAATAAATCCTCATCAAGGAAATAATGAATTGAACAGTATACCTATCTACTAATATTCAGTGGATTCACGAAAAAATTATGAGCAAAAACATTATCATAAATTCCATATAGAAAGTTCTATACATGTATTGTTCTATTCTTATCTGAACTAACAGTAGTAATTTCCATTTTTATAACAATATCATTTGTCTATTCCTACTATTTTCACAGACGATGGTTTCTTGCAACGCAAAAAGCTGAATATTTTCAGCTTTCTGCGTCATTTCAATTACAGATTTTGCTTCACCAATCAGAATACGAAACGTAAAAAGCAAAACGTAAAAAGTTTGGTTGTGAACGCCGCTTAACTCGACTTTACCTGAAAATCCTCCAAAAAGAGCTTTGGTAAGTTGGGTTTTATCAATCATATCCACTTGTATGGTCAAAATTGAGGGATGAATATCGAATTGGAATGCTATAATGCCATAAGCTTTGAGTATCAATTGCCATGGAAATGAAGAATCCAGGCTCTCAGGAGATGCAGGTTTGTCCGAGCTGCCACCACTAAATATCAGGCAACCACAGGTCAATATGAAAACTGATGCTACGATTCCAGCCGATGTAGAACATAAGCACCTGTAAATTGGAACCAAAATATTTGACGACATTATAGGTAAAGTCAGAAGCAATGGTTGGATCAGAATTTATTATCAATTGATTTTGAAAAGACAAAATATATGACATTTACTTCCTATAAGAATTCTCAACCAAATTGAGGCACTATCAAGATAAATAGAGAAATTGAAATTAAGGATACTGACTGTATCAAATACCTTGGTATAATGATGGACAATAATCTGAAATAGGATCATCATATTGATTATGTCACTAAGAAAATAAGATACCTCATTCCTGAATTCAGACATAAGAAATAAAAATGACATACCATTGAAATAAAAAACAAACAAGTCAATTGGATGTAGAAATTATAAATTTTTAATTCCTTACCTATATAATAAAGTTCCAAATGATATCATAAAAACAAAATCACTACAATCCTATATGATAAAAATGAATATGAATATAAATAATTATGTGAATTGAATGATATGCTCAGTACACTATATAATATGAATTAAATACATGTCTCATTTCTTAATGGGACAATTTTTCCCTTGTGATAATTTGATATTGTTATATATTCATTGACCTATGTACATTTGTTTTTTTATCCTTACTACAAGGATCACTTCGTAAGGTTTTTCCCAGTTTATTCAAAATAACTATCTGTATGTTCCATTGTATATTTTGTAAACGTTTTTCAATAAACTTATATTATCATTATTATTATTATGGAAATGGCGACACGTTTGAATTAATTGACCCTCTATACGATATTGTTAAAAGAGCAGGTTGATCGTAAACTTTATTATTTTCAACTCTTGAATTTGAAATACTCTTTCCCATTTTCCTAGTACTTCCACGAATTAATTCTTCTGTCCACCATAACCACGTACTCTCATCAAACCATATGGTTCAATTCAAACCTTATGATCCAGATGCAATAACTGCCGATCTTATCGATAATGGTGATGACTTTCGACAATGGGGATCAACAGACGACTTGAAATTCTATTTTATAAAAAAATGTAGGTATATGACCGTATATTTCATAAAGATCTTTTCAATAAGCCACCTCTGAATTGAATTCAAACTCTCTGAACATAGTGTTCTGGGAATTTCTTATTCCTTGTCGTCATTTTTGAACTCACAAAAAAATTGTGACCTCCAGCAGACTCAAGATCAGCATTCACATAGATTATTTCAGGATTGAAGGATCTTTGATTCAATATAAGATAATTTGAGCACCAAACTTGTTATACTCACTTCATATCTTTCGGGCTGCCAAGCCAAAGTATTGGACACAATACGGTCCCAGTAATGAGTATCCAATAGCAATACGATATGTCAGTTTTCCCATCGCTTATTCTCAGTCCGAGAAGCTGCAAATTCTGTGAAGCTAACGACTATTTATGAATGATCAACGAATGAATAATTTCATAAAACACGTACACCGAGAGAAATATCTATTAGCTGTTATACGAAATTGTATAACCATTAAAAGATTTCTGAATTGAATAGGCGCCACTCGGCGCCAGCACAGTTCCCATTTCACTGTAATCACGTTCATCATTTCGAAAAAAATCATATAACTGTGAAATATCACTTATATGAAAAGGCAATGATAGGGGTCAAATGACTAGCATTTCAATGCTATACGATGATATTATAAAAATGAGAAGATACTCATATAAATTTGACTTGTTTTCAATTTGATAGTCAAATAAAAAGCATTTCAATATTGAATAGTGATATTATAAAAATGAAATAATACTCACATCAATATAATTTGCTTTCAGTTTCATAGTCGAATGATTGTATGGTATTTCAGTATAAGGATGATAAATTTTTCTCCAGAAAAATGAAGTGGGTTGAAACTCTTCGAGAAATATTGAAGACATATATACTTGGTTTATATATACTTACCCCCAAGTAAAGTTTTTTTGAGGAACTACAGGGCATTGAAGTGCATCACAAGGACGATATACTCAGTTCACAATATCTCAGTTTGTGTAGGACAAAAATGCTTCCCATTTGGACTATTTGTTCTCATTGTCAGTGCATTGGATTATTAGTTAACATAGTGGCCAAAAATGTAATTACACAGTATCGTCAGTAAATTATAGAGTTCACATTCGCAGATTTCGTTTTATTTTATTTACCGTTATTGCCACTTGAGCTTTACAAAAGAGCGTTGAGAGACTTTTCTTATGACGTTTTCGAGATCCCCATGATAGTAATAATTAATCTTGGACACAATGTATACGCAATACAATCTATCACCGATAAAACTGTTCAAATCCAAGATTTTGCCACTGAATAGTGAGGTGAGTTAAAAAAATAAAAGTTTTTCCAATTTGGAAGACATTCCGATACATACACTTACCGATATATCGTGAAAACACTATAACGCCCAGAGGCAGTTCAACATTCTGTAGTTCCTCAACAAATCTTGGGGGATATATGAACAAATATGTCCCTAATATTTCTAGAAGATCTCTCAACCACTTCACTTTTTCGAAAAAAAAAATCACTCTGCAAGAAGAGTTCACGAGCTGCCGCGAGCTAATAATTATGTCCTTTCATATCAGGAATCCGAAGACGACTAACGATTCTCATCGAACAAGTGTTCATAGGTGAGTGAGATGACTCATTGAGGTAAACGAGTTCGACAAAGATGGAAAATGATAGAAGGGATGAAATTAAATGATAATTGTATAACTGTGAAATGACATCTTTTAGGATTTAAATGATTATCTTCAAATTTCCATCTTTTAACACGTTCGCTGCCTGATGTATCATTAATGATACACCAGGTAGTGCTTTCCATAGGCCGGGGGTATCTTAAATGCTACACGGACTATCATTCTGTCTGAACAGCAGTGTATTCTCTGTTATACAGGGGCAATAAGGAATGCATTAGCTTATGATCTCTGCGGCCCGGCAGCATAAAAAGCAACTGAAAGTTTTGGCCTGGGGTTTTTTAGTGGGGACTTTTGTGTGGGTATAATAGAGAATGTTTGCAAAAGGTACCTCATTGGTGAAAATTACTTTGGCCTGTGAGGTCATTTTCTGAAATTTCAGCTCGGCAGCGAACGTGTTAACTATAATCTTGTCTCATTTCGAATCTAAAAGATAACCTTTTTGAAACAAAAAGAGCATCAATCTTATCTTAATTCAGTTAGATGGTGATCAATTGTGATCTTTTTGATAATGAGATTGTTTTATGCTATGAACATGTTTTCAATTCTCACTTATTAACTAATTTCTCATGTTCAATTTTTTTTTTTTTTATCGCTTGGAGCGCACGAAAGGGAATCCCTATAATGTTCAAAGAACATCGTGCGTTCCTAGGGAGGATAGGGATAGGAGGTAGGTATTGGATTTTTTTTGAAATTCAAGTATTATGGTGATGTCGTCTATGTATTAGGGTATAGGGAACGGTGAATACAAGTTAAAAGTCAAGAGTGTACAAAAGAAATCATGTTATCGTTGGAGCAATAATAGGACCTATTTTCTCTTACCGACAATGAGATTAGGTATTCCTCCGCCAAAAACTGTCAAATCTAAAAGGAAAGTTACGAAGCTCGACAATTTCTTGCCGAACGTGATTTCAGCCAATGTAGCATAGGGTTGACGATTCCTTCTGTGGATGGTAGGAAAAATGTCTTCTGCTATTATCCAACATCTTCCTAACAGAGCTGCTGTATAGATTTGTGTTGAGCAAACAATGAGGATCACCAAAACTCCATAAAATCCTGAAAGATCGGCAAAAGAAAATCCAAAACTCTTGTGATATATGATGAAACTGGTTTATTTCAACCGTGGCTAAATCAGAGAAATCCTATGCAGGATGTATCCAAATTCTACCAAAATATTTCGTGAGCTAATTTCCCAAACAGAAATGAGAAATTACTCGAGTTCTTCCCTAGCGGGTTACAATCCCTCAAATATGGGCCAGTGGAAAATTGTTTTCAGTCATCATTTTCGACACCAAACTAGAGAGAACAACGATAGTTGAAACATTCAATAAGAATTTATTGCTTCATCTGATATTCTGAGAATATTCATTGAATGGTATATATACAGGGTGTTTCATTACTAATTGGAAATATTTCAACCATACCATTTGACGTAACACTTCCATATTTGGAGGGAGTTATACATCCAACTGAAATATGTGAAATTAACTCTTTTAGCTTCTACAAGAGGCGTACGACAGGGGCAAGTGACTGGTTGATCCTTCCCAAATTCTACACCACTGGCGGAATCGCAATTTTATCAGAATTTTTCGATTCTTCAGTACCTTCTTCGTAATAATTGTACTCTTTCTTCATAGCGATAAAGTCATTATTTTTCGGGATATTTCAAAGTTCATGAGGCAGCACAATTATTTTGATCTTGATGTGTGTCAATAATGTCGATATTTTGGATCAATGGACTGCATTCATCAATCAAATGAAACTTCAATCCATATTAACATAAAAACGTAACAGACGGGAGCTGTTACAGGGCGTTTTAATTTTTTTAATATATTACATAATTAAACATCCTGTAACATCTCCTGTCTGTTATGTAATTATGTTTTTATTGTCGATATGGATTGGAGTTTAATTTTATTGATGAATAAAATCCATTGATTCAAAATATTGACAAAATTAATGCACATTGAAATCAAAATGATTGTGCAGATTTATGTTTAACTTGAAATATCTAGAAAAATAATGACTTTATCGTCATGGAGAAAGAGTACAATATCTACGTCAAAATTGTTGGAGAATCGAAAAATTGTGATAGAATCGCAATTCCACCAGTGGCGTAGAATTTGGGGGGGATCAACCAGTTAATTGCCCCTGCCTCTGGTAATAGGTAGAAAAGTTCATTTCACATAATTCAGTTGAATGTATAATACCTACACTTCCCTCCAAATATGAAAGTGATACGTCAAATAGTTTTGAAGAGCTGGGCAAAAAACATTTCAAATTTTTTTAATGAAACACCCTGTAACCCAGATAGGAGACACATTTAATCTAGGTGATTTGGGTTAAATCTTCATATTTTGAGTTCGGGATTCTATGGTTGAAATATTTCCAATTAGTAATGAAACACCCTGTATATACCTGAGATATTGAGTGAAACAATTTTTGTAAGCCTATGCAATTTCAGTTTTCAAATTGAACATTTAGATAACGTGCATCTTTACAAATGCCAACGAGATAATCTCTTCACGTAGAACATGTTGGTGATTTTCACTATCAACCCCTCTAGTTTGAAACACTTTTCTCGTTGATTTTTCTCAGCATATACTCAGAATAAACTGTGGCCCATTTATGAGGTGTTGGAATCATTTGCGGACAGAGGTGATATGAACTTTCGTTCTCAATTTTATATGCATTATTATTTGATTATACGACGCTATACATAGTGGAGTATACTACGGCCTTGCCAAAAATGCTATCTCGGAAACTAAGCGAGATAGAGGTATAGTTACTTTGGGGAAAATGATCCCCATCGAATTTTGAGCAACTTTGGTTTTTGTGTGTGGTCTGTCTGTCTGTACTCTGTGGTAATCATAAATCGATATATTTCCGGAACCCTTTGACATATCGACTTGAAATTTTGCCATCTTATTGTACTCAAAAAAATATAATGTCATTAAAATATGAAGGAGATCGGAAAACTCTAAGGTGGTTTTTCCGGGTTTTTTCGATTTTTCACCGGAAGTTTCTTGTGACCACTCTACAAATCGCAAAAGTGGTCCGATCGATTTAATTTTTTGTGAAAAAAAACTCTATCAGGGAGAGACGAAGCCTATTGAAATTGAGCAGGGTCGGGATATTCCAAGTGGGTTTTTCAAGGAGATTTTCCGAAACACACGGTTCGCTTTAAAACGACATACCTCCTGAACCAATAGACTAAATCCAAATTTGAAAAATGCACCTTATGCCTCTTTGATGACGCAACAAATTATTATCCCACCATTTCTTCGTGAATCCATCGGAAAATGGAAAAACAAATGAAAATCAAAACATCAAAATTTGAAATCCTGTCAATTCAATATATATCGAAAACAAATGAAAAAATCGAAAATTATCAGAAGTGCAAAGTTATCCACTGGAACATTTCCTACAAATTGATATCCAAATTTTTTTCTGTAAACCCAATAGTACAGGAAATAAAGTAAAAAATATGAAAAAAAAAAATTTGAACGACCCATAGGGTATGTACTATGAAGATATATTGAAAAACAAAAGATTATCGATAGATGAAGATCATCGACTTCCACTGAACCATGAAATAGTTTTTCCTCTTGTTGATTGGAAGATGGAACAAAAGTGTTGAAAATTTTATTATCAGATAATTCCAAATATCTCTAAAACAACTGAAAATATCTGAAAATGTTAAAGAACCAAAATTATTCCTTTCGATAGAATCTACAAAAAATTCACATAACATTTTTCTCTGAATTCAATAGTTCGGGAGATACGATGAAAAAACTAAAAAATTTACAAGTTCCTAGACAATCACTTGCCAATAGGAAACAAATCAAAAAACAAAAGAAAGTAAAAAAAGCACACTCGACTGTCTTAATTTTTATCCCATAAACTACGTACCTAGCTCACTCGACTGTCTGGAAAAACCAAGACAGTCGAGTGGGCTAAGTACGTAGTTTGTGGGAAAAATTTCCAATTCTCTGAACTTTCATAGCGTCGTATACAAATCTTTGGTGCCCAATGATAGTTTCAATATAAAAATATGCTCATGATATGGTGCCATCTTACATGAGCAATGATAAAATATCATCTGCTTTTATAGCGTCGTATAAATTATCAGATCTCTATACTAATCTAATACCTAATGAAAACTACATCTATCTATACCAATCTGATACCTTTCAAAAACTACGTACCTCACTTGTAGTAACAACTATTATAATTATTATCCTATGACTTACCACAATCTATAATTGCTTTGGGCAGAGATACAACAGGGAACACACCAAAAACGTCCAGTATACAAATAACTGCGAAAAAAGTTGATAATCCTTCACTTCGATAATTATTCCTTCCACGTAAATCTAACAAAAATGTTCGCTCATTTGCTTGCATTTTGTTGTGTGAATACTCTTCTGTCTTACTATACTTTACCTCCTTAGATATGGAATTACACTATGAGGAAACCTTTGAAATGAAATCGGATATTTTCCAATGTATTGGATTTCGATTCAGAGTTATATATGGGGTGATTCAAAACCTTCATGAAGTTTTGGCCTGTGATCTGAAGCGAACAATAAATACATATTTATCATTACACTGATACACAACAGCCAAATTAACGTACCACCAAATAATCACTATATGTTTGAATAATTATTTTAACTGTGAATTACCTACTGAAAATACCGCCAAATTCACAAAGATGATTCCCTATTTTCGACACATATTTTTCGTGATGTAAGAGAATCAATCGTAGAATCAAATAGTAGCACTTCAACAACTTCATTCGAAAGTATTTTAAGTATTAATAGGTACTATATTTTCTCAACTTATCTCATTTGAAATTTCAATAGAACCTTCTTCAAACATGTTTTCATTCTTGATCCATTTCATTATTTCTGTTATTTATGTGATTATGGTCTAATGAGATTTCTGAAACAAAAGAAAGGTTACAAAATCTTATTATTCAGATCTGACGATAGGATTTTATGATGAGTTTTCACCTATCAAGAATACTGCCAAACTCACGAACATGAGACAAATAGTAATACTCCTACTTCATTCAAGAGAGTTTATACTATACTTACTCAACTTATCTCATTTAAAATTCGAATAGAATCTTCTTGAAACCGTTTTTTTTTCTTCTTGTTCCATTACATTGCCTTGAGAAAGATGAATATTTATGAGAGAACGTATACGGGCTGTTGAACATGCCACAAATTAGTATTGACGAATTCGGAAACTATAGTAACCATTATTTCCAGCAAACAGAATTTCGATTTGCATTCAATTGATACACCCATGGCATCAATGTGGAAAACAAAAACTAGTGGGTACAATGCTAGGTCAAAATATTTCATTCTGAACCAATCTACGTCAATAATATCTATTTATATATCAAGGGAGGAGAGGTATCCAATTCCTCCCGTGTGTGGAGTTCAAAAACACGAACATGAGAGGAAATGAACCTTTGCTCACATGATGAATATATATGAATATATGATTTTATTAACGAACGCGTTTTTAATAGCATCATCCTTGAAATTGTGCTTCATAAGAAACCAAAATAACAAGTTGATTTCTTCAATGATTTTTTTGACATCGATTCCGATAGAAAATTCGTATTCCCCAGTAGAAGCTACCGTGACTTCATGTGCCACATGTCTACTGTCACGTGACATCAGAGCGAATTGTCGACACCCCTCCTTAATAGATGGGGCTGCCGTGGCAACAGGACCCTGTTGATCGTGTGGAGAATGCCATTGCCCAGAGAAATTTACAGAGCTATAGAGAATCTCCCACCCAAATAGTAAATCAAAAGTTAAGATAGGGACATGAATGCCGTTTTGACCAATAATGAATAGTTTCGACCCAAAAAAATCCTAAAGTTGAAATATCTCGATTTTGCACACCCTATATCTCTGTGATCATTCTTGCTAGACCCAAGTGTGATGCATTGATGAAATCAGCTCACAAAGGAGAATCCGAAAATGCAATGAAATACAGGGTGTCCCATAAGACAAAGTATAACTCTGATACGTCACGCATTTTTAAGTCACTCTGTATAAAGCGAAATATTTTGGAAATGTGCTGCTCATGAGCCTAGATCATCACAACAATTTGTGTTCATCTATCTCAAACAGCAAAGGCGTTATCTCACTTTCCCATTTCAATGACACCCGGTATATCACTAGGTACATAAATAACTCGAAAGTACATCGCTCTGTCACCTACAGAGTGTTAAAACATTCTTGCTTATCAATTGGTAGTTATAGAAAAATTTGTCTCATGGTATATCATGAAAAACCAAAATAAGATGAAATTCTTGGTTTCTTCTTTCTTCAATGACTTTCTGCCATCGATTTCTATAGAAAACTACCGTGACTTCATATGTCTTATGTCTACTATCGCATGACATCAGAGCGAGTTGTCTTCCTAGATCAGAGATTCATCAAGTCAAGTAGCTTGATATTTTAACAAACTACTTGACTTGACTTGAAAATCAAGCTCGTGGCAAATTACGTACTTGACTTGACTTGAATTTGAGATATTTATTACTTGACTTGAAATCAAGCTACTTGATAATACTTGATCTTGATACGCACGAGTCGCACGGCGTATATTTCTGCAAGCTCGCTCACGCTCAGACAAAATACGGGGGTTTCCCGAGATTCGAGCTGACTGAATCGATCGCGCAGGATGTCATTTTCATTTCATCAGTTATATACAGGGTGACTCACGGTCGATGGTAGGTTAGACGTTCACGTTTATGATAGGAACGCAACGCAGGATTTCTCTGAAAATTTCGCATCTCACATTTCATCACCGGTACTATCGATCTAATATATTTTCAAAATCACGACGTTGCCGCTTCTATAGAAAAGTAGGAACTACTTTGTTATTTCGAATTGAACACCCTGTATTTCATTGCATTTTCAGATTCTCCTTGAAGAGTTGATTTCATCGATACATCACACTCGGGGTATAGCGGAAAAAATTATGGAGATATAGAGTGCGAAAAATCGAGATTTTTCAACTTCAGGAATTTTTTGTGTATGCGAAATTTTCAGAAAAATCCCGCGTCGCGTTCTCCATAAACGTCTAACCTATAACATCGACCGTGAGTCACGCTGTATAGATACACAATAAAACTGCTGAAAATCAAGTAGCTTGATAGAACTACTTGATTTTTCAAGTACTTGATAAATAATTACTTGACTTAACTTGACATTAAAAAACTTTCGCTTGACTTGAACTTGACTTGATTTCAAGTCAAGTCAAGTCAAGTAGCTTGAATATCAAGTCAAGCCGTGAATCTCTGTCCTAGATATCGAAGATGAGCAACCCACCGAGGGACGCTGTCTGATGGGGTTGCCGTGGCAAACAGGACCTTGTTGATCGTGTGGAGTATGAAATTGCCCAGAGAAATTTACAAAACCAGACAATTTCCCGCCAAAAGTATTTTCTGCCAATGGGCTGACGATTTCTTCTGTGAATTGTAAAAAAAATTTCTTCGGCTATTACCCAACATCTTCCAAAAATATCTACTATATAGATTTACGTTGAGCATCAAGCAATTAAGATCACCAAAACTCCGTGAAATCCTGGAAGATAGATAGGGAAGACGAAATTAAAAATTATTATGATATAATTGAACTGGTTCACTTCAACCTTGACTGTATCAAAATAGTTCTCAACAACTTAAGAAAATTTCCACATTCCACAGGAATAAGAATTCACATCCACATCGGTAGGGTAACACATGCACAGTACATGAGTTTATGTGTCAGGAAATAATCTAAAAAGAAGTGGAAAGGTGGAAATTGAAATACAATAAATACTACATATATCACTAGATACAGAAATAACTCGATAGTACATCGTTCTGTCACCTACAGAGTGTTAAAACATTCTTGCTTATAAATTAGTAGTTATAGATATAATGTTCTATTTAGTGCGTGTTTGTCTCATGGTATATCATAAAAAACCAAAATAAGATGGAATTCTTGATTCCTTCGATGACTTTTTGCCATCGATTCAGAAAGGAAATTCTTATTCCAGTGAAAACTACCATGAACTAATGTGTCACATGTCACTCCTCCTTCCTAAATATCGAAGAGCAACCCACCGAGGGACGATGTCTGGGGTTGCCGTGGCAAAAGGACCTTGTTGATCGTGTGGAAAATGCCATTGCCCAGACAAAGCTAGACAATTTCCTGCCAAAGTGCTGACGATTTCTTCTGTGAATTGTAAGAAAAATGTCTTCGGCTATTACCTATCTTCTGAAATATCTACTGTATAAATTTGCGTTGAGCAAGCAATGTTGATCACATATACTCCGTGAAATACTGATAGATAGATAGGCAAGAAAAGATCAAAAATTTTGTGATATAATTAAACTGGTTTACTTCAACCTTGACTGTATCAAAAAAGTTTTCAACAACCAATGTAAATTTCCACATTCCACATAGGAATAAGAATTCACGTCCACATCGGTAGGGGTGTACTGAAATACACACAATACATGAGTTTACGTGTCAGGAAATGATCGAAAAAGAAGTGGAAAGCTGGTAATGGTTTGTGAATTACTTTTGGCTGGTACTTCAAAATAATGCAATGAAACTCTTCACTGAAACAGGCCCATTACAATGAGTGTGAAAACTCAAAGAATGAACTCATTTATATGCATTCAATGTGGAAAAAAACTATATAGAGTCGGTATACCTACAATGCTTTGTCGATATATTTTATTATCAACCAGTCTACGTCAATAAAAACTTTAAAATACAATAAATACTACATATATTATATATCACTAGTTACATAAATAACATCGCTCTGTCACCCACAGAGTGTTCTCGTTCTCATTCTCGCTTATCAATTGGTAGTTATAGAAAAATTTGTCTCATGGTATATCATAAAAATCCAAGATGAGATGAAATTCTTGATTTCTTCAATGACTGTTTGCCATCGATTTAGATAGAAATTATTTCAGTAAAAACTACCGTGACTTCATGTTTTATGTCTACTGTCGCGTGGCAGCAGAGCAAGTTGTCGACACTTTTCCTAGATGTCGAAGAAGAGCAACCCACCAAGGGACGCTGTCTGAGGTTGCCGTGGCAACAGGACCTTTTTGATCGTGTGGAGTATGCCATTGCCCAGAGAAATTCACGAAGCTATAGACAATTCCCTGCCAAAAGTATTTCTGCCAATGGGCTGACGATTTTTGTGTGTATTGTAAGAAAAATGTCTTCGGCTATTACCCAATATCTTCCTAAAATATCTCCTGTATAGTTTTGCGTTGAGCAAGCCATGATGATCACATATACTCCGTGAGATCCTGAAAGATGGATAGGCAAGATAAAATCGAAAATTCTTTTGATATAATTGAACTGGTTTAAATTTCTACATTCCACAAAGGAATGAGAATTCACATCCACATCGCTAGGGGTTTACTGAAATACATTACAATACATGAGTTTACGTGTGAGGAAATAATCTTTTAAAAAAGAGGAAGGTAGAAATGGTTTGGGACAGTGAACTACTTTTGGATGGTACTTCAAAATCATTGTCTGCTAAATATGGAGAAAAATCTAGTGAGCTATATTTTGTCGAAATATTTTATTATGAACCAGTCTACGTCAATAAAAACTTTAAAATACAATAAATACTACATATATCACTAGGTACATAAATAACTCGAGAGTACATCGCTCTGTCACCTACAGAGTGTTAAAACATTCTTGCTTATCTATTAGTAGTTGGTAGAAACTTTTTCTAGTGCGTGTTTGTCTCATGATATATCATAAAAAACCAAAATAAGATGAGATCTTGATTCCTTCAATGACTTTTTGCCTTCGATTTCGATAGAAAATTCGTATTCCAGTAAAAACTACCGTGACTTCATGTGTCTTATGTCTACTGTCGCGTGACATCAGAGCGAGTTGTCGACACTCCTCCTTCCTAGATATCGAAGAAGAGCAACCCACCAAGGGACGCTGTCTGGGGTTGCCGTGGCAACAGGACCTTGTTGATCGTGTGGAGTATGCCATTGGTGGCGAGATTGTCGCAGCTCGTCACCACAGCCCTGTTGATGCGTACTCGGCTACCGGTTCGGCCCACCTCCACTTGGGTGTTTGCCAGGGTCGAAACGTAGCTGTTGAAGCCCCACGATTGGGGGCCCACTCCGGAACAGCAAAGAACCTCTGAAAATTAAATAGGTTGATGGAGAACTCTTATACACTCTACAGCATAATAATCGATGCACGACAAATATCTTTATGGAGTTTGCTCTGTTGATTTGAGTCCAATTTAATTTGCTTTCTATAAAGAATTTGGCCCAAGATACAAAATATGAGGTTTTACCATAACTAGTATAACTATGAAACAATATTTTGTCACGATAAAAGGGTATTTTGCCCACCATGTAATGACATAGAGGTAGGACTTCTACTATGTCACAACATGGGGTTGATATTTCACCCATATTGATTCATAAGGGGCTTGCTTGGCTTGAGGGTTTGCGAGAGGTAATATTCAAATAGGCACTAATAGTTTAGGGGTAGCTGAAAGAACGATACTATATTCAAACATAACAATATTTATTGAAGCATAGAAAATTATGGATAGTGATGGCAAATATAAATTAACAACAATGACCTGATAACAATTTACATTATAATGACCAATACGACGAGTTCTTGTCAAGTCAAGAGTAGCCCCAGACCAGACTAACTTCGGAACCCTCACATCATAATTATACATCATTTTATTAGACTTGCACGTTCCTCATGAGAGTTCCTTGGTCGGTATTCATTGTTCAATGTCAACAGATCATTTGACCCTCATGGTCTAATATACCGTATGTTCTACACTCGTGGCAATATGGAGTGGACCAGTTGTTGCACCATTCAAGTACATTCATTCCTCACCTTTTCTGTACAGCAGCTACCCAGAATTGCTGTTAGAAGATTGTCAGCAAATTGCTAACAATGAAAACCTGATTGAGGGCATGTCAAAAAATACAGATGTCATAGTTTTCAGTTTGTCTTCAATTCTCGCATAATCTTGACGCTCTAGAAGTTGCTAGTAATCCACTATAAGCCGTGGGTTCCGCTTTTCAACCCCAGCATTAGTTTCGACTTCTGAGGAGTTGGTTTTGAACTTCGAAGTAGCGATATACATTATTTTTACATGTATTAGAGATCGTCTGATACCATTGGCATCAATTCCTTCGTTCCACAAGGGTCAATTTTGGCACCAACATTGTTCCTTCTTCATATAAATGATCTGTTGGGAGCAACCACTTTCCCTATCCACAGACGATAGCACTCTCCATACTGCGTTCTCTTTTAGAATTCCCGATAATACTCTCCATACTGCGTTCTCTTTTAGAATTCCCATATTTCCAGGAAACTAAGAACTCAATGACAATCTTGTTGAAACTACAGTCTGGGGAACCAACAACCCAATAGCATTCAACGCCACCAAAACTCAAGCCTGTATTTTCTCTAGGAAGGCGGAACTCAGTATGCCTGATATAACAATGTCTGGTACCACCATTTCCGCGAACCAAGACTAATATATATGTGTTCGGTATTCACATCAGCAATACTCTGTCATAGGAAGAGCATGTCCGATCCACCCCGAAAAGTTTCTCATGATCTACAAAGCACAGATACGGCCGGCCAGTTTCAGAAAACTGTTCTTACATAAGGGGTTTAGCACCCAAGCATACGCTGATGCTCTTAAATACCACCAAGAGAAGAGCCATTCGTCTGGTGAGTGATGCCACACTCACTGATCCTTTGACCTCATTAGAATAGCGTAGATAATTCGGCGACCTCCCACTTTTCTATAAGTGAATACTTCCACGGGAAATGTTCCTCAGAAATCTCTGCTATCATTTCATCCCTAGCAATACCAGTCAGTCGAACTCGATAGGCCCAGTCAGCACATCCTTCAGTTGTCAGCCTGGAAATAAGTCGAACAACACTTTACCAAAACTCGTTCGTCTATAGAACGGGAAATCTTTGACAATGGGAGTATTCCCAAGAGCCTAGAGCTTCCAAAAGTTCAAAAAAAAAACAACACCTACCTCCTCTCCTTATATCCTCTCCAAATAGGTACGCACGATATTCTTCGGACAATATAGGAATTTGTTCTCGTGTGCCCCAAGAGAAAAAATTAGTTCAGAGACGTTTTACTATCTAGATTCTAGATAGTGGACATACTAGCGGCGACCAAGGGACAACCAATTTTCATACGAGGAATTCACTACTACGTTAGCAAAAAATGTGTTCTGAAGAATTTTGTGAAAATCTTAACGTTTATTGATTGGTCAATTGGCTGGAGTAGGAATGCGTGGAAAGCATACATGAAATTCATAACAAGTATAGAATCCCAACTAGGTACTACATTTTTGTAGCATAATAAACGAATAAACATGATGTTAAAAGATATCGGGGAGATCCCAAAGGACATGCGATTGGAACAAGAACAGGGATGTACTATAGTTTAGACATGATTGGGATAACTCAGGGATAAACAAACCCAAAACATCCTTGTACCGACAGTACACGTTGGTACACAAAAGAGAATTATACAGAATATCCCCCGCGTATACATCCTCATCCTCAATCTACAAAGTCATCTTATCTGAACCGTATATTCAGAGATAATTTGAAATCAAACGAAAATCAAAGGACTCATTCAATTTACTCAACCACAAGACACTACCATAACATTAATTCAGATAGGTGCTGCTAAAATCATCTTCTACCCCTCTGAAACTATCCACACTGGACGCATGTTCTTCACTACCAACACTACCGCTACAGTTGGAAGGCACCTCTTCGTGATCTTTAAGTTCAAGGTTATTTTTCCTCTTGTCGACTTGAGCTTTCATATGTGGAGGTCCCGATCTATGTTTCTTGGGAGATCTTCTTCCTTTGCCTCTACCTCTGCTTCGTCCCTTGCCTCGTTTCTTCTGTTTCTTGCACCTGCCGCAGTCAGTTAGAGGGTCTTCCACTTTGAAGCTTTTGAAGATCGCAAAGTCCTTCTTGTTCAAGGCTAGTTGAAATTTGCCCGCACGCTGCCTAACTAAGCCTTTTGTGACAGCATGTTTCAAGGCCTTTTTTATCTGTGCGGTCACATTTCTTGGTTTGGAGCCCGGGTTTTTATTGTCGATGATTTCTCGGATGTATTCGATGACTCTACTCTCAGAGGAGCCATTGTAATCTTTCAAATCTGCTATGGCTTGCATTACTGTTTGCAGGTATTTTGGTTGCTTGCCTGATATTTTTACTCTAAGCCAGGCGTCTTGTGCTTCTGGTTTGAATTTGCTCTGGCTACCTCCCATTTTTTTAGCCATTTGGTAAGGTTTGGTTAATTTCTAGGGTGGTATAAGAGTGTTAAGACTAGTTTGTCTGGAGACACAACGAAGAATTTTGCCGAAATTTTCGAATCAATTTTGTCAACTCTAGTTGACACTTCGATTTTTGACAACTGCTCAACGAAATATGAAATACAGGGTCATCCAAATTGAGTTTACGTAGTCGATGGACACTTTGTTATTGTCAAAGATGCGAATTTGTTTGATTTATCAGTATAGAAGAAAATGCCTCACAAGCTCTTTTATCTATGATATAAATCAACTCTCACATGGAAAACGCTATTTGACGACGACGTGAGTCATTTTGACATCGATAAAAAAAGGATGCACCTTTTTACCGCTGACGACGAGCTAATACCAGATGAGCAGTTCGGTTTCAGAACTGGCCACTCAACTGAACTACAAGTCTTGAGACTCATTGAGAACACAATATCGTTGAGATATGATGGACAAAAGACCCATCTTGCTCTACTTGACATAGCAAAAGCATTTGACAAGCTGTGGCATGATGGTATCTTATACAAAATGATCGATATGGGCTTTCCTGACGATTTGATTCAGTTGATGTGTTCATATCTGGAAAATCGAACTTTTCAAGTTAAACTTGATGATCAACGATCTGGTATCAATCCCATTGAAGCTGGTGTTCCTCAGGGTGCAGTTTTATCGCCGCTGTTGTAGAGTTTATATACTAGTGATTTGCCGAGACCAGTGATGTGCAAGATGTCGCTTTTTGCTGATGATACGGCAGTTCTTGCATATTCGACAAATTTCGAGCAAGCAGCTATGAACCTCCAAAGCGCACTGGAGTACTTCCGAAGATGGAAGATCAAATTGAATCCTACAAAAACACAATTGGTCGCACTCGGAAGGGAGCGGAAGCCTCCCAGAACCAGAATAGTCCTGAATGGTCATGAGTTAGAGTGGTCTTCACAAGTTAAATACTTGTGTGTGCATTGACAAAAAGCTCATCGGGGCCCAGCACATTGAACAGCAAGTTTCAAAAGCTAAACGAGCCATTGGAGCTCTGTATCCATTTCTAAACAGACGAAGTAAATTGGGTTTGAGACAAAAATTTAATATTTATATCATGGCTATCATGCCAATTTTACTGTATGTCTCAGTAGTCTGGGGCCACGCAGCTAAATCTCATATCACCAGATTACAAACATCACAGAACAAAATCGCGAGAATGGTGACAGGATCTCCTCGGTATGTTCGGAATAACCAGATCGCTAGGGATCTGAAACTCCCTTCAATCGTGTCAGTCATTAGAGAACGAAACATCAAGACTTTCGAAAAAGCTGAGGTTCATGAGAATCAATTTCTTCGAAATGCAGTTGTTTATGACCCAGGTGATCAATCAAAGTTCAAAAGACCGAGATTGTTCGTAAACTAGAGAGAATATCGACATTTTGACCAAATTTAGTATTCTCAAGTTTTTGATATTTATTTATTCCGTTTGATCTCTTTCAATTCTCAGAATGTATTTCTGAAACTTATTTGGGACAGAAGAGGGCTGTTCGCATCAAACTTCAATACTGTTTTTATTTTGTTTCATAATATATATCAGGATAAGAGGGACTCTTTCCTGGTCTGAATCAAATAAAAGAAAGATCCAAATGAAAAATTATCGCTGATAAACTGCCTGCTCCTTGGATCTAGTAGCTATTTTAGGAAGTTTTAGGAAGATTTCGCGTCTGAAGAAACCACGGAAATATGAAAAAATCAATCCCCCTAACTACCAGTTACACGGAGTCATCAATGAAGGTAATCATTATTGTTGTTTATTTGTATATTATCGTTGATTTATCTTGCCGAAAGACACTCGAACTTTTTTTTTTTAATTTCATTACTAAGAGAAATTTATCCGATAAAAAAAGCTCTTGTGTGTTTATTGTTGACTGAAAGACAGGGGTTTTAATAATATATTACAATTCGAAATTTCCTCCTCGGTTGAAACATATGTATCTATTGATGATATATACTTTATTTGGCAGACAAATACGATCGAAAATCTAGCAGCTCACCTGTCAGAACGTGGTTTTTGAGCACAAAGTTAGCCTTATCCTTGTTTTCCTTCAGAACCTTCAGATCGTTCTCATCCAAAGCAGCAAAAGTCTCATCAGTAGGTGCCAAAAAGGTGATAGATCCATTGTTTCCTCTCAGCACTTCCTCTACCTCAGATCCTGTAATGGAATAAAAACATAAGAAAAATTCCAAATTGAATTCAATTCACAACGTGCGGTACAATTTGGTCAAAATTCAAGCATTTCCCGGAAAAATCTGCTAGGAAATTGAGATACGAAGCTAAGCAACAATCGAAGTATTGAGCTTTTCTAAGATCAACTTGGAGATTCAAATCGCTCCTCTGAGTGCGAAAGAACAGATAAAAGTAGAATATAGGCAAACACTTGAACATGATTAGTATCGGACCAGCGCCTTCAGCTTTTCCTTTAAAGGAGAAATTGAAGCAGGAGCAATGGGATTGACACAACTTAACAAATTTGAAGTACTGCAACAATCTCCACTTAGCAAAAAAAAATCTAAGAAAGAGAAGTCTCAAGTCAATAGCGTGATATTCAAAGGGACATATTGCAGAATTAAAGAACACCTAATGTTATGCTTGGAGGAGGGCAGCTTATGCAGATTTTGCAGGGAGAAATCATAAACACTTCATTATATTCTGGTGAATTGCGATGGGGGATTGGAAACTTCGAGGCCAGTTGACTGTAGAAGGAATACCACTAACAGATCTCATACCTGAAGAAATATAAGCTCAAGGAATACCTGTAAACATTAAGGAACACTGGAGATGAGAAGGAAATGTGACATAATAATTCGTAGCGCATTTTATACCTATCAATATTACATCAATATATTCCGAAATTCTTAGAGTAATCATTTATTTCCTATGAGATTGGTGTTTCAATATTGCACAATATTTCAATATCATACCTTGCAAAAGGGTGCTTAGCGTTGAGTATTTGCCGTCGCTGTGGATAATGTCCAAAATGGATCTAGTAGGGGGCACCAAGAGTTTGTTGACTTCGTGGAGGGATGAACCACAAGCTTTTTCATCGAATCCAATGAGACGTGCACAATTCACCGTAGCACGATTAATAACGTTGGTGAAGAGAGGCAACTGCAACAAATATATAAATCTGTAAAGGTGAGGTGAGGCAACGAAAATCAAATTCAAATCAGAGAACATTATTTTGCGATTGTGATTTGTAACGTTGTCACACTCACCGTTGAGTAAAGATTGATTCTTAGCTCCTCTCCATCATCGTAAGTCTCCAAAAGTTCATTATTATTCATATCGCCAGATTGCAACTGACCTTTGACAGTATGGTACCTCACGATTTCTTTAAGCTTCTCTTGGTCATTCTCGATTCCTTTCAGGAAGTTTTGAGTCTCAGTATCTTCGAAGGCTTTGTTGGTTGGTACAAAGACCGTAGCGTTCTGTAGACTGTTTATCTCTTCTTCTAGCCCTGCCTTTTTGATCAAGTCTTGGAAGCTCGTGAAATTCTGTTTCTGAAGAACGCTCCCAATATACAGTCCTGAATCAGGTATTATGATGTTGTCGATCAAATGTATAACACCATTCGTGGCGACTATGTCTCCCTCGGTAATTCTAGCTTTGCCCTCTAGGATTATTTCATCGTCCACTGTTCTCTCCAAGCTCAGATTATCTCCCTCGACATTATGCGTGGTAGCGTTGCCTATGATGGCTGATGTGCAGACTGTATGCGCAGTGAAGTGGTATTTCAGAATGCCTGCAAGGATATTAATTACACATGGGGCTTAGATTTCACGTGGAGTGTTGTCATGACTTACTTGAGGCACAACCGGCTCCGTCAAGAAGTTTTCGTTTCTGGACTTGGTCCAGTTTGTTGAAGGCTTCATCAGTTGGTGCGAAAACAGTATAGTGGCCTTCAGGTTTTAAGTGGCTTGGGATGTCGGTGAATTCCAAGGCTACAAGGTGTAAAAATGTAAGACGTTTGTGCCTAGTATTATAAAGTGATGAGTTGAATTCAATATATAATTCAATAAAGACCGATACAGAATTCATATTCTGAAGTTGAAAATGATATAGCGATCTATCCCAATTTATCTCAGTCAAAAGTTGATTTCAAATAAAAGGGTTGGATTGTTTGAAAAAATAACTATGAAAAGTGGTATATTGGAAACTACACTCAGTTCCAAAAAAAGTGACGCACTTGATATTTGACCTATAAAAAAAAATAGTAGACCGATTTTCATTTTTTGTATTTGTTGGTAGGTAATGCATTTGTCTTGGAAAAAAAAATAGGTGAAAATTTTTTCAAAGCCTCCTTGATGGTGGTGGAATAACTCGAACCATGATTTATTCCTAATTTTTGACCCTGTATGTTAATTGAGTAATGGTATACGAAGTGCTTACACCTTCTACGAAAGAGGCTTCTTTTGCGAGCATTTTGTTATTTTGTTCATTGATTTATCTCTAAAATTTTCCGAATTTTACAGCGTTTTTGCTGATACCTTACGCTTATCCCACAAATTAAATTTATTGAAGGATCAGAGTACTCAAAATTGATTGGGTTGTACTCTGGTAGGATCATCTTGTCTTTAAAAAAACAAATCCTGTTGCCATAGGAACTAATTTGTTGTATGCCTCCATATTTGACCATTTGTCGTTGTGTCATTGATTAAGTGTTTTGTTTCATTGACTAAAATTTCATAAAATGCCTCAAATGAATCCTGAACAAGTAGCAAGATTATTTGCGTTAGTAAACGATGGGCGTAGTAAACGTTACGCCACTCTTGCAGTGAGAGTTCATGAAGCAACTGCTCGTAGACCAATCTCTGCAAGTACGAACAAACAGGAAGCACCGCTCGAAGGGTCGGTTCTGCTCGCCCCCAAAAAACTTCTCCAAGAGATGATCGCTTCTTGAGATTGCGAATTTTACGGAATCGATCAAATATTGCGGTAAATGTTCAGCAAGATCTTCGCCAAATTCGTGATGTTGCAGTAAGTGAGCAGACGGTATGTAGACGTCTAAAAGAAGTTAATTCAAAAGCTAGGAGACCTACAGAAGGTCCCAAATTATTGCCCGAACATCGTGCTGCTAGAAAAAATTTTGTTGAAGATTATGGACAGTGGAATATTCCTGAATGGTCGAATGTCTTGTTTACGGATGAGTCAAGTTTTTGCCTTAACATGGTGGATGGAAGAAAAAGAGTGTGGAGAAGAACTGGTGAACTGTTTAATCAAAATTTAATAACAGAATGCGAAAGTTTTAATGGTGGGTCCGTTATGGTGTGGGAAGGGATTTCAATGAATGGAAAGACACCCCTTCATGTTTTTCCGGTGATGCAGTCGATGAATACCCAAATTTACATTGACATTTCAGAGCAGTATGTTTTACCTTATGCAGAGTTAGTGGGCAATAATTTTATATTGATGCAGGATAATGCCCGACCACACACCGCAGCAACATTGCGAAACTTCTTAGAAACTATACTGGTATTACCACATTACAATGGCCTGCGAGAAGCGCCGATATGAATCCTATAGAACATTTGTGGGATGAATTAGGGAAAAGGGTACGTTTTCGCGAGAGGTCTCCGGAAGGTCTCGCAGAAATGGCAGATGCATTAGTGGAAGAATGGGATCGTATACCAATGGAAACGATAAGCAACTCAATTTCCAGTATGCCTCGTAGATTAGAAGTTCTCAGAGTGGCTAGAGGAGGCAATACACGATATTAAGCAGTCATTCCAATTTATAATTTTGTGTTTAATGAAAATGTTTTTTAAAAGTATTGGTACCAGTTTATTTCATTAGAAAATTGTTTCTCGATAAATTCAGAAAGTTGGTAATCTGCAAGGATTCAGCAAAAAAGGCTGTAATTCGGAAAATTTCAGAGATAAATCAATGAATTAAAAACAAAATGCTCGCAAAAGAAACCTCTTTCGTATAGGGTGTAAGCATTTTCTATGCCATTACTCAATTAACACACAGGGTGAGTCAAAAATTAATAATGAATCATGGTTCGAGTTATTCCTCCACCATCAAGGAGGCTTTGAAAAAATTTTCACCTCTTCATTTCTTTTTAAAGACAAATGCATTACCTACCAACAAATAAATAAAAATCGGCCTACCATTTTTTTTGTATGTAAGAAGATAGGTCAAATATCAAGTTCGTCACTTTTTTTGGAACTGAGTGTATTAATTGTTGGGCGGAGGACATTATACTTTATGAGTTGATTACCTTTTCTGAGATTGGATAGTCTAGGATGAGTTCTTATGATAGTTTCGACATCTTCGGTTGCTGGAAGAACAACACGGTCTGTCACATGGACAATTCCATTTTGAGCCAAAATATTGGGGTTTTTCACTCTAGCACAGTTTACTGTCACCAGCTTCTCGTTTCCATTTGTTGGGTAGATGTTGATTCTGATGGTGCTGTTACGGTATTCGCTGTGAAATAATTATCAAAAGTATAAATTCACTCTGGAAAACATTTTTTTTCTGCAACCGACAGCACAAAAGTCGTCCATTGTGATACCAAAATTAGCTCTTAAATTGACGTTTCTATTGCTGACACAAGAATGGGTATGTTGCTAGGCAACATATTCAGTTCCTAGGAGCTAAAGTTGAACTTTAAAAGGTGTACTATTACTGCCTAGGCAGAAAAAGTTTGTTGCTATGCAACGTTCCAAGTAATTTGAATCAAATTGGTCATCAAAATTGACAATAGCTTTGGGTGAACAGAAAATGATGGATTATTTGGACTTTGCGTGAAATTGAAAAGAATTTGGAGAGGAAATTGTATGTTTCACATGGCAGAAAAGAAGATGTAATGCCTTGGCTGGTTTCCTAGCTACGCCTAGGCTATATGAAACGCCAGCCATTGCATTAGATCTTGTACTTTTCTGCCTAGTAAAACAAATAACTATTTGTTTTCATCACTTATCGTCCAATTTTGAAAAAAAAAGTTTTTGAAATATGTGGCGCGAAAATTTTTAGGTTTGTACAGGAAAAAGATTCATTGAATCAATCAACATTTGTTGAATACTTGATTATAAAGTTCATCTGTTATATGTTGTACTGGTCGACTGGCTAAAATATACTTCTACAAAACTCATGAAAAAGCCTATAAGAACGCCGTCAATTTCCTTCCAGGTCTATACACTTTTTTTGTTGCAAACTTCGACAGTTTCATTTCCTCTGAATGAATCTTCATGAACAGAATAGTATAGTATTTCGGATCCCTTGAGTACTCAAGAAATTGACATTTCGTATTCAATCTTGACTAAAGATTAATACAAAGATTCGGAAACCCGTGAATTAGGTGGATTTACGAAATTATGGTTCTTATAGCTTTTTTGCTAACCAATAGTTAATTGCATTGGTTCATATTGCTTAAACAAATTTCGAGCATTCCTTCCTTCCTTTTTGACTAATGTTGTTTCATGAAATCTCTAAATTGTCCTAATTGGAAGCTTCTAAAGCCAGTAATGGAGTACACATTTCACGAAAAAATCGCTTACTGTAATTATTTGTTTGCAAACACGAAATCGTACCACCCTGTACCGTACAGTTCGCTCCGAGTGGTTGCACAGTTAACAAGTTACAGTTTACAGTTAGGCCAATTTACCTGTTAATGACTTCGTCGTTTGCAAAGTCAGTCAGGTCAATGAATCCTTCGACGGTGTGGCTTAACACCAGATCTCTAGATGGAAGAGTCTGCGTTGAAGCACGTCTTCGGCGGAGCGCATCTACATTATTCTGAAAAGCACAATGAAAAATGTTGTAGGAATGTTTTTCCACTTCTTATTACATTACACATCATAATGCGCATCATGGTTCCAACCTTACAATTGAATTCATGTATAAAACATCCCATAAGCCGCTGGATTTTGTCCTTATATGACAAAATTGTCCCAAGTTTTCCAGCGACAAAACGGAACCTAACATTTTTTTTAATCTTTTCTAAATATTGCGTAGTTAGAGAAGTACCAAATCTGCAGAATGTAGCGATTTGGAGAATCTGCGACTGGAGAAATTGTCTTACCGAATTACACGAGCATTTTTTGTTGGTCGAAGTAAACTTGAAATTAATTATACTTCGAGATTTTTTGCTATTAGGAAATTCAACTTGAGAAACTACCAGAAAAAATTACTCGTCCTACGGTAATTTTTTGGAAGCCAATTTTTCTCGTTTAATTTCCATCAGGCAACAAAACTCTCATTAAAATGTTGAGTTTACTTCGACAAGAAAAAGCTCTTATCATTATTTATTAATTAAATAATAAAGAGGAGTCACGTGGTACCTTGTTTTGAAGGCTTTTCGATTCTCTATCGAACACCGCTCCGTTTGTACAAATCGGCCAAGCCGTTTCAAAATGACAAGCGTTTGAAATTGGCTTCAAATATAATCAAAAAAACCTAAATAACTTTTGATTGCAACAGAATTTCAAGAAGCAATTGTAACAAGTACTCAAACATGCTCGAGATGCTCACTTATTGGCACGAAAAAATCGGTTTTGGCATTCAATCCGAACGTGATTTATACTGTTTCCGATGTACATTTCAAACGCATGCGCATTTTGAAACGGCTTGACCGATTTGCATAAACAAAGCGGAATTGGATAGAGAATCGAAAGGCCTTCAAAACAAGGTACCACGTGACCCCCTTTATATTTGAAAAAAAAGTTGATGAGGCCCATTTGACACTAGTTCACGTGACCACAACCATTTTCATGCCAAATTGTAGTGAAAGAGGTACCATTTCGCCTGAATTTTACCCGACCTCGCTTGCCTGTTCCGTTCAAAGGTCAAAGGCGGGGGGAGGACTTTTTACGTCCTCACTGTACAGGGTGGGCAAAATTGGGCGTTTTCACCGTCTATCTCAATAACTAGAGGAGTTATCGAAAAACCGATAGACATGTTCCGGGTTCGATTTTGGAGAAACCTCGAATGGTACAATCAAAATTTCGATATCTTCATTCGTTTTAGAGATACAGGGGAAAATTGAAAATTTGCCGATTTCGATTTTATTTTCTGACTACTTTACGGTGAGAGGTATCAAATAATTTCAAACGTATATTTATACAGTATGATGCGTGGAATCCATTGGCAACATCAGAAATTTTATACAGGGTGACGTTGAGAAAATACGGCAGCCAATTATGTTTTTTCTAATGGAACACCCCGTATATTTTGGCACAGTTGAATAGTCCCAGGCATTCTCATTACAAATATATATATAACCCTACCTTTTCCTTCCACAATTTCAGATATATTCGCAAAAATATATTCAGTGTGTCACATTTCTTATGGTTGCACCCCCGTATCTTCTGTAATGCCTGAATATGATACTTCACCCATTATTTCTAGTATGCCTTAATATTTTTGCGTTCAAAGAGATAATAAATAAGATATATATTTGAAATTGAAACGGGAACTTTACAGCTCTGCCAAAATATACGGGGTGTTCCATAAAAAAAATTGTTCTGTATCTGGAATTTGGACATCTTCTATAAGGCTATATTTTTCAACGCAACCTACTGATTTCCTAATTGAGTAAATTATTGGTATCATTTCTGTATCTCAAATGTCTTGTTAAAAATGATATCAAATCGAATAATTTCCCATTTTATTTCTCACCAAATATCCATTTATCTGGAAATTATATTCCCTATGATATTTATCTCCCACATTTGGTGAATATATACAGAGTGTCATTTTCAACCTCGATTCTGCCTGTTGATAGCATTATCCAGAAATATCGATGATTCCATAGCTGCTGGCGAGCAGTGTTCTCATTGGAGATGATCCCACTTGGTCCATGACTCCATGAGTGTATCATTTGTATCTTTCTGACAGTTGCGAATTTTTGAATCCTACCTCAATTATTTTTACAGAAGATACGGGGGTGTAACCATAAGAAATGTGACACACTGACTATATTTTTGCGAATATATCTGAAATTGTGGAAGGAAAAGGTAAGGTTATATATATATTTGTAATGAGAACGCCTAGGACTATTCAACTGTGCCAAAATATACGGGGTGTTCCATTAGAAAAAACATAATTGGCTGCCGTATCTTTTCAACGTCACCCTGTATAAAATTTCTGATGATGCCAATGGATTCCACGCATCATACTGTATGAATATACGTTTGAAATTTTTTGATACCTCTCACCGTAAAGTAGTCAGAAAATAAAATCGAAATCGGCAAATTTTCAATTTCCCCCTGTATCTCTAAAACGAATGAAGATATCGAAATTTTGATTGTGCCATTCGAGGTTTCTCCAAAATCGAACCCGGAACATGTTTATCGGTTTTTCAATAACTCCTCTAGTTATTGAGATAGACGGTGAAAACGCCCAATTTTGCCCACCCTGTATATATATTTCATATTGTTTTTCCATCACATAGGCTAGTGGCCTGTGTGTGAAGATGAATTATTTTATGTAAGTGTATACAAATCTTTCTCACAATACCAATACTTAAATTGAATACAAAATAAATAATCAATTCATACAATAGTAAGAATTTTGAATTGAGGAACGAGAACGAGTCGATTACAGAATATCATCGACTTTTTTTGCATTTTCCATGAGCCAACTTTCAACTCTTTTTTTATAGTTATGAGGGTAATCAATGTTATTAGCAGATCATGAAACAAACTATACGTCAGCTATCTTTTCTGAAATGCTCTGAATTTGATTGTAATTTGGAATTATGTCGATTTTATGTCAGAAATACCATCCATATTATGGAAATATGTGCTGATAGTATGAAGAATAATATACCGTGTGAGTCAGAATACACGACCGACAAACTTTGTAAACGGAGTTTCTACTGAATTATGAGGTGAAAAATGTCCTCAAATGCACCTTCTCTGTCTTAAGTATGATAACAAATTCAGGTTTATATCAGTTACCTCAAAATTCCCGTGGGAAGAAAAAATCAATCTTGGTGTATCATTCCATATTAATTATGAGGTGACTATGGAGTTTTCATTTTTGAAACTGATACTTAACCCAAGAGTGATAACATTTCACATGACTAAATGTAGAGGTTCCTAAGATGTTTCCGAAAAACGGAAGTTAAGTGTTAAGACCCAATTTACTGAATACTATAATCGCATAGTGCTGATCCTCAATGAGATATCGAAAAATGTCTCAATGTCCCTAACATTTTTGATTGTTGAGAAATTTGAATACATAGTACGAGTGAGTCAGAAGGAGATCGATAAACTTCTCAACGCCTCGACAAGACTTTCCACAGCTATGTGGCCATCTTCAGGAGATGATAAAAACTACTCTAACTATTCGACTTCACAGCGTCATTGTGTACTTACACTTTCTGCAATCTCTTCGTTGTATTCATTCAAACCATCGTCAGACGGGACGAAAAGCGAGAAATTCCCATCGGCGAATTTGTTTTGCAGGCCGGAACTCTTGATCAGTTTGCGGAATTCGTCGGTTTTCAGGTCCTCCAAGGTGTCGAGAATAGGCTTGAGGTCTGCCTTTTTGGTGCAGCCGCTCCCAGGGGATCTGGAATAGCCGTAGCAGCACTTATATCGGACGGTGAAGGTCTTGAAGACGCCGTGATTGTTAACCCTGGAAGAAATCGGGAGAAATAATGATCTGCTTCATCCAGAGACGAATTCAATTTGATAACGGCATCATTTCCTTTTCTTGTGGTGCTCGATTTCTCTGTCATTTAGTGCTCAGACACGGGAATAGTAGTTCACCTAACAAGTGCTGAAAGTCATACTTTTCCGCACACGATTGCAATCTCGCGCGGAAGAGTCACTTTACGCAGGTGTTAGGTATGCACTATTTTTTCGACTAGCGTGCGGGAAAAACTCAAATTCCTCTTTTCCGCGCTTATTTTAGTGTGGAAAACTGACTCTATCAACACTAAAATGATTGCGGACAAGTGGGCTTTTCCACACGCTAGTAGAAAATAGTTACTTATACAGTGTGTCCCACTTACCATGCTCACCATGGGTATCTTTTTAACGGTGAGAGATACGAGGTCGGTTAAATGACACCAAATGTGGAGTTTGTCAAGGCCAACTATAATGTGAAAAAATATTTTGATACAATCTATTCGTTTTTGTTTTATACGCAAAAACAGATTTTGATCATTTTCATGTCTCCTCCGTAACTTCTTTATTTATAAAAATATTCAAATAGGAATTTCATATTCTCATGGCAGTTTTTCAAAGTGATTTCGAAAAAAATATGAAATTTATACCAACTCTTCTAGAATTTGAGATATCAACATCAACTTCAGTTTTTCAAATGTAGGTCATAGCTCACTATGACTTAGTTACAAATAACTTTGTTTTCTCTCACAGATGATATGTCGCAGTAATAGTTTTGTGTTGATAACAACCGAGTTATCGTCATTTATACAAAAACGAAAAATTATTTGGAAGCCGCCATCTTGAATTTATAAATTTTAACAAAAAATCACGATCTCCGACCTCAAAAACCCCCACTCACCAATTTTGAATAGAATCGGACCTAATCTTGTCCGCCATCTTGGAGCAGCCATCTTTTTAATTTCAACAAAAATTCCATAATGTATTGTCACCTAAATTATGAACACCTGCCAAATTTCAAGGTAATCGGAGTTATGGAATTTTTGTTGAAATAAAAAAAAAGGCTGCTCCAAGATGGCGGACAAGATTTGGTCCGATTCGGTTCAAAATTAGTAAGTGGGGGTTTTTGAGGTCGGAGATCATGATTTTTTCGTTGAAATTCATAAATTCAAGATGGCGGCTCCCAAATAATTTTTTGTTTTTGTATAAATGACGATAACTCCGTTGTTATCAACACAAAACTATTACTGCGACATATCATCTGTGAGAGAAAAAAAAGTTATTTTTAACTAAGTCATAGTGAGCTATGTCCTACATTTGAAAAACTAAAGTTGGTGCTGATATCTCAAATTCTAGAAGAGTTGGTATAAATTTCATATTTTTTTCGAAATCACTTTGAAAAACTGCCATGAGAATGTGAAATTCCTATTTGATAATTTTTATGAATAAAGAAGTTACGGAGGAGACATGAAAATGATCAAAATCTGTTTTTTGCGTATAAAACAAAAACGAATAGATTGTATCAAAATATTTTTCCACATTATAGTTGGCCTTGACAAACTCCACATTTGGTGTCATTTAACCGACTTCGTATCTCTCACCGTTAAAAAGATAACCATGGTGAGCATGGTAAGTGGGACACACTGTATACCTAACAAGTGCGGGAAAGAGTACTTTTCCGCAAGAATTAGGTACAATGTTTTTTCTACTAGTGTTCTTGTCAATAATAATTATGAAAAAAAAAGGTTTCCCAATATGCAGAAAGTTCGAAGGAGTGTGAATGTTTCATGCGGAATTATTGGCAGAAGAAATATAGGACCATATTATATTTTCAATGAATCTCTCAATGGAAATGATTATCAAGTTTCCTGCGTGATCAAAAAGCTCTTCTGCTAGAAGATGTTTAATTATAAATGAGAAGAAATATGTTTTTCCAGCATTATGGATGATGTGGTCCTTTTTGCTAATACCGTGCGGTATTATTAAGATTCAAGATATATCCTGGCAAGCGAATAGGAAGATTCTAATTAATGAGGAAGATTGAAAAATATGGTTTTTGAAACCCGACCATTAACTATGGACAATATGATCAATAGGATCATAACTGCTGTCGAAATCATACCATTGAAACTTAATCTATGCATGGAAAATGATGGAAGACAATTGGTGGATCTAGGTAGACAAGCGAGTGCTACATGTTAACTATTTCAGAACGTATGCAATTTATATGTTTCAATATTATGTCGATTATTCTCCGGTTCCTTAGGATGTATCAATATGCGGTTCTCACCATTCTTCTTCTCGTTTGCTCTACTTTCATATAAGAGTGAGAAAAAATTATAGTTTCGTATGAAATTCTCGAGAAATATGGAAAATTGTCTGATTTTTCAAAAGGTGCCATCTAGCTGCCACCACGGGATTTTAATCAACTCGTGATTCATCTGAAAGAATTGAAAAATTTCTTTATAATAAGACCAAGTTCGTTGAATTCCGTTGCACCAAACTGTAGTTATAAGAGTTCTTCCGAGAGTTTTTCCATAGCGCTATTCATCCTCCTCTCCTTCATTTATCTGAAGAGCAAACGCAGTTGTTTATTATCGAAATGATTAGAAATAATGAACTCGAGATAATGAAAAAAGTTTTTTTGACCTATCAAATTCTCACGAAATCCCGTTTTTTAAATTAGCCAATGCAATTACGCCATCTAGCGGCCGTCCTGGAAGCTTGAAAATAATTTTCTGAGATTTCTCTTGGCCACTTTCATTATAGGTACACATTTTTTTTTCGAAACCTGTTTGGTAAATAGCCTCCGAGATGCAGCCCGCTACCTTTCTTAGTGGTACACCCGGTACGTCCATATTAGGTTCGTGGACGTTTGTACATCATTTGGCATTCAGACCAAAACAGGACGTCCACTGGACGTTATATTATTCTTGACTACCAAGGTGTATATCACATTTATCATTTTATTTCACCAATATCAGGATATTTCAATAGCTACCCAGCGAGCACAAACATCCCTGGGATGTTTTGAAAATGTTGGCATGAAGATGTTATTTTGAGGCGTAATATGCACTGACCAAAGAGGTCTTTGAAGGATATTGAAGTATTGTTTTTGTTCTTCTGTGGCATTTCTTTGTTTGCCTACTGAGAGGTATCCCTGGGATGTTTTGGGATGTTTTAGAAATGTAGGCATGAGGATGTTATTTTGAGGCGTAATATGCACTTCCCAAAGAGGTCTTAGAAGGATATTGAAAGTATTGTTTTTGTTCTTTTGTGCCCTTACTTTGTTCGCCCCACCACAACGTCTCATGCTTACGTCACAATACGATGAATTCTGATTTGTTTTCGATTTTGTTCTTCTTGTTCGCAATTGGCATTCGCGTTTGCAGCGTGTCAGTGTCACGCTTACATCACGCTGCTAACGAACATAAAGGAATTTGGTGAAGTTTATTGTGTTAGAAGACTTATTTAGTTTGTAATAATGACCATCAGATGCAAGATGAGTTGTTCGGTGCCTCAGTGTAATCAATATATAAAAGTACGAATTCATCAATACACAGCTTCTCCCCAGTTGCAAAATTATGCATTGTGGAGAACATTTCAAAAATTGGGAAACCTATTTCCAATTATATGTCTGTGTGTAGTAAGCACTACTTAGAAACCGATTAAGAAGGTAATTTCATATCAAGAAAATATTTTTATGTTCAATCTATTTTTAATGCATTTTTTCAATCAAGGGAAATGGAATCCTAATGCAAAAGTTCATTTTGACAAAAGGCTTCAGAAAAGTACCTCGAAAATGTTTTTTTACAGCGATTTAATGTGCGCAAGACGCGTTGAAAATGATCTGTTGTGTCCATGAAAAGGCTTTAAAAAGAACTAGGGAGAAGGTAGTTTTGTGACATATCAAGGACATCTCGATAATTGCCGCCTGCGGCGGACATTGGCTGTTCTATAATAGTTCTATTCATGTGTGAACAGAACATCGCAGTGTCTCGAAATCTCGTACTTTCAACATCTCTGAGATGTTTTTGTGCTCGCTGGGTATAGTTCTGTGAAACAGAAATATGGACCTATTGTCACTATGAAAGCACTTCTTTTCAATTCTGATTAAAATCTAGTAGTCATATGATCATGACAGCATATGACAAGTCGTTATTGATATTTCGAGTGCCATTCTAGCGAATCTCGCATAAGAACAGTGAATTTGGGTTGATTATATCATAGGTGGCTATGTCTTCATTGTCTAGTGACTAGTGCATCATAAAATGACGAAAACTACCTTGGTAGTAAAAACACAGTTTACGCCTCGAAAAGGATTAAATAATGATATGCTTTATAGCGAGTGGTGGAAAAAGTTACATATTTATGGTACTCCTGTCAGATCGATAATTAGAACGTTGACATTATTTAGACCTTACGTTTCTCGGATCGATGATGTTGCCGTGGTGACTATAAAAAATGTTTTTGAAAGTTGGATTTAAACACGCTGAGGCATTCTTTGAATAAGCAAAATATCGTACCAATAAAAAAATATTAATTTCACGTCAATCACACTATACCTACTGACTCTCAAAGTTGTCCAAACGTATTAAAAAACCTACCTATTATCTCCTGTATGCTAAAAAAATAGAGAAAGGTGTGATTTTTAGCGGTCATTGTTTTCAAAAATGATTAGAACGTTATCAATACAAGAATCTCTATGAATAATATCTTGGGCAAACGAAATAAATAGAGGAAAATAATAACAAAGCCGCAGAATTTATTAGTCTGAGGTGACTAAAGCTATAATGGTAGTTGACTCATACATCTCAAATCGCCTTATCTACCGGTGCCAGGTAGTACTATAAACAACACTAACAAAACAAAACATGCATTGAGTCTAAAACATTAGGAAATGTGGTAATTGGGTGATATTATTATGTCAACAGGTTGAGAGTGACTCCAATGATAATTTTTATCCTATTTATAGCACAGCAAACTAATGGAAAATTATGATTTCACTAGTCAATTGAATAATGGATCATAAAAACAATGTGGTAGGTACTGAAGTACTGACGTAGAATTTGTCATTATACGTTCTTTCTCTTTACTGATCAATGTATTCAAAATTGGAATGTTTCTGTCGATTTTGAGTAGTCTCTAGCTCTAGTATCTGTTTTAATATAATAGCACCTGTTTTATTTGATTCATTCGCATTGTACTCAGGTGACCCATCTGGTAAAGAATTCTTGACACCCACATATTTTTTTGTACGATTGTATTAGTGCAACAATGGTTATACATAAAACAATGGATAAAGCGTGTCAAGAGTCCTTCACAGCCTACTAAATCTTAAACGTTGTTTTCCACTTTGGAGGTGAATTTTATTGTTGATTAATTAGTCAACAAGGTAAAAATATACGAAATTTTCACGTGCCTGAACATTTGAATTAATTCACACAGGGTGATGTTATACGGTGTGTCTCACTTTTGTGCAGCACCGCCATATCTGAAAACAATTTTGAACCATGGCTGGCGTCTAGCGACATGGCTTTATATACAGTATGATGCAAATGTATGGAATAAATTCATTTCAAAACAAGACGACTTTCGAAAAAAAAACAAAAACTAGAGTTCAGAACTTTTTTTCGACGTATTTTTTTAACTAGACGACCCTTCGATGTTCAATTCTCAGTAGCAGACCTCTGCAAGATTCAATTAATCACATGATAATCCATTTCAATTTCAATCTTCTTATGCAACATTTTGACTGTTGAATAGACGATCGGTAGACCATTCAATCAAGGTGTCACATGACCCCTATTTGTATTTGAAAAAAATCGTCCATTACGTCTTTACTTCAACACCGGTGACGTAACATCTCTCATATGAATATCATGAGATGAGGCTTCAGAAATTAAAACTCACGTGTTTTTGGAATTTTTTCAAATGTCGCCCATTTCTGAAATAATGAGTTTATTCCATACATTTGCATCATACTGTATGTGTTGTTATGGCGACGGGATCTCTTCGAGTCATTAATCTATACGCCAGTAAACAATACAAATAAATGTCAGATGGACTTCGAAAAAAGGATAAATGAATGTGAACCAAAAAATACCAACTCCAACAGACAGAATTCCTTACTTCGTGAAATATTTCAATGATTTACATTCGTGCATAAAAATGATTAGACAATTTTGCATTCGAGCGGACTTGGGCTCTTTCGCCAAAATATGAAAATAAACTTGCAATTCTTAGATAACAGGCTTTCTTGCTAAATTATTGGTAAATTTTATGCAATTATAGAAGTCGATAAATTGTCAAAACATTTTATTTGACTTACTTGGTGATGCATTCGTATTTATTGGCAGTTTCAAAGCAGTTGGAGAGGCTTATAGATGTCGAAAACAAATCTGGCAGCGACTTTGGGGCCTTGGAAGTTGTATTTTTCTTTCCTTCCTCTGATTCGCCATCGTCGTCATCTCCATCTTCATCGTCATCAGTGCTTTCTTCTCTGTCGATGCAGACGTTCTTACTGCAAAAATATCCAAAATGAGAAATATTCCCGAAATCATTTAGAAAATCTGTATATTTTCCAAAAGCCGGCAGCAAAGGACCCCGCACCGCAATAGGGGGGAAATTGGCTTTCGGTGAATTTTCTCGAATTTTGGATATATCGTATAACTCGTGATGCTGATCAGATGTCCCAATTATCAACGCTCTAAATTCAATAGTTTGTATTATACAGGGTGCTGAAGTTGACTTTTTCAAAATTTCGAATAGCCATTGTGAAGTTTCCTTTTCGAATACCAAAATCAAATCGACTACGGTTTGTTTGTCCATGTGGCCGGTGAAAATCCACTATAGAGTTCAATGATATCTGCACGTACTCACGATATACAGAGTTGGTCCAAAAATAGCAAATGTTCCAATTATTTCCGAAATAGTGGGCGGTTGAAATCAATTCATTTTTGGACATTTCGTTGTATACTAATATCAACATCGATTCATGATGATTACATTTCTTGTATCAGACTATATATTATACACAAAATGTTCAAGTTTCCATAAAACCGCACCCGTCCTGATATTCATATCCATCGAATGATTTTGGAATCCTGTAAAACTTAGTGAGGAAGTTGATAATTCATGATGAGAATATTTTATGCGATAACTGAATCATACAGGGTGGTTCAAAAAGTAGTAGTGGAGTTTTCTTGGAGTTGACGTACTCAGGATTTGTCTTGTTTCTCAATTGCTCTGGAATACGTCAACTCCAAGAAAACTCCACTACTACTTTCTCAACCACCCTGTATGATGCAGGTATTTGCATAATATATTGTCATCACGAATTATCAACTTTCTCACCAAGTTTTACGGGATTCCAATCATTCGATGGATATGATTCAAAAAATGCAATCATCATGAATCGATGTTGATATTAGTATGTCCAAAAATGAATTGATTTCAACCGCCCACTATTTCGTAAATAATTGGAACATTTGCTATTTTTGGACCAACTTTGTATATCGTGAGTACGTGCAGATATCATTGAACTCTATAGTGGATTTTCACCGGCCACATGGACAAACGAAACGTAGTCGATTTGATTTTGGTATTCGAAAAGGAAACTTCACAATGGCTATTCGAAATTTTGAAAAAGTCAACTTCAGCACCCTGTATAATACAAACTATTGAATTTGAAGCGTTGATAATTGGGACATCTGATCAGCATCACGAGTTATACGATATATCCAAAATTCGAGAAAATTCACCGAAAGCCAATTTCCCCCCTGTTGCGGTGCGGGGTCCCGACCGAAATCTGATAACGGAATGATATATGTCCCAAAGGCATCTGATAGAAGTGTATTTTATCGAACATCACCAGTGCCTATCACTATCCTGAGCAGAAATGATTGAAAAATTGCACTTTCCTGTGCGGCAATGTGCATTTGATTTCGCGATTCGATAACAAGATGTGAATTATGCCATCCGATACCAGTTGAATGGTAGATCACAAAAACCTACCTGTGCCACCACTCAGTCTGAGCCAAATCCTCAGCACAGCAATGTATTTGCTGTCATTATTCCGGACATACTTCCGTCATATATGATAACGAAACAAAAAGCAAATGGAAGAGGATAATGTCCACTTTGCGAATATCGAAAGATACTGCAATTCTGACTGATCTAGATAATATCCGATGGACTAGTGTAAAATGGTAAAACTCACAAGTGGATTAGAATACTTGTAATGCTAACACCACAAGAATTTTACACTGGTCCATCGGAAATTATCTTTCGACGGGGGTGAATTATTCTCGGAAATATTCACGCTCTGCCACTATAACTAAGATCAGTTTGAATCACGGCATCGCATCACATCGCTCCGCGTTGCCCTTCACTGTTCAGTTCGTCTGATGTTCACTTGACGCGGGTTGAGTGGCCGTTGACTCAAATATAACATACCCTCATTTCACATAACCTCATTTCATTTTGGGAACATTTTTGTGTATCGTATCAGAATAGTGAAAACATGGATGATTTAGACGGACAACATCAATGTTCAGCTGCGTTAGGTATAGTCTTATGCCAACGACGGTTCGAAGTAAGGTCCATTAATAAATCAAGAAGAGCATTCGGAAATTACAATTATTACCAGAAAATGAAAAACTGGGATGCCCCTCAATTCTTCAAATTCACCAGAATGATACTTCCAGTGTTTGAAAAATTATTGATTTGTATTAAAACTATAGAATACAGAGACAGCATAGGTCAGATGGCATTTCTGCAGAAGAAAGGCTATTGATAACTTTGCAGTAGGTAAATTGTTTCAAAACTTGTTAACCTAACCTCAAATAAGGCTGTATACCACGTGATTCTATCTGTTGTTGTTTTCATTGGCTGAATGGCAACGGCAACAGCGAACAGTAACGGCAACAGCGAACAGTCACGTCAACTTCAAGTTTATTAATCCTCCTTTTGGGATTAAGAGTAAATGCTGGCATTTTTCTCAAACACCGTAACCACGCACTTTTCATAAGTAATCGTAATCACGATGTTCTGAATATTTGAGATAATTCTGTCGCTTCATTGTTCACGGAATTGTGTTGCCGAGCAACACCACGAGTCCGTCAGGACGACTGGTATTGCTTTCACGTTCACCAAACATTAAAAGCATTCATTATAAATGAGTGATTCATTATGACAAGTACAGTTAATATTATTGTAGGCCAACCTGACAGACTTTTCTTCACTATCCATCGTTACATTCAGACTGCTTCGCTATCAATGGTTACGTCGTTGAAAACATCAACCCTGATAGAACAATCAGAATTGAAAGACACATTGTCTCTGGCTTGTGATTGGTCAGATTATGTGATAATAAGTGAAATAATCGATGTCATCAACAATATGATAATAGCCACCCCATTAGTCAGCAAAGTTGACATTTTGAAAATAGAGTGCCGATATGAGTACGATAGTAGGTACTGTCATTCATTAGTTTCTTGGATTATTCCATTTTTAGGTATTCCCATCCTGATGTGCATGAAACAGTACATATATTAATCACGGGACTAAAGTTATTTTTAATGCCTCATTGAATTGTAGCAAATTGTATAAACTTTGCGCATCGGGCATATCGGGATTAAAAGTGCCACTTTAGTCCCTGGGATAATCATAACTATTCTATGTATTGAAAATTAGAAAATAATGATTGTAGGCAGCTTTACTATAAGAGTAATTGATGTCACTTGAAGAAGCTAAGACAAATCAAAAGAATAGCAAAAACCATCCTGGACTCGGTCCATTCAAGATTTGAAGTACATTATCAGTCCCTTAAAGTAGATAGTAATTATCAAAAACTAGATTGTATTTCGTTATAGGATGTGTCTATATTTATCTCGATATTCGAAATGAATATTTCTTTCGTCGACTACCACAAAAAATCAAATTATACACTCAATGATTATACGTACTAATTTCCGAATGAAAAATCGACTTTTTTGGAGGAAAGTAGGTACTTTGCCTCCGCTGACTCTTTGCTACGTCTTGTTAGCTAACAATTTGAAGGTTCGACTATAATTGACATTTTTTCGTCTTTGGTACATACATAACTATTTATGAATCCATCATTCCTTCATAAATATAGGGTGTTCTCTTTTGCGTTGCTTTTCCGCGAATGAAATGCATCATAATATACCTCACAGGTATGAGGTACGCACAGAACTTGTACGATGTTCGATGAATGATTCGAAGAACGGTTTTGAAATTTAAATTCATTTCATTTAATGACAAACAAAATGTATTCTATCAACCGAAAGGAATTCTAAATTTTCATCATTAAATAGAACACCCTGTATATCATTCCATTTTCGGCTTCAGGGGTTCGTTTCACCACCACACACACTAACTACTATAGGATGTTTCAGTTTCAAATATCAAATGTCAAAAGAGCAACTTTTTTCATTAGATTTTCTTGGTGGCCATAAATTGGTAATGACTATTCAAGATCTGAAAGTGGGCTTAGCAAATGTGAAATTTAGTTTAAGAAGCATTAAAAGATGCGTGTAATAGCTTATTTAATTGAAATGACAAACACATCGTAATAACTGTTCAACATTTCAAATTAGTATTCACCGTTTTCATAATAAATATTTGTTTTTATTTTCTTGTTCCTATAATGATAATGATACGCTCAAATGTGAACTGTTCTCTTTGACACAAATTTTATATATCCCTATAGGTATATAATACGTAAATTAAAGTTGATGTGTGTGTGTACACAACAACTGGCCAATGACCTTAGAAGAGATTATTCGACCCATGTCTGTTCTATGTAGGGTTTGTTACTGACTCCGTAGTATAATTTTAGCGACAGTACTGGTAGTTAGAACGCAACAGTGATCAAGGGCGGTCCTATGGGGAAAGTAGAGGGGGTAAGTACCCCCCAGATCATGACAACAGATGACTTTTTGAAATTTTATTCATAGAAAAAATAGTGACAATAAAATCAACATGAAAATAAAGTTTCTGCGATTTTTCATTACGCACCTACATACCATAGTGTCATTTTTGACAGCTGTGACAATTTCCTATTACTTTGCAGAAAATGGGTCCAGACTTTTTTTTATTGTGATAATATCAATACATCGTTGAAGATAGAATTTGATTGCACTCCACAAATCAAAAAAAAAATGTATAGGGTCGTGTAACTTGAATAATTGAAGTTTGACGAAAGTGTAATTCATTTTATATTTTTCCGAACAGCATAACAGATAATATTTGCTGTATGAAAAGAACTGGCACACCCGGTATATGAATAATGTTTCAAATTTTCAGAATTTTATTTGTTAAAAAAACTTCTTACGAACGGGAACGTGTTAAACCCTTTGTATATCAAGTAATATGGATGTAATGTCTCTTAAATGTTTCTTGGAATCTACCATTCAGTGTACAGTATGATAAAAATGAGAATGAACAAATAGAAATTGAGAGAAATGAAAAATGTCACATATAATTTCAACAATAACATGAATCGTGAATAGCCTTCCAATTATTGCAAAAAAAAACATTAAACAAATAACAAAGATGCAATTAAATATGATATGAGGTCAAGTTTCTATATTATGAACCGGTTTTTACTAATATGATACTTTCTAGGAGATGCTCATTATTTATCTTCAGCATGATGAGCTCTAAGAAAACAGATACTATCAACATTTGGACTGAGATAAATTGGGCTTGATTCCCATATTTCAGCCCTGATATTTTGTGTTAACGTTTTTTACAAACCTTCCTGATTCAAGTTGAACTAGTCATTCTAACTAGTGATGAATCCAGGGGCGCATCCAGGGGGGAAGCATATGGGTCTCCCCCCCCTCGCGAACATCATGAATATTAATCTGATGTGGAAGTCCATAGCTCAGAGTGGAATAAAGTAGTAAATAGTAAGAGACAAACACAAAATCATCTCCACAATGTTGACTTTCCTAGAAGGAATTAGAGGAACATGTTTCGAACATCAATAGTGTCCATCATCTGTCGGAAGGTAAAAATATTCTACAGAAGATACAATATGCTAGGTATATAAAAGACAACATATCAGACATACATACATGGGGATGAAAAATAATTTACAGATACAACAATAACTATTTCAGAAGGTAAATACCAATGAAAATTCTCTTCTTTTTTTTTTGGCCCCCTGCTCAAACATCGCCTGGATCCGCCCCTGGATCAAGCTAATGGTTTTGGAATATAGTTTGAGATCGACAACATCAACGACCTGATCTTGAACCTACTTCACTTCTCATAAAGCCAAGGCTATAGGATAAAAAATGTATCGTGAATTATTGAAATTCATAATGTCGTTGTCGTTTCTTTCAATCATAATAAATGTTATCTGCGCAATATATGAACGGAATTTTTTGAAAATCACATGAAACATCAAAACATATCAGAAACAATGAGGAATAGATCATCAACGGTTAATGCCTACATGCACATAAAATAATTATTACTGAAAAGGAATATTCTCAGATATATTTATGAACACAAAAAAGTTGATATATATATATAAAGAAATACATTGAGAATTCGCATTCTCCATGTAATGAAAATATTAATTCTTTCTCGGTCTTCAACAGAAAACAACTACTTTCCTGGCTATATATGCCACGACGAACATTGAATTACATCTATTGAACACACACGATAAGAATTTGAAAACAAAATCTCCTGAAGTAGAGAATTTGCATTCTCCTTCATATGAAGATATGCACAAACAACTACTTTTCTGGCTATTTGCCACGTCGAACATTGAATTATATCTGTTGGATATCCAAAAAACGACGAGCAAGGAACTCAGGAAAAAATCATTCGCGTATCAGTGATATGGAGATTATATCGACGTGGCAAATAGCCAGGAAAGTAGTTGTTTTTTGTTGAATATTCAGAATGGATTATATGCGCATATCTTTATATGAAGGAGAATGCAAATTCTCTACTTCAGTAGATTTTGTTTTCAAATTCTTATGGTGTGTGTATTCAATAGATGTAATTCAATGTTCGTCGTGGCATATAGCCAGGAAAGTAGTTGTTTTCTGTTGAATATTCAGAATGGATTATGTGCATATCTTTATATGAAGGAGAATGCAAATTCTCTACTTCAGTAGATTTTGTTTTCAAATTCTTATCGTGTGTGTATTCAATAGATGTAATTCAATGTTCGTCGTGGCATATAGCCAGGAAAGTAGTTGTTTTTTGTTGAATTTTCAGAATGGATTATGTGCATATCTTTATATGAAGGAGGATGCAAATTCTCTACTTCAGTAGATTTTGTTTTCAAATTCTTATCGTGTGTGTATTCAATAGATGTAATTCAATGTTCGTCGTGGCATATAGCCAGGAAAGTAGTTGTTTTCTGTTGAATAAACCGAGGAAGAATTGATATTTTCATTACATGGAGAATGCGAATTCCCAATGTATTTCTTTATATATATATATCCATTTTTTTCATATCATACGAAAATGACATAGCTATATTGTTTCCGAAATTTTTGTTTAATGAAATTCAACACCATTATTGTATTAGCACACCCAATATTTGATTTCAGTTTATCAATACGAATTCAACGATGCAATGAAAGACGTTTTAAAGTTTTTCGTCACGCTGATTGTACTCACAACATCACGTTTTCAACATAAGCTACTCCTCGTCAAAACTGTATCCTATATTGATAGTAGCGATCAGACGATCCTTACTCAACACAATACAGGGTATTCCTAAATGTCATGTGTGATTTACCATTTAAACATGCCTATATTAGGCCAATGATAGTTCACTGGGGTGACATTGCACTGATAGTAATGGCCCATGTATCAATATTTGCTGTGATAAAATCATTGTTCTGTGTGCAGAACGGTGTCGCGTCAATTGGACGTGGAAAATTGGACGTGGAAAATTGGACGCACGACTATTGGTCGCAGTCAATTGGACGCGGCGACAATTGGACGCGGCGACAATTGGACGCGGCGACAATTAGACGCGGCGTCAATTAGACGCGGCGACAATTCGACGCGGCGACAATTGGACGCATGCGTAAATAAAAATAACTTTATAATTCCAATGAAATTCATTGTATAAAATATGAAATACCTACTGATGGGCTTGTATCCATAATTATTACAAATACCTATGGCCTCTGTTTTTATTAATAAATATGAAGGTTAGGTTAGGTTAGGTATTTGTTATATTATAGATATGAGCCCTGCATATTCCATGCAATAAATTTCATTGGAATTATAAAATTATTTTTATTTTCGCATGCGCTCAATTGTCGCCGCGTCCAATTTTCGTCGCGTCCAATTGTCGCCGCGTCGAATTGTCGCCGCGTCCAATTGTCGCCGCGTCCAATTATCCGCGTCCAATTTTCGTGCGTCCAATTGACCACGTCCAATTGTCGGTAATCCGTGCAGAACGTCCTTCCGGCAAATTCAAATCAAACTCACCCCTTCCACCACTGGTTGCTGTTCAGCCCCGGAAACAAGTCCCCGAACCCTAGCGGCTTGAAATCGAACGAAGGCCTGAAAATCCCGAAAGGGTCCTCCACCCCCACCCCATCACCGGCCTCCACTTCGATCACTCCTCCCGGGAGAACCTCGGAGGGGGCCTTGGGGGGCTGGGAGCCTCCCGCAGGTTTTGGATTCGGCTGAAGCAAGGGCTTCTGCTCGGAGCTGGAAGCGATAGGGTCCTTGTAGTCGGGGCCTAGGGGCTCCCTGTCTCGGTCTTCGTCGTCGGAGCTCCTGGACTGGAGGCCGGGACTGGACCACTCCCAGGAGGTCCGGTAGGGGCGTTGGAGTTCGTGGAATAGGTTGAGGTCGCTGCAAGATATAGAAGATTGTATAACTAGTGTGTAAAATAACGTATTTCATGGGAGTAGTTTCGGATTTATAATTTTCATAAGTATAGGCCACTTCATTTGCGCCGCCCCTTCACCTTTCCTACACTGATATGGGGAAAATTGTGCTATCAGAGTTTTTGCTGAGATATTTATTGCTACCATTACAAGAAATCATATCACCATTATACATTTTCGAATAGAAGCAGCATCTTGAAATCCTATGATAGCAATAACGACTTTGCTGAATGTGAATTTCCTGCCACAGGATGCTGCTGTCGCTATCAGGCTGCCACTCTAGGACATTATGATTTTTTTTTTATAATTGTCTAGCTGAACTACTACTAGTGAGTTATATGCTTGTGGCTGCGAGGTTCATCGTATAGAACTGCACTCACTACCAATAATACAACTGTCAGTCTGCCACGAAAATAATATTTGAAGAACCTACTTGGGGTTATTTAGCGCCTACTTATCGTTATTCGATATTTTGCTGATTTGTCCCCCTCTATATAAGCATTTGTCAGACATCTTGCTTGATCAATCATTCACAGTTGGGCTATTGATGCAAACCCATGTACAGGGCGGCAATCTCGGCGACACGACAGTTACGAATACTTCCCCTCTTGAACTCAATTCATTATTTAAAATCTAAATCTAAATCATTTCATATTTGAGAAATGGAAACATTTTCAAACAAATGAGAAAATCTTCTATGTCCCTTTTAGTGCTTTCGTAGATCTGAGTGCTTCAGTTATTACCAGGATTGAGTTGGTTTTTCGAGGTATTTCGACTGAAATTCAAATATTTCACATTCAACATTTTCTTCTTTTTGGTACCATGAAACTTTAAAATTGTCAAATATGTTCCAGAGCTTCTCTATAGAATGTGGTCTAAAAACTCATCGTGAGCAAAAATGTCCAGGTTGTGAAATTATTTAAATGATTTCACTGGCAACATTTTGTTATCCTGTACGCATCTGTAATAACTTGCCTAGTTTTCGAAATACAATAATAATCAATTGATTTATTGAATTTCAAAGATCATTGGTCCGGAGTTGTGTTTAGGAATCAATAAATTGCTATTCTTTCCAAACATCAGGGTGAAAATTATGCGTGAAATTGGATATCAGTCAAAATTGCACCTTTCTTGATGACAACAATCCTGGAAAATAACTGAATAACTACATCAAGAAGGTCATGCAACTATCAATAGTAGCAAAGTAAGATACCTACTACAGAAACATCGTCTAATAGCAATATACAGATGCACTCGCTAGTGGCAGCAAGGTTCTAGAACTAATAATCGCAGGTGGATTATAATCAGCAAAGTCAACTTTATAATCACAGGTGATAACTTGCTTGTCCCCTATGCTATTAGTTTATTGCTGGGGTAATACGATTTCTGACTATGGTTAGTAGGAATTTTCCTCAGTATAGAAGTTACCACGTTTCACTCAATTATAGGCCGTTATAAGGTACCATATTAAGATCAGACTAGATCACTCATGGGGGACAGCTGAAGGTAAAATATATAAGATCCTTACGTTTTGGGCTGTAGTTTTTCTTGTATTTTCTATGCCAAAAAAATAGTAGGTATCTTCAAACGGGGTTTAGTTAACCATAGTGGGTAAAATGAATCAGTCGGGTGTTTCAGTACAAAAGAGGATGCTGTTTGCTCCAGCTGCAAGATTGAAATGTTTTCGCGTCCCAGTCGTCTCGCCAGTACGTCTAAGTAAGGGAAAAATGGTGTATCGCCGCTCTCAAAGAAACACGAGATCACATCTATATGCTAGGTTCTAACAGATTTTGCTATTTTTACGAAACTGTACAAACAATTGATTGTGGAGGCACTAACTTCATAATTTCATTTATTTACATGCACTTAATGAGTTTAATAGTTATTACTGAACATACATTTGAAAATATTTTCGTCCAAATGTCAATTATCAAGTTCTAATTTTTTCATCATGAGACCACCATATACGTATTAATAATCAATACGGATAATCTCTATCTGTTTCCATAGCGAAACATGAAGCCGATTTTTGACGACAAATGACTATTCATAAGAAAAAGTTTTGAAACGATCAGACACATACTGCTTTGATTGAAAGGCTAGTAAACGTCATTGTCCACCGAAACGCATGTCTTTGATGACTACTATAATAGCGCATGGCGCATGCGTATCATGCCACCAAATCCTTATGGATATTCATTTGTTCCATATTTTTGGCTTCATCCTGGCACCCGTTATGATCCGTATTGTTTATTAATACGTATATGGAGACCACACACGCTCAAATACGTCATCATGCATTTTTTTTATCGCTTGGAGCGCACGAAAGGGAATCCCTATAATGTATGCATGTTTTCGGACATCAGAATGAAAAATGACCCTTTTCTCGAAAACGGTTCGTTTCTACGAAATTCTAACAAGCATACTTTCTTCATATAAAATTGTTTGAACAATCACATTTCAGCAGAATAAAAATGAGATGAATCTTGAAACCAAATAACTTGAGGCATTTTTATAACATCTGTTACGAGTTTCACACCTCCCTGTCAAATAAATCATGTTTTCCTTACCACGATACGATTTGTAAGATTGAATCACCCGAAGGTACTACATTTCGTGTATATAGATAGGGACATTTTTTATTATTTCCATTTGAAGAAATACCTCCCGTAGTATACGAACGTTAATCTGGGACACCCTGTATAATGTGTTTCAGGAGTTGCACCGGGAACGAACGGAATCTTTATTTCTCCTGTAATGACGGGCCTGTGATTTTCATGACATACTTCGTCTAGATTAAAAGAAAAATCTGAATTGAGAGAATAAAGGCTGAATTCAGAAAAAAAGGCTGATGCACATAATAACATGAAAAAGTGGGGACATGAATCGTACAGTCGTTTTCAGAGATCATGTCGCGGTTGGACGGTGTCAGCGCTTTTATTGCAGGAGTTTTAAAAATGCTTTCATCGTCCATGTGCGACATGTTTTCTGAAGATGACTGTACATATTATATGTGCAATGCATCAGAAGTGAAATTGTCAGTTCTTTAATTGGATCGTTGTTTTGGAACTAATATTGATTAGTAATTAAAAGTACCTATGTTAATATCTATTTTTTATGCATTGGATCTACCTTGGAATTTCCTCAATAATAATTATTACCGAAGCACGAATTTTCAAATACCATTGAATTGATTCCCATTGAATTATTCGCTGACTGCATACTTAATTTTGCTGAAGAAGATTTTATAACTGACAATTTCGTTATTTATATTCTAAAATTGCAAGGTGAAGTGAAAGGCAGAATAATTATTTTAAAATACACAATATCTTGATGGATATAAAAAGATCTTCATTGAAGATAGACAGTATGTGCAGAAGATATACAGGGTATATCACAGTATCATGTTTTCACAACTGAACCAATATATTTCATGAATAATGTTTCTTATTGTCACCACAATTGCAGGAAGACAGTCCAGAAAGTACCTATTCAGGGTGAATCGCCTAATAATAATTGAAGACGCCACAAAATTTACAAGATTACTAAATGTCTGGGAAATCCCGTAGTTACAACCAATATGTTCTCTTGTCTTCTTCGCATTGTATAAAAGTTTATCAATTCAATTTATTTCGTTCACAATTTCAAATTACATATATATAAAAACCTCTATGTGTTTTTTTTGTGTACCTTACCAATCATATTATTACCAACAACCAGCATGTACCCAATTAATAATATAGATAGGTATAGAGTTACTAATTTCATTGAGTAAAAAAAGGAACGAAAATATGTATATTTCATTTCTGTTATAAATTTATGCCGGTACCATCATTCGAAAATTCTGAAAACATATCTGCATATATCATTCATAGATCATCAAACTACATGCACGATACAAAGTTTTTAATCATTGTCTTGAGGTATATACAGGGTGTAGACTTCAACTGAAATAAATTCGCTAGCAGAAGGCAACGTTTTAATGTATTTATCATGGTATTTATCTATATTTTGCGAGCAATATGAAAAATACAACCCTTCAGGGGGAGCTAAAATCATCCCCAACATATGCATCCTTATGGCTTATGACCCCTCATTGGAAAGCTGGTTCAAATAGGAATCCTGCATACTTATCAAATTTTCGTTTGCGGTACGTTTCATGGGTATGAAACTAAAATTGAATACGAGTAAGGTAGGAAGTGGTGTTCTTCTTAAATTTCTGGAGGTTATATGCCTCGGGGAACACCTCCCTTGGCAATGTGTTCCAGAGTCTCGCTGTTCGTTGTATGAACGAGTCTATAGAAAGAGATGTTCTGCAGGTCTCTAAAGTGACCACGAAGGGGTGCGAAGCCTCAACTCGACGGGTTAATCTCGCGGGGACTGCTAGGGGAGGAACAATTGTTGATATTTCAGAAGAGCATCGTCCATGAAAATATCTATAAAATTGAGCCAGATCGCCAACTTTTCTACGGTGTTTCAGAGAAGTGAGAGAGTTTGTGAGCGAGGCATCACCCACGAGACGAATTGCCCTTTTTTTGTGAGAAACAAAGTATGTTGCTTGGGAACCACACGAGCGCGACACAAGCAAATGTGGCAAAAAATGGCTGTGAATTGTTCAACACACCATTGTAACACACATTTTGAGCAATCGTTACGTTGAAATTACATTTTGATTATATGCAACCCTCAAACGTTCAAAAAACTCATCTGTACGCTTTCTGCTAGCGAATTTATCCGAGTTAAAGACGCCACATTGTGTTTTACTTGTGTATATTTTCATATGAAATCATATTATTTTCCACAAAAATCGACTCAGATCATGCTCAGTGATTTTACTTTACTCCAGTGAATTTTCATGAAATCTTGCTGGCTGGGCGGTATAAATGCATATATGATTTTTTGTTCTCAAAAATAACAGTATATGATGAGAATGTGAAGGCAGTTGGTAAATAATCGAAAACCTCGTCGAAAACAAAAGTGTGTATCCAAAATATCGCATATTAAAATATTCAGAAAAGCCTAAAAACGTATTTCAGGAACTAAGTGTGCATCCTCATTGTATAAAACATAGAACTCTAATAATCAATGGTAGAACTGAAAAGGAAATAAAGATTAGGTGACTCTATATACAGAGTGTGTGCGATTTCCACTTGCAACATATCCTCCTAATTTGGAACTCGCTGACCAATTTTTCAAATCAATAATTCCATAATATACAGAGTGATCCATTTGAAAACGAGCCACCCTCATACATTTTTTATTTATGGAGCGATTTTCACGATTTTTTTTTTAATGTAAAGTAGGCAAAGGTGTATTTTGGAGCTATGCGGCGTTCATTTTTTCAAAAGATCATATTCAGAAGCTAAAAATTGTTCTAAAATTGTTCTATCCGTCATTCGGCTGAATCCATATTAGCGATTTTTTTGAAAATATTTGGGTACACCACTGGAATCGGCGTTATCTGAAATGGATCTGTACCAAGTTTCATGAAAAAACATTCAACATTTACGAATCAGCATGTCTCATGTAAAATGCCCCCCTCTATATCTCCATCAGCTATTATAGTCTTGCGATCTTTAAAAAATTCGGACCGGTATGAATGAGCATCAAGATGATTTGAGTTTTCAACTTCGCAGATTTATTTTTTATCAACCTTCCTGTAGAACTTACAACGATGAGACTTCGTATTTGAGTATTCGATGTATTCCATTGCATGACTATACTCCACCGGTTATATTAACTTCTTTGATTTTGATATAGAGTGAATTGAAGAAGCAAAAATATTGGAACTTGTCATTGACTACCTAACACCTTATATGAGGTATTACATTAAAAAGTTCTATGGGGTTATTACAGCAATGCCTTAATCGAATATTCTATCCACTTTTTCGGAAAAAAATTGCCTAACAAAGTCCTTTTTGAAATTTTGGCCCCCTTAACAATCAATATAGGGTAGGCCTTGAGAATCTATAAATATTTCAGATTTGTTCACATTTTCGAAGAGATCCCGTAGACTATATTATATGGATTTTTTGTTTCGAAAAATTGGTCAACGAGTTCCAAATTAGGAGTATTGAAATCGCGCATACTATATATTTCCAGACTCTGGCTGTTAATCTCTATGAAATTCAAGAGAATTTTCCGAAAGGTTTTACTAAGGGTAGCAACTAGTTGCCGAAATAAGCTTACTTATTCAGGTTTTTCCAAATATTATTTTGGTATATTAGGTATATTTCAATGTATTTGAGGTTATGAAAAAAATGTTCATGTTCCATTCAACACCCCCTTTGATTATTTTCATTTTATTTATTTCTGTTGAAAATGAATAAACCGCCACTTGCGGTGTCGAAAACGGTTGGTTTATCTTATTTATAAAAATACACAAACCTGTAAAAATCACGACATTCAATACCGATCACTAAAACTCCACTGATTACCACTAATGCTTTCAAAAGCATCTTTGAAATAGCACTTTTCTCGCGCGGTGTTTCAAACAAGTATGTTGTGCGCTGTCGTGATTGCCCCCGTATATATAAACGAATGTGGCTGGTGGGGAGCAGCTCTGTGCATCCTCACGATAACGTTGAACGTTCTTCATTCTTTAGCTCTTAGGTCAAGCTAAAACTTTTATTTAGTTTGTTTTCATAATAAACAGCTCAACGAGACATTATTACAGTCTACGATATTTTATTATTCACTATAATTGTTCAGAGATATCTAGAAATTAACAATAGTAAAATATAATCTTGAATATTTTCTTCGTATGATTTTAAATCAATCAGAACGTGCAATTGAGCTGATCACCAATCAGAAATTCAGAATTATATCCATTTCAATAGAAATAAATTCATATATTGTTACATACAAAGCGCGTCGTCAAATTTTGATGTTCGTTCAGAACTATCCCAAAAAAATAATAGCATCGGATACAATTCGAACTTCAAAATCTCCAAGGTTATACATCTCGAACTGCCTGCACAATTACAAATCGTATCAGTTTGACAGAATATTCCTCCCGATTCGCGGTGGGATTATTGCAACAAGTTATCGATGTATAACCCGAATATTTTGAAGTGCTTATAGTATTACTATACTGACAATTTGATTCATGTATAAACAATCCCATAAGGAGCCGCTGTGATTTTTTCATTTTGACAGGATAATAAACTTTTCATCACACTTCTTTAAAATCAACTTGTTTTCATCTCATCTCATGCCGACAAACTGAACCCTGAAGAAAATCCCGAAATTCCCAATAATATCCTAGAGCAAGCGACCGCAAATTTATTACCATCAGTAAAATCCATCAGGTCTAGTAGTTCCAAGTTTTTTCATTCCTACAACTGTGAAAATAAAAATGTTCCAAGCTTCTTTTGTATCTTTTTTATGTAATATTTCATTATTATATTTTCATTTTCATCGAAGGGCAATAAAAAATATCGTTACTCGTGCAGAAATGATTTTTCCACACTCGTAATGAAAATATACTATCGCCCTAAGTTTTCCAGCGACAAAATGGACCCTAACATATTTGAAACCATGCATATGACAACCAAAATTGTAAACGAGTCTTGATAGGATTTTTTCTAATCCGGGAATCTGGCGTTTTCAGAAAAGTATCTAATTTGTGGAAATGTCGCGATTTGGAGTCTCCGAGTGGAGAAATTGGAAAAACTATCAAAAATAGTGTGGTTTACGTATTCATTAAATTTTCCTACTGAATTACACTCGAGCGTTTTTTTGGTCGAAGTAAACTTGAAATATATAATTTAAGTTTTGTTGCCTTTAGGAAATTTAACTCTGAACACTTACAGAAAAAATTACTCGTTCTATAAACGGACCCGAAATTTTGATCAAGGGCATAGGAAACAGGGGGCCTAGGGGCTCTTTTTTCGATTTTCAGCAATTTGACCCCAGGATATATGAAAATATCATCATTATCACTTGAAAATTGTGTACTCTTGTTAAAAGTTTCAATAATACTCAATTTTTTCGAGATTAATCGATTTCAAAAGTCTGCTGCGTAATAAAAATAGTACCTACTCTTTCTTAATAGGGTAGGTATATCTACCAAATTATTCCTCTTTCTTTTTGATTGCACCTTCCATATTTTGAATCAAACAACAAAAGAAAATAAATACAAAAAGCTCATTGATTTCCACACAATGTTCATAAAATGAACAACAATGGTAGATTTCGGAAGAAAAACAACTACTTTTCTGGCTAATGTGACGCAGAACATTGAATTACATCCTTCAGAAATGTATGCATCGAATCGTATAAAGAAATATACAATTGATTCTTTCCTGAATGCCTATTGATTTCGATTTAGACAGGCCACGCTTAACACCTATAGACGGACTTCGAGCTCTTTGACTCTCATCAGTGCAGGGCAGTCTCCAGCCAGCAGTCCTAAGACCGCCGACTAAGCGTAGCGTAGCCAAACAAAAATCAAGTCGAAAAAACATTGTGGTTCATTTTATGAACATTGTGTGGAAATGACTTTGAGCTTTTTGTATTTATTTAACATTTCACTTCACTTCACTTTGAGCATTTTGGCTGTTGCGTAGATCAAAAGGAAATGTTTAAAGAAGGGGTATTTTTCATCGGACCATATTTTTTTGAAAAATTTGGTACCCTATCAAGGAAAAAGCACTATATCCATGAAGCAGCAGCATTGTAAAATCGATTTATCTAGGAAATGGTGAATGCTCTCTAAACTTAACAAAAGAGTACCTACCGTTTTCATGTAAAAATGTTAATATTTCCATATTGTCTGGCCAAACTGTCAAGAATTGCATCAACAAAAAAGTTGGGAGAAAAAAGGAAACGTATAGTCCCAAAGACTTTGGAAAATTCCTAATGTTTCTAGATTGGGCATAAAAAGTTAGGTACATGTACAAAATTTGGATATTTCATCGCTTGAACTTTTTTTACCATTGTCGTTCCTTGATTTTGTGGTTGAAATCTTTCTATAAGCAACTTCGGGACACGCGTTTATAATTGAATATATCGATTCATAGTAAAACGCTTTGATTGCATTTTATGCACGCGCTATTATTAGTCCTCTATCATTTCCTTTGCCCTCATTATACCCCCATGATATGGATTGGTCATCGGCACCCATGCTTCGTATACTGACGTGTAAAAAAAATTGTGTAATTTTTTTATCGCTACTTCGAGGTTTGAAACCAATTCCCCAGATGTCGAAAATTGTGTGGGGTTAGGAAGAACAGGACCTACAGTTTATAGTGGATTCGGAACCGCGGAACCACTTCTCTAGGGCGCCAAGATGTGAAAAAGTGAAATGAGTACCTAATTCAGGAAAGAATATTATTTCATCTAATACCAAAACAATAATAGTCAAATAGGTACCAAATTAGTTTGAGTCGTTTTCTCGGAAACCTAAATTTCGTTTCGATAGTGAAGAGCTATTCAGTAATATTCCAAAACACCGGTGTAGTTACCCAGTGCTTTCTCCACTCCAAGAAATCAGATGGTGATGACCAGTTCTGGTTCTTTTTTTATACTTTCATCACACTACAGTCACCTACAGTGGGTCATCGCACGATCTGCATATATAGAACATGCACGTCGTATAGGTAGAAGAAAACAGTGGCGTTCTCATAGGGGGAGGTATACTTTTCTAAAAGAAAATTCGATCGATTATTGTGATTTATTGGTGACCGGGCTGTTCCTTATATTGTTGGCTGCACCCTGCCCACGAACAATTGCTAATTATGTCTCCCCAAATTCATTTAAAAAAATAATTATCATTATCCCAGCCAGCACAAAGAGGTCCTGAAGATATCTTGAAGAAATCCTTCTAGATGCCTTTTGTAACTTCTTTGAGAGATCGCCGAGAGTGCTATATCTACGCCAAATGTCCGCAACCAAGGCTGAGCTCAGCGAGGTCTTGAAGATATCGCACTCAGAAATTCTCATACAATGCCCTCAGGCGCGCACTTTGAGATATACGCTCCAATCGCCACTGGTGAGAACTGAAAGTGCTCGCAATCATGAGCTGTTTGAGAAATTCGCATACATTGCTTTGTGACGAGGACATTGGGAGATTCGCATCAATTGCTTCTGGCGAGGTCTTTAAGTGCTCGCGACTACGAGATGTTTGAGATTTTCGTACGCATGGCCTTGTGAAGAGAACTTTGGGAAATTCGCATTAATTACTAATAGCGAACTCTTCAAGTGCTCGCAACTATGAATTGTTCAAGAATCCGTGCACATCGCCTTATAACGAGGCCTTTAAGAGCGATATTCGCATCAATCGCCACATGATCGCCACTGTTATGGTAAGGTGTTCAATTTTTGGGAAGTCATTGGTTATCAGCCTGTCGGCGAAGTCTAACTAGCGCCAGCTATATTGTTTGGGGTAAAGTTAAATTTACTGGATATTTGTTTCAGCGAAAAAGATTGAGTTACCAAACTTAGAGTTAGATCAACGTAATGAGCTTTAATTATATATTATTCTATAGCAAGACATTGATCAAGTAAACTTTATCACTTGAAAAAATCTCCCAGGAGTTGGCCGGGTATTCTTTAAAAATAAAAGGTCGTCCGATATCTACCCACGAATTTGGAGTAGATATTTGATTCTCGATTCCACCTGAATGGGAACATTTTTGTCTTTTTCGTCAGAGCAGATAATTAATTATCATCAATTTACTGCAAAATTTGAAATAATCTTCCATGATGGCGGAGAGATAATATGACCTGTTGAACACATTCTCTGAGACAGTGAGAAAATCTAGTATCTAGTATACAATTATTATTATCATAGATTAATGACTCCCATTTTATGTTAATACTGGGTGTCCCAATAAGTTAGCGTATAGGTACCGGAAAAAACTTGCTTACTCGACAAGATGAACAAAAAATAGTAAAAATGCTTCAATTGACATCAGAGAACTTTTCTTTATGACTCAAAAAAAAAGTGCATTAGATTGGACAGCCACCTGGTAGCAATTCCTCAATTTTTATTGAATGGACTCCCTGTATATTGTCATTGAAAATTGCCTATCATCCTATTTCGGGAATGAACGATAGCACATCGGTACTTTGTATTTTATATATTATCATAATTATTAATAGTTAAATTACTAATATTATTATTATTATTATTATTATTAATATTATTATTATTTTGAATTCATATTATTCCAGTAACGACAACGACCCTGTGGCTTCCGACGCCACGAAGAGTCGTGCTGTATAAAATCCAGTGACTATATTCCCCACAGCCTGTGGGGTGAATAATCACTGGGACCAAGAACCGTTGTGCCCTGAGTGAACGCAAATGATCCAAAAATTATGACAGCCTTCTGCATTCCACCAGCCAGGATGTGTGCCTTTAATTATTACTGCATGCTGGGATTTTCTGGATTTCCGAGAGCAGCGTATGTCGTGTGTGACTCCTAGGGAGCCGCGATTATCAGGATGACCAATTCCACAGAATGGTCTGGATAGATTCTGCGGAGTTCTAAAAGAGAAGATCTCGATATTTAGTCCGTTTCTCCTCCTCCTTCAAAACGATAGATCCTGCGGAGTTCTAAGAGAAGATCTCGATATTTAGTCCATTTCTCCTCCTCCTTCAAAACGAAAACTCGATCACGAACATCGCTTTGGCTTGATGGTCGAGAAGGACTAACATCAGGCTTGTTAGCTTGTATTTGCCTGAGGGTGGGGAATGAGAAGTTTCAATAAATTCGGCATGCACCTCTCATTCTCCACAACGAACTCAATATCCCCCGGAGCAAAGGGGGGAACAATGGGGCCTCGTATCTATTCCGTACGAGTGCCTCAAATGGTTGTAGAGCGTTCGCAATGCCGCATTGTGTCTACGTCATTATTATTATTATTATTTTTATTATTATTATGAATGATTGAATTCATATCCATTCCAGTCACGACTCTGCATCCTCCGACGCCACGCAAATTCGAGCTGATGGATAAAATCAACAGCCCGTGGGATGAGTAATCGCTGGGACCAAGTATAATGTGTGCAGTGGCGTAGCTACCGCCGTATCCATGATACGGAGCATGGAATCACAGATTCGTTAAATGTTGTAGACAATCTTACTCAAACTACCTATTAAGCCGTACAGTTGGCGATATCAATGCCGAGACTTGTCCCAACTAGAGTCACTGGATGGTATTGTTAGATAATTCCATCCACTGACTCTAGTCCCAACAGTTGACAACAATGATGGATGACTCAGATTTTCAACGACCAGCGTTAGCAACCATCAGCATTACAGAATCTAACTTTAATGTCAACACGTACTATCGCTGTTTAGATATATATCTCAAACTGAGTCAAACATCTATGGTTATAAACTGGAAGATTTCAGAACCTCTGTGACCTGAGTAATACGACGTCCGGAGTGTTACAACAGGAAAAACTCTTATATAGGTATACCTTTCAGAGACTGTCTGCTAAATACAGTAAAAATGTGTCGGTTGATCTGTATGAACAATTAATTGCTTCGAAACCATGCTTAAAATCTGAAATTCAAAAAATTCATTTCATTGAGGAAGCCGTATCAGGGAGTTATTATATTAACGTAATTCAATGGCCTTGCCATATGATGCTTCCTATTTCTGATTTTTCTGATGGTTGAAATTAGTTGACTAGTTGAAAGAAGGTTTTCGAAATTAAAACTGATCAAAAATAAATCTTAGAACTGCAATGGGGCAAGAACGGCGAAGAGACTTCTCAGTACTGTCTATAGAGGCAGGAAATCTCGAAAAATAAAAATCGTCCTCAGTTATGGATGATTCAATGAATGTTTGGCAAAAAATAGGCGAGAAAATTATATATAGATATCCGAATTCTTTCTTGGCTTCTAGGAGAAGTTATTGCATTATTACTCATAATCAATAAACAGTGAGCACGTAAAGGTTGGAAAAAATTCATTGAAAGATTGACATGGCCATCGGGCAAAAAACCTTGAGCACATCAATTATCTTCTTCAGATGTGCATTTGTTGGTCTACTCATATTTTTGATGTCGTCTTCATCATAAATTACACTACATTAATGAAATCTCTTAAGTACTTATTATACCTATACCCTTATGGCGCCAATAGTAACACTACTTTACGGTATCTCTAATAATATAGAAAAAAAAATAGAATAAATCGATTTTCCAAGAATTAACTTTTTTCAGTATAACCTTTAAGTATTCACATTTAACTGAAAAACCTTATCTTGGTAGTAAATTGTCTACTCGATGTCATTGATCAACTCATTGAGTTGGTTAATTTTGTACAATTTCATCCATAGAAGTATATGAATCTTTCTTAATGTATTAATCAAAAAACTCTATAGCAAATCTATGATCTCAATGTCCAAAGGGAGAGAGTGGGGTGGAAATGGATTTTTAATCTCTTTTTGTTTCTTGAAGCGCTCAAAAGGTAATGAGGGAGGATACAAAGAGAAGGTAAAGGTAGGTAAGTAATAGATTTTTTTTTTTAGTTTTTGAGGATTATAAGTTCATGAGAATACTTCCTTTGGCAAAAAATTCCAAAGATTTTCTGTTCTATATGAGGCACAATGTAATGTCCATTTGACTTGAAGGTGAAAGAAAAAAATAATTAAATCAATGTTTCAAACATTTTAATCAATTTCCTATATATATTATAATAAATATGAAATAATATAACTCTCTATATAAAAATATTTCGTACATAATTGGACCTCACTAAAGTAGGTACCCTCAGTCAATTTAAACTATTATATAAATTCAAAAATATTCCAAATTATGACTCAAAGGTTTCAATAAATGTAATTTCATTTCAATTTAATTTTTTGAAACTTCTGTCCAAGAATTTTCATAACATCTCCATGTTTGACGTCGGGAGTTTTATAAATTCCGTAATTCTCCTTGACGAAAAGCGCAAAACCTGTTGCTTCTTTTTTCGGAGTGGCTGGGACAGATTTTGTGGTACCCTTCTTGTCAGTTTTATTGATGAAAACTTCAAATTTTCCATGGCAATAGCCACAACGTTTTCTTTCTACATCTAAACTCTTTGTATGACGTCCAATACTGAAATGAAATGATGAATATAAATCCCAAGTGAAATCCCCATTGTATGCCTATTGTTTTTCGAAAATCAGATTACCAGTTAATTGTTTTTCTGCCCCTGAAAATGGCATCCCTTTTTTTTTCATTCTAGATAGAACAAACACAAATTCATTTTCTGGCAGTAATGGTTTTAATATATTTAAAGGGCCTTTCTTTCTGAAATTATCAACAACTTTTTTTAATGAAACACTATACATTTTTTTATCTCTTGGAGCGCACCAAAGGAAATTCCTATAATGTTGGTGGAACATCGTGCGTACCAAGGGAGGATAGTTCTCAGGAATACTTCCATTGGCGAATAATTCCAAAGCTTCGCAGTTCTATAGACGAACGAGTTTTGGTAGAGTGTAGTTCGACATTTTTCAAGGTTAGCGACGAAGGGATGGTATTGGGATGCCGAAAATTACACAGATAAAAAGATGCTCCTAGCCCCACCTAGAGTTCCTAAATGTACTTGACACTGCAGTTTTGACGTTCTTTGTATATTAGAGTACGGACACTAGACAAGCAGTGACAATCAAACATAACCACAAACGATTTTGAAGCAAATCATATGTTTTGCCAGAAAGGACAAGAATATGTTTTTCGCTTAGATAAAGGATCCTCGCATCTTCCATCCTTCACAAGTCCTGGGAAGAGTACATCCATATATCTTTCTCTGTCTGTGATTTTTGTATGAGAGTGCATAGCGTATCTTCGAGTGGGTAAAAGGGTATGTAGAAAACTATTTCTTCTCGAAATATTGAATGATAAGGCTGAAGGACCTCAATGGAGGTCGATATCAAGTTGGTATATACTAACGAAATACATGTACTAATCCTATGAAATAAGTCTCTTATATGTAGGTATATATTTATATATACGTTCAGTTGAATATTTTATTATCACAAAAATTCAGAATGCGGTAAAAACTGATGAATTTCAACCAATGAAACATACTTTTATTTCTTATGGAACAATTATTTCACTTGTACAAGAGTGGTAGGTAATAGGTAATAAGTAATAAGTTATTAATAAATGAACAAATGGCAATGGCAACAAATGCAACAATAACAGCTGATTTCAGTTAGGATGAATAATAAGGGTTCTCCAAGACATACGGAAGTAGGTATAAATGGACTTCAGCGCTCGACTGACTATAGATCGCCGTTCACTTTGCTAAAGGGGATTGTTGGTTTGAACCCGGCCATCGGAATATCATTATCAAGTTTTTTTCTTTCAAAATATCTTCGAAATGAATTTCATTATCTGCAAGTTCTTCGTTTGTTGTTGGTTCTAAATTGGAATAAGGTTCTTTTCGATACTCGCTCAGTTTATAAATTGTGGGTTCGGCTCTTTCTCCCAATACGATCCTATTCTTCAATATCAAAAATTCCGTTATGAAGTGTACCTGATGGCAATGCGTTAAAAAATGTTCTATATCCTACCAAGGAATCTGAATACCTCGCAAATTTTGTGGCCTGAACGTATATTCCATGCCGGCATCATATTCTGTTTCCATTTTTGTAGAATTACGTTATCCGATGGAAATTCGAATAGAATGAATTGATTTCCCGTGTTCTCACAGATGGAAACTGCACAAACTTGCATCTTTATCGTAATTCTCTCAATTTGTCAAACCTTTGATATTTATGGCATGTACGTCCGTGTACTGTTCGTTCCCGCTTTTTCCATCAATGTATTTGTGGTTATGTCTGATTGTCAGTGCTTGTCATAGTGTCCGTACTCTATAATATACAAAAAACGTCAAAACAGCAGTGTCAAGTACATTTAGGAACTTTTTTTACTATTTTTGTTCCTAGAATCTGTGGTTGAAATCTTTCTATGTAATATCGGGAAACCCTGTATATACCCAATTTTCTTTTGTAAACCCTACTATTTGATTTCATTTCATTAGAAGATTACTTGGGTTATTTAAACCTTGTGGAGCCCTTATGCTAAGGACGTGATAAAATGGTGATGATAAAATCTTTTGGATAGCACGAAAGGAAATGCGTACAATTTCACAACTAACAATTGTTATGTGATGAGAAATAACTCAATGTGCAATACAAACGTAGCAAGGTTATATTTTGGAGCTTTCTGACAGTTTGTTCCGAGTTTGGTTCCTACCACTATGTTGTACTTGAGTAGTTGAATATTGCACTATATTAGCAAAGGCCTCTGATGTTCAAAGGGAGGAAATAGGGGTGACTGCCCAATGAAAAATTAAAAACCTATAAAGTGTAATTCAATTCATATATTTCCCCATATATTTTTCTACAAATAAGTTTGTACCATTTGAGATATCAGCAAAAAACTGAGATGACCCATATTTCCATGCCAGATACAGATGATTCATTTCATTGGAAAATAAATTAGCAATTTTGAGGGTATTGAGTGGAAAATAGGGTATATAAAATATAAAGTATCAAGGAAATGATTAAGATGAAAATGTCATACCTATATCCACATCCTGTACATTTATATGTGTATTTGGTATTAACAACATAGTTATGGCATCTTGAAATTGGTGGTAGTTCTGGATAGGTTTTCATTGCCTTATAAGCCCTAAAAACGAAGTGAAAATAAATAAAACACATCACTGACAAAAAGCAGTTCAGAATTAATTCACATATTATTGCCCTAAAAATGTTGAACCTAACTCAAACTTCAAAATATATACATGTTTTCAAGTTTGAACTACAGAAGATTTCATATTGAAGCAACCAAAATGGTTACTTATAGATTTTAGAATGTGATGTGAATAAAATTTTAATAACAATGGCCAAATTCATGGCTACAACAGTTCTTGCCTGTTTCTTCAGTTCTTTCATGTTTTTTTTTCAAACATCGTGAAGGCGAAAAACTTATTCTTTAACAATTAATTATGTTTTAAGAATAAGTTTTTCGCCTTCACGATGTTTAAAAAAAACATTTCCACATACACTGTGTTGCTAATTTGACTGAAGATGGCCATTTGAATGGCCGAAACATGTATCAAACCTTATTGAAGCAGGAGTGACTGCCTCCTTTGACATTAAAATTGTGGAGACGACTTCGAGTTTTCTTTCTTGATCATTCCACTCCACTTTAAGTATGGACTACTACAGTAGAATAGAATTTCCTATTCAATCATGAGAGGACATTAGACTAATAAGATTAATCACCTCTCATGATATCTACCAGTATACATAATATCGTTTATTCCTCCCCTCTACATTTGACTGGCTGATCATGGGCTTAAGCCGTTACCACCGATACAACAAGGCCAGCAGACTCTGACGTAAACAGCTCGTGACGTCACCAAGAGAGGCCAGTGTTTTATTTTATCGCTTGTCGACTAACGCGTCAGTTCGTGTTAATTCATCGGTGATTCACGTATGTTTTTGAAACGGTCCCGAATTCTTTCGTTGTTTATTCATCAAAATAATTGGCGGAAAAATTACTGTTTTGTGAAATGTTTTGTGTTGTGATTGGCGAAATAACAATGCCTTTCAAGTATTGTGTTCCCTTTTGTCGGGGGAATTATGTGGGTGGTTCAAAAGTTCATGCTTTTAGTTTCCCGTTGGACGAAGAGCTATCGAAAATGTGGGTATATGCAATTCACCGCGAGGATTTTACTCCATCTAAGTTCAGTAGTAAACAGAGCTTAATTTATAATGATGAATTAATAATAGAAGACAATTACTCTCTCATAAAAAGTATAAGTAGAGGAAAAATAGAAAAGCTTTGATTGTGCAGTTAGTTTTGTATTCGTATATTATAGTCAACAAAATCATCTCGTATTTTGATTGACTATTGATTAAATGGTCGTCATTTGAAGGCTTGTTCACTAAAAATGAAAAACTCGCCATAAAAATCATATTTCCTGTTGAATTTTCTATATAAAAATGTGCCATCGAAGTACATCATGAGTATATAAAGTGTCCAATGACAAAATAAGAGCAAGTAGCTTCAAATGCCCCCACCACAAGGGGAGACAGAAGGCGAAATTTCGAACTATTTCTTGAAATATCTCAATAAATAGTGGTTTGTTCACATTTTCATTATAAAATTCGGTTTATCAGACAAATATACGTGAGTACCGAAAAAAATTTTCAAAAAAAAAACCATCGCATGATAAATGCAGTTGTACCCTTAAAAATTACGGTTTCAAGTGTAACGATCCACTTGGGTGAAAAATCCAACAACAGAAAATTGAAAACACTCACTGGTTATTTTTTCAGGTAATAGGAATTCTCCAAGATAAATATAGGTAATTGTAACAAATGCAGTTGTACCCTTAAAAATTACGGTTTCAAGTGTAACGATCCACTTGGGTGGAAAATCCAACAACAGAAAATTGAAAACACTAACTGGTTATTTTTTCAGGTAATAGGAATTCTCCAAGATAAATATAGGTAATTGTAACAAACGGCATGTCAATCAAAATAAAATACATTTTCACAATTTTCTTTCGATCAATCTCACGATAAGTTTATGTTCTGTGGGCCCTGTATAAGTAGGTGTGAAGTTTACCTTCACCACAATGTTTGCCAATATATTTAATTCGAATGGGTTGCTGTAGGTGGATATTTGTGTTTTATCCTGGTTTTTGCTTTAAAACTTCGTTTTTCCATAATAAAATCGAATGGGGTGCGAAGAAGGGCTCAGTTGACGACTGGCATCCTTTTTTAACCGGAAGCCCTTCAAAAAACAGCAAAATCGGCTCAATGATGATCTACAACTAAAATCGAAATACGCGGTCGCTTTATAGCGCTATAAGTAACGGCTATAAGCGCTTGTCGTTTCGAGCCGCTGGTTAGGCCTCACTAAGTGACGTCACCCACGGAGCATGCAGGCCTTGTTGTATCGGTGGTAACGCTTAAGCCCGAAACATGCAGAAATGACTGAAGGTTTCCTACTACAACCCGCTCGTATATCTTAGGAATCTCACCAGGCCTTCCAATACATCCCATGTCCATCGGAAACACAGTTGACTATCCAAGTGGCAGCATGACACATCTCATGGACTAGAGTGTCCCTCAATCTTTCGGCGCTATCCAAAACTTTGTTCGACAAAACGATTCTGACCGATCTTTCCAGTTTCCCGGATCTCCTGATGATTTTCTTGCAGTGGCATTGCCCTGCGGTATTCAGCAGTCTGTCGTTCCATTCGAGAACGGTGTCCTGCGGTATGCTATCGTCGAAAATAGACTCATTGAAGAGATCAAAGAGCTTTTTCGTCAGTTGGTCTCGGAAGTTTTTGAAGTTGTTGCGGTATATGCGTGCTGACATGTCGCATTTTGATATTGGAATAGCCTCTGCAAAAGTGAACAGAGAGAAGATAAGACTATAGCACCAAGCAAGTACAAGTGGCACAAACTAGGTTTTTCATCACTTGTATCCGAAAAATATCAAATAAAGAATGAACCTGAAAAGGATGAGATATTTTTACGCCGGCGGGAGTAGAAGTTTGTTTCTCTGGTTACAAAAGAGGGGTAGAAGTATCGTATTATTCCCTAGGGAGTTTATACCAACTTCACATTCTCCGCATAGCTCTGCGCTTTCTTTTCAGAACGCCCTTCTCTGCAGCGAGTATAAGCTTGCATCATACAGATTTCTAGATCTCATTGGTAGCAAGTTAAGAAGCACTGCAGAAACAGTATCAATAGTTTCTTGGAGTTTTCCCTCGATTTCTTGTTCCATAACGGTTAACCATTTTCAAAGCTGTTTTCATAAACAGTTTGATTATTGCTGTCACCATGGGATGTCAACAAGACTATACTACTATAGTTTATGCGAAGGCAGTTGAAAAACTTCCGTTTTTAAGGACGATACGAGGATTTGTCGATTTGCTTAACATTGGCATAGGAATGAATGAGATATTTTCAACTGAGCTTTCCCGGTATGCAGCCTGTGCAGTCAACGTGGAATGGACGAGCGCTGTCATGCTAGAAACCGCGTCTCATTGGTTACTCCAAACCAAACTATACTGAATGTTGATTGGTCAGAGTTGCATGGGCGGTCTTCTGTGTGATAAGAATCTTCTAGCCTGCGCTAGGCAGTGCGGTACGAGCTAGGTTGCCTTCATTGGTTCAACTCGAAATTCAGAAAATTATTATTTCAATCATAGTGGTTTTGTGTTCAGGAAGCCTTTTCAGGAAGTCAACGAAGTGAGTGATAGTGATTCGGAGGAAGAGCAAGCGGAGTACGCCAATAAAGACTCACACGTTCAAACGCAAAGGGTAATTTTGAATATCTATTCGCGTCTCAAGGACGAGAATAATGATTCTTCAGAAAACCAACTTGTGAAGAGAATACAGGAATTAACTAAAATAAGCTATAACCACCATATAAAGAGTTATTAGAACAGGAGATTTTGTAGATCATGAAGTTAAACGAAAAAGAGAGGGACAAAAACTCAAGAAGCTTGATGATGCTTCGAAAGAAGTAATTCGTCGAATTGTATATAGATTTCATAATGCGAATAAGGTGCCAACATTGCCACATTTCAGGGATAAGTTGAATGAATACGCGGATTATAATTACAAATCGTTAAGTACGTTGCGAAATGTTTTACTATACTAGATTGCGGGTTCAGACATAAGAAATTAGACAAAAGGATGGTGATTATGGAATCGAGACCCATCGGCGAAAATATCTACGTAAAATAAGGAAATACCGTGAAGCGAATAGACCTATAATCTAGATGAAACATGGTTCGACACTCATGACGTTGTTCAATACGGTTGGGTAGATGATAGCAAAATCTGTAATGTGAGTGGTCCGAGTTTGAGAGGCAAAAGAATTATAATCCTTCACGCCGGTAATGAAAATTGATTTGTTGACAATGCATTGTTGTTGTCTGCCAAAAATATCAAGCAATCCTCTGCCGATTATCACGAGGGCGGATATTTTCAGTATCTAAGAAAATATCGATACTAGAAACAGCGAATAGGATACCCCTGTTCGATAAAACAATTCTGACCAATCTTTCGAGTTTCCCAGATCTCCTGATGATTTTCTTTCAGTGGCACTGCCATGCGGTATTCAGCAGTCTGTCGTTCCATTCCAGAACGGTGGTATATGCAATCGTCGAAGATGTACTCATTGAAGAGAGCGAAAAGCTTCTTGGTCGATTGATCTTGGAAGGTTTAGAAGTTTAGAAGAATAGCACAGTGCAAGTGCTAGTAGCACTGACTCGGTATCTTCATAAAGTGCGGTTCTAGCACAGTGTGGTGGAAAGCCGACCAAATGTCGATTTCCTTGTGATATTATTGTCTATTCCAAATATGTTTTTCTTCACCCGATTTATTTGCAACACTTCTTGTAATGCAAATATTATACCCTGTGAAGAATTCTCAGGTAGGTTTGAATATTTCGAGAAAGCTGTTTCATTACGGAAGTATTCCAATTGTTTCTCCATCATCACTGGTATCCAAAAAATATCGATTCAAAAATCAACTTCAATTGGTTAAGATAATAATGTTGTATTACTTCAGAATAAAATAAAGATGTTTTTTGGGCAAAGGAGTTCAATTTTGATTTGTCAGCACGCCTTCAAAACTAGCGGTACCACAACTAAAATTAGAATGTGTCAATCTGATGGTGTAAACCAAAATGCCAAATAATCAATTATAATACCAAACTAAAAACTGAAATAATACCAAAGCCGACGAAACAATGTACAAATTTAAATAAAGTTGGGACAAATCGATAAATTTGTAACCGGTGACAATTTATAAAATATCTTCAAGAAAAATATTGTTGTCATTTTGAATCGACAGATAATTCCAGTATCTAAGAAAATACAAATGGAAGAAGCAGCAAAAGTGTTTGCATTTCAAATAAATAGTTATTCATTATACAAGGGAAAAAAGTAGTAGATTTTAGCTCCAGGTTGAGCCGTGATCTAAAATCTAATATTTTCCCGTGTATAATACACTATTTGTTTCTGTGACAGAAGAAAGGACGAATCAATATTGAGAAAATATTACATTATTTTGAAATCTGAAAATTATCGACGTGAAATTTCAAGTTTTTAACAGTAGGGACACCTGCGTTGTAGGCATATTTCTCATTCTTTTGAAGTAATCAAATATCTGACGACACTTCTGTCAGTCTAATTCTGTGATATGATTTCAAAAAATTGCGAATTTAGTGGTTGTTTAGTAATATGTAACCGCGAAATCAAATGGCAGATAAAAGGACTTGCAGTTCTTTCTCGGAGACGGTATTATTGACTCATTTTTCGGAACTATAGCACAACAAAAGCCATCAACAGTGTATATATATATGTGATATATATCCAGGGAAAGAAGTGAGTAAAAAAGTAATTTATGAAAAGTGACATTTTATAACCTGCCAACAGAGATGAAATGCCAACCTTTTTTTTTCGTCACAGAAAAAACACTCTTTATACCTTCTAATCAGTAGAAAAACTTTTTTGGGAGATTTCCAGAAATATTTATTCTCAATATCTTGTCTCCTATATTTGTTGAAATTTTGGCATTTGAAAGGAATTTAAAGGTTGATCCTAGGTGAAAGTGAGAGCAAACATCACTTTATTTTCCACCCTATCATACTACTGAGTCAAGTTCAATGTTGGTGAAACTGATAAATATACTTCTTCTCCGTCAATGTAAGAATTGGTCATAAAGTTGCACATTGAGAGTGAAAAATCATGAGTCTGTTCAAGTATTTCCATAACTTGAGGTTTCCTATTTGTTGTTCAAATAGGCCACATGATTTTTCTGAATATTTTCAATAAAACAGGTCACAGCCTTCAGGACTATCCAGCAAAATTTTGAGATTTATGACTTTGACATTGACCTCACACTCCAGTAACATCAACTGGTGGGACTTCTGCTGTGAATTACTAAAATTATAATTTCGTGGAAATCATGAGTAACCCGAGGAGTAACCGAATTTTATCAAAACTAACTTTTCTGTCGGAAATGAATTACAAAATCCAGAAATTTGTAGGATAGCTTGGACTTACTTGATAATGAGGCAAGAAAACTGTATGTCCCATTGACTATGACCATACTGTGGTCTATTTTGCTTATTTCTTCTTCCCATTCCTCATCACTTGTCAAACTTACACTACTATGATTCAAGCCTGTTTTGTGAGCCTTACTTTTTGAACCACTATCTGAATTTGTCCCATAACTATCAAGAGAACTAGAACTTGTAGACTGTTGTTTTCTAGGAGTATTTTTCGGCTTCTGTTTCTTTTTCTTTGGAGTCTCAATATTTTCTTTCTGAGACTCCAAACATTTTTTACCATTCTTTTTATTGGTACTGCCAGGACCCTTGATTCCATTAATTTTTTTCTCAATTCTATCTTCAAGTTTCTTTGGCAAATCTGCTCCAGTTGTAGAATTTCCAAAACATACTGAAGCCTTGTTATTTCCTTCATTATCTTCTGTAATATCAGGACTGAAATTCAGTTTTGTTTTAACTGTTGTGTTTTTTTTGAAATATTTAGAAACTATATCATCACTATCATCAGTGATGTTTGAGTCAAAACTCAATTTTGTTTTGAGAATAGGATTTACAGGAGAATTGTCTGAGCTTGTATCAGAATCACATAGTTCTCTTAATCTTGCCATCAATGGGGTTTGTGACAATGTTTTTGATTCAGTAATCTGTTTTTCTTTCAATATATCACCAGATCTTGCATTACCAGAGTATAAATAAGGGTTCTTGTATAGTAAAGACAATTTTGGTTTCCTGAAAAAAACATGATAAACACAATTTATATGAAATCAACACTGTCCAGTGGCCAGACTATTACTAGACTATTACTAGATTTGTACAAAAATCTTAACAACACATGGTAGCTTCTTCAAGGAAATGGTCCAATAGAAGTAAATGAGAAAATATTGATTCCCCATCATAGACTAGGATAAGTCCATCAAGTCCAGGTACTATGTATTCATACTACATTAAATTTGATGATTTTGAAATGTGTTCAGGCCTCAGGCAGAGGTTGCGATAGTACTGATTATTTTGAAACTGAAATAATATAAGAATCACTCATTGTTAGATTGAATCCTATAAGCTTATGATATGGTTTCCATGTACACTGAGTAGTGAGTCTAGATTGCATAGCTACTAAATGTCAATTTCATAAGTATAGGAAGGGATATATGATATGTATATTTATCATTTATTATACATAATTCATACAAAATGGCATTACAAATCCCTCCTACAATTTCACTCAAAACTTGCCCTTGGCCCTTCATTAACCAATAATCATCCAATAACAATTGATACTAGTGGCTGGCCATGAAATTACTAGAACCTCAGAAAAATGTATGTAAGAGCCCAGGTAAGAGCTGTATATGTCACAATATTATGTGGAGCGAAAATTCACTCAATACCATTTCTTCAAATGTGAAACAAAAATCCTGATTTTTCAATATGTGAATGTGAGATTTTCTATGAATGTAATAATTCTTCCTCTGAGGTATTTACCAGAAACCTTTTCAAAAAATTTAACTAAAATCCCAGCAAAAATCACTTTTTCAGAAAATATGTGGTTGGGAATCTGTCCCATGAATATATTTCTCTAGTGGTACTTTATAAGCTGGAGTATGTTACAATATTTTGTCAGGCAAAAATTCCCCATCAAGACCCTCCTCTCCAATTTTAATAAGGTCAAATCATAGATTTCATTATGATTCTGAAGAGATAAGCTAGAGCAGCACAATGCAGTGGTAGTTCCTCAATATGGGTCTAACTTGAAAACTGTCCATTACTGAGCTGATGATAAGAAAATTATGAAGTTTGCTTTCAGGGTAGCCAAGTTTTTGTACTCACCTCTCTGAGTTTGTTCCACGAGGAAGAGTATTCACTTTATTGTGAGATTTATTCCTTGATTTATTCTTTCTAGGTTCAGTCTTAGGCAACACTAGGTCCTTTTTTGCTCTCCATGAATGCCCATAGAGTGCATCAAGAAGTGTTTCCATATCTTCATCATCTTCATCTGTTCCTGAAAATTTTTAGTTTTTTTATTCTATTTTGATTTAGTGGCTAGCTAACTCTTACCTTTTGGCAAACTCTCATTCAACTCTGGGGACCTAGAAATAATATTCTGAATATTTTCCTCATGCTCAGCTGAACTAGTTTTTGAATCTTGATTCAACTTTGGTAAACTGGAGACATCAATCTGAATTTCTGTCTTTGGCTCAGTAGAACTAGATTTTGATGTTATATTAGGGTCATTGAAAGAATCTTCAATCACCAAATTTTCAACAGACTGTATTAGATCTGCTTTGTCATCATTGCCTTCATAAGATTCATTAAAAACCTTCAATATATTATTTTTATCATTATTTTTGAACAATTCATCAAAACGTTTGCAAACAGGAGTAGCAAATGTTGAATTTACTGCTTGTCCTGTTCCTTCAGGAAGATAGTTTTCCCCAGTGTCACCTTGAATAGTTGATAGTTCTGAGAAAACTGTAGTGTTTGAAGAATTTTTCTCAGTATTTACTCTGTCAATCCAACATACAATATCATTTACTTTTTCATCTGATAAGGAACCATTTTTCATGTTGTCAGTCTTAGAGATAATATCTGAAACTTTGTCTACTCCTTCATCAGATGATTCATCTGTATCTGAAATTATGATAGGAGTTTTGTTTAAAATGTTCCATTTCTCTGAATCACAAGATTCAGTACTGCTTCTACTATCTGCCAAGCAGAGTTCCTCATTGTTTGGGGTTATACCTAATTTTTCATACATAGTTGAACGTCTGATATTACTCTTCAGAGCCAATATCGATGCTCCTGCAACTGGAAGGAAACAAGTTTTTGTCACTTAAAAAAATTGGAAAAAAAGACTGACCTCTTCTGAATCGTTTTTGTCCAGGTTTCAGTTTATTTTTTATTTTTGGAGACATTGTACTCAACAAGCATATACTCTCTTCCGAAGTGTCCATTCTCTTGAATACTTTTGTGGGGTATTTTCTATACTGAGATACTGCCGATACTGGCTAGTCTTTCAAAACGCTCTCAAAAATGAATGAGCTCGAATCCTCGAATCAAAACAAAAACACAACAATCTGGATACAGTAAACAATTTAAACTTTTTTAACGGTCAATGTAGAATGTCAGTGTCAGTCAATGTGTCAGCAGGGGCGGCGAGTGCATGGGGGCATCGGGGCCAATGCCAACTGCCAAGGAGAGTATACAGAGAAGGAGTGCTAGATCCCTATCTTCCAATGCATTCCCTAAAATGTGACGTCATGCTGATGCCTTTCGCATCTCTTTTGTTTTCTGTGATCATGCCGTGATCCTATTGGTCGAAATAATACACAAAACATAAACAAACATGGCTGAAATATTTAGCAAACGCGCGCTAATGTTACATCTTTCAAAGCTTTCCAAGGTTTCTTTGTGTGATTTGAGTGATTTGTGAGAAATTGTTCATGTTTTTTATTTATGAGTGATCACTCATCAGCTATCAACCATCGAATTACAGATTATAGAAAGAGGAAAGAGACTTTCGAAGCCTCCTAACCATTGTGAATTTGAGTGCATACAGAGAATTTTTACAGCCTGTGAAGTACTTTGCAAAGAACAACTTCATTGTGAGTATTGATTGTGATCCTTGTACATGAATACACATACCTACAGTTGTATATTTCTCACAGATTAACCAATAAAATGCCTGGAATGTGCTGTGCCCTTTATGGCCTATTCCAAAACTGCAGGTGCTGGTATTATTTTTCATAGATTTCCTGGTTTTGTTACCATCAGACAAGAATGGATAACCAGATGTAGCAATAAAACAACGTTCAATCCAGATTCAAGTAGAATGTGTTCTTGTTATTTCACAATAGAAGATTATGAAAGAGACTTGAAGAATGAATTATTAGGTAAAGATTGCATTTCTCACAAAACTATATGCTTGACTTACAGATAACAGTTGTATCTATCATGCATTTTGTTACAGGTTCACCCTTGAAGAGGATTTTGAAAAAAACTGCGATTCCCACACTGGAACTGGCAGAAATTCAAGAAAACTATGATGCAGGGCAGACACAAGACCATTCAGAAAAATTATTGGAAGTAGTCTGAAATGATACTGGCCAAGAACAAATACATCAAGTCCATTAAAGTCCAATCATCATCAAATGTGAACAGAATTTCATCAACTTTATACTATCTAGGTTATAGACAATTTGGGGAAAAGTACAAGAAAATGGAAACAATGATTCAATGCCAGAAGATACAAATAGAAAAGATACATCTTTAATGAAGCTCTTGACATAAGTCGGCACTTGAAAATTTGTAAAAAGGAAAGTTACTCAATATGAAAAATCAGTATTTTTATTTTTCACAAGTCAAAACATTACTTAGTTTCAGATTAGCAATGCAGCTATTGAACAAAATATGGCAGATAATTATTTTTATGATCAAATTGCTTGAAATGTATCCTACAATGTTCATACCTACTCAAGAAAATTGTTATTGATAGGAAAGTTGGCCCTATTTTATCGAAACATAATAACTTTGTTTCAGATTAGCCATAGAGCTTATAGGTTTTCAAATTTCAATATACAAAAACAGATACTTTGAAATACTTACAGAAGTTGTTACCTTTTCAATTATTTCCAATATAAGCAAATGCTCCACTATTACTGTTCCCACTGAATAAAATGAATTGATTTCAAGTCTTGTTTTTATTCCCCTATAGACCAATAAGGAAATTAAAGTTTTTTCAGAAAATCAAATTTATAATTTTCAAATTTAATCACAATACTCATTACAATTAGTGAAATGATAATGTAACATATTCTTGAAACATTCTTTACACATCATCATCCATAATATATTTCTTTGAATTTTACTATTGTACTACTAGCTATACAACTTTAAGGAAAATAATACACTGAAAAAATTGGGTGCCTTCCAATTTTACTAAGGTCCTCCTCCACAAAATGTGTATGTTTTTCCTCTTGTATCACTATTCATGTATTGAGTAATTACACAGTTCCACAAATTTCTCTGAACCATTTATTTACCTGAAAATTTAATTAATTTAAAATAATTGAGCTGAATTTTGATTTTTTTTACAATCATTTCATCCTCAAAAATAACTCCATCTGGAGGAATATTGTGAGATAAATTGATTAACTTTTAAAGGAAAGTAGGAATCCTCAGTTTTCTCCAGATTTTGATAATTTTTAAAAGGTTAAAATGTGACATGTTTCCAACTTCAGCTAGAGGAATCTACAATTTTATATGTTAAAATACTTATGTACTACAATCATATTCAACTTACAGGTAGGGAAAGTTGTAGCTTCCTTGATGCTTGACAAATTTATTTCTTAAGCTTTCCTGGAAAAACCAGTTTATTTTCCAAGTATTCTTCCTATCATGTGAAAGTAAACCTAAAATAATTCAAAGTGAGTATCAGATGATAATTATGTCAAAAATTCAATTACCAGTTATTTTCATTTATCTCCTTTTTTCCATATTGCCAATCACTGTGGATATTCAATAGCAACTTTTAATGCATATTTTCCATAAAATACTCTAATATAGCCTTGCAACATGGTTTCAATCAACAATTAATGGAGATTTAAATGTATCCACTTAGAATATTAAACATTATCTCTGAACCCTCTTCTTTCTTTTCTATTTTCTACTTCAGATCTGTACAGCTCACATTTAGTCTTCATTTCTGAAATTTCAAAAGATCATTGCTGAGCTGTGATGAACCAGTAATACAACAAAAATAACACCACCTGTTTATAGGGAAGATATGTTTGAAAAATCCTGAGACATCCCTGCTTGCCCCAAGTACCTTTATGCTTTAGAATGTGTAGGCTGTCCAAGAGCTAATGTTTGCAAACATAAGTTTTATATACCTACCTATTATGTGTTTGCTATTGCTTCATCTACTCTACATATTTAATGACCATCAGCTTTCAATACATCTTCCTCTGTCAAAGATCTATTTCTAGTTCACTGAAACATGAGAGCAAAGATGAAATTAACTATGAAGAGAAATATTTGTTTAACATACCTGCTTAGCATTCTCAATGATCCCAAGTCTACTGATATCATCACTATCATCAGTTGATGAAATGGACCATATTTTTTCCATGTGATATTCTTCGGTTTCCCATTATTATAGAGAGTATCTGAAACAACCAAAAACTTCAATGAATAATAAATGCATTTTCGTAATTTGTGCAACAAAAATATTACATTACATAATAATTATTTGAATCACTAACCTGTGAGCCTGTGAGACCATTCAACGATTACCTTCCAATTACACCCAGAGTTGATTATTCTAGTTCATGTCCCTCAATTTCATTATTTGAGATATTTTATAAATACAATAAAAATAATTTTCCAATTTGACGGCCATATTGCGATCAATGTGATGACGTAGTTCTGATACCCTACCACGTGACCACGGCAGAAGATTTTGCGGGATCTGGCAATCCTTCTAGAGTTTATAATCCTTGGGCCAATGCACCCATGTAGGCAGTGGGTATGGGTGCAATGCACCCATTGGCCGAAACAGACGTATAAAAAAACAAATTAGATACGGGCGAAATGAGCACTTGTAAATATTGCACATTGTTGCTGGACAAGTATAGGTAAACAACCATGCGAACCGTATATTCGATTCATGTGCATCCAGGGTTTGACACTGTGCACTGTGCAGATATTCCGATTTAAATTTTAGACATTATGACATCACAGGTTACAGTGCCAGTTTGGAAAAAAATAGAAGTGGCTAATGAATCCATTGATAATACAGTCAGTAGGAATACCTTTGCAATAAATTAACTGGGGTTACTTGCTAATTTTTTCGAATCCCGAAGTTTCTCTATTCCATTTTTTGAGATATGAGAATTATTAAATCTTATTTTATTAATGGTGAAAACAAAATTCTTCTATTTCTCATCCTTGTTCATATTAATATATCAACCATAAACTCGAAACCCGATTAGTCACAAAATATTATATTTTGGTAGAGGTGTTTCACACTTGATGCAAAATAAATAATGCTTTGATCTATCTTGAAATTTGATGGCATTTGACCTTGAACCATGAAAAATTTTCGCCTGCGGCGCATAATTTTGTCTTACCCTGACCCCTCAATTTTGGCACCCATTGGACAAAACAAAACTCGCCGCCCCTGTGTGTCAGTAGTCATCCTAACGCCACTTCGTCTTCTTCTCCCTACTCGTCGCACAGACCCAAGTACTGACCAACATTTTTTTTAACCAAAGCTTTTTGTCCTTAATGCCATCACGAATTTAGTTGTGGAATAAACAGAAGAAAATTATTTTCAGGTTAGTCATTAGAAAAACAACAAACAAAAAACTTGAAAGGAGACCAAGGATTCAAGGAATAATATTAATAACATCCAGAATGCCAAAAGTAGTATCTCGAAGTATAGCTTGCTCAGATACAAAAGATCAAGAGGAATATGGGGATGAGAAACCTTTACACATCTACTATTGTCTTTGTGGTCAAATGACATTGATTCTAGGTAAATTATAGTCCCCACAGTACCTTTCCAATTCCTTTTCATACAATATTTAGTGATGTGAAATTAAATTTTGATTTACAGATTGTTCCATAGAAAAATTGCCTCTTCGTAAAAGAGATGGTGCCAGAGTTTTAGATGGGATTAACCATGCACACAAAATCACAGCAGATACAGATGAAACAGTCTACATCAAACGTCCAGAAGGTATTGAGAGACAGTATCGACAAAAGTGCAAAAAGTGTGGATTACTGTTGTACTACAAACATGAACCTCATAATCAAGTCAGTTTCATAGTAAGAGGGTCAGTTATTAAGAGTACAAATGAAGGACCTATCAACAATATCTATAACCAAGTTGCTGTGGAAAAGCCAAAAAAAATAATGGTTACAAAACATACAAAGAATATGGGAAAATTCAGTTCTGTTACTGTATCCACTATTGATGAAGAAGAAGATGAAATTGAGGCTGTAAATATATTTCATTGTCTGTCAATTACAGTTATACTGATAGTATGATTTTATTTCAGAGGGAAGTTGCTGATAGCTATGCTAATAATGCTAGAATAATAGAAAAACAGTTAGAAAGGAAGGGTATGAACAAAAGAAAACTAGACCAAAGTAAATTACAAGATATCAAAAAAGTAAGAGGAACACTAATAGATAAATGAGGTGATGTGATTTTGTTAGGTGAATAAATCAATTATAATAGATTAATAAAATGTATCCAATATCATAACAAACTTGAATTTGATTTATATCCAACCATATATAACTAAAACATATCTACTTTTAAATATATCTAATGTAAGAGTTAGATTTGAGAAGTTTTGTTCTCAGCTCTGCAGTGATGAGTCACCCTTAATTTCATGTAATCATCACTTCTGGATTGTATGACCTACAAATACATACAATTTCCTGCAAAATAATCAATCCACTCAAGATATTTGACTTTTTTAAATTCAAGTCTGGTTTGATTATTTAAATAAAGGTATTTGAATTATCTGATGAAGTTTGTTAATCTGTGGCCAGAGGTCGACACAGTATACCTCCTCGCACTAGGTCACCTACTAGGTTTTCATTTAGATCGACAATGGACAGGGTGACAAGTTATTTACCCTAGCTCCATAGCTGCCTTAATTTCTCATTTCAACCTCTGAGGCTCTGAGGGACTTTAATGTGGTCATGGTCACAGTTAGGAATGTTAAGATCGAGGATCCTTCAGTTAGGTTAGGGCATGGTGGAATTAGTTTAGGGGTTCCTTGATGCAAACTGACGTGTTTCGTGTTTCATTTCAGTATTTGTGGACAGATCCTCGTCACCTCTCAGTCTGAACTCTGAAGTGTTTGTGAAACCATTGTCGTTCTAGATGACAACTTAGTTAGGTACTTAGGTAGTTAGTACGCAAAAATACCTCCTCGCTAAGATGGCTACAAGGACCTCGCACTAGGTCGCCTACTAGGTTTTCATTTAGAAACAAAAAACACTAGATTTCTGGCATCCGCATTTGTTGTTTTTTAGGTTATATTGAGGACAATGGCGTATCATACGAAATTTTCACATGGAAAATTCTATAATTTTTTAGTTTTTCATTTTTTTTAACAAATGGGGCTTGTTAATTGTTCAACTTTGAATTTTTCATTTTTTATAACTGTTGGTACGCCTATGTGTGGGCATCTGAATTCTTGCCGCTGGATAGAGCCTATTTTGTTCGAAAGTCACCCTCACACAGTTTGTTTGTAACCACACAGGGATGCGCACGGTCGCTCCAGTATAATAAAACTACTCGTTACATTCATTCTGCCTTTGATTCACACAAGTTGTATTTATTCATTCAAATCAGTGGAAATCAGTCACCGAGACTGGTCGATTTAATCAACGCGGACATTTGTCCCAAAAATACATGGTCCATCGAGCTGGGATCGAGCATCATCCAGAAACTCAAGAAAGAACGAACGCCGGCCATAACAGCCGCAAAAACCGTTGGATACGCGCGAGACTCGCTAGAGCGAGCGCTGTTAGAGCCGAGAGTTTGCCGCTCAGCAGCCGCCTAGCAACAGCAAGGACGTTCAAGAAGCCGGTAGTCAGTGCCGTAAGTCACCTTCCTTTGTCATTTTAGTACTCTTGATTCATTCCTATTCTGCTTGGTTTTATTCTGGTAATTCGTGGTATATGAACATTCGTGTATAGATATTGATAATAATTCAAAAATATTAGGATGGCTGATTTAAATACTTTAAACTTGAAAAGAGGTCAAGTTAAGGCAAAAGTTACTCGATTTCAGAATTTTTTAAATGCTTTTAACCCGGATATTTCCGATTTCAATGAACTGAAAGTACGATTAGAAATACAAGAAACACTGTTAGATCAATTTGAAGCGATTCAAAGTGAAATCGAAGCAATAGATAATGTACTTCAAGAGCCAGAAAGACAGCTTTTTGAGGACTCCTATTTCAAAACTTGTGCTCAAGCAAAACAAATCATTGCAGATCGTAATAACCTTACAATTCCAAATTCGAACCAGGGGGGGAGCGTGAGTGGTATGAATGCGTTAAGTAGTGTCAAATTACCTCAACTAAGTTTACCTGATTTCTATGGTCAATATAATCAGTGGATGGCGTTTAGGGATACCTTTAACTCTTTAATCAATGATAATCAAGCGTTATCAGACATACAAAAATTCCATTATTTGCATTCATGTGTCAAAGGAGAGGCCGCTCAAGTGATACAATCACTAGAAATCACTAACGCTAACTACCCTATAGCATGGACGATGTTGGAGGAACGCTTCGAGAATAAAAAATTAATTATACACACTCATGTCAAAGCTATTTTTGATCTTTATGCTGTAAAAGTTGAATCCCACGTGTACTTGAGAAAATTGTTGGATAATTTTAATAAAAACTTGAGATCATTAAAAACTCTAGGTGAACCTACCGAAAGTTGGGACACGCTTCTCATATACATTTTATCTTCAAAACTTGACCCTACTAGTAAAAGGGAATGGGAAGAAACTGTCAATAAAAGTGATAAATCTCCAGAAATATCTGAATTAACTGAATTTTTGGCAAAACGTTGCCAATTGTTGGAAACAATCGAAAATAAAACTAAAAGTGTGAAAGTTACTCAACCAACACGAGAAGAAAAAACTCATATACACATATCTACACAGAAAATCACTTGTTCTTTTTGCAAACAACCACACTTCAATTCACAATGCGAGAAATTTCAAAAAATGACTGTTTCAAATAGATATGCGGAAGTAAAGAAAAACAAACTTTGTTCTAATTGCTTAAGACCAAATCATTTTCAACAAGCATGCAATTCGTCTAGCTGTAGAGTCTGTAATCGAAGACATCACTCCTTATTGCACTATGAACCCACATCTACGAGCGATAGCGCGCGGCCAGTAGAAAATCCGCGGTCTGGAGATTCTTGTGGCGATCGGCGGCAGGATCGAAATGATGTTGGCGAGGTTGATAGAGAAGTTGTACAAGCGCCGTATGTGCTTACTAACACGCGAAAATCTACAATATTGCCAGCTTTCCAATCATATTCATCTCAAGTATTACTTGCTACAGCTAGGATAAAAATACGGAATTATGAAGGTAAGCTTGTTTCGTGTAGAGCTATGTTGGACAGCGGATCTCAATCTAACTTCATTACAGCTCACTTGGCAAGTAAACTCAGATTGAAAACATATGAAATTTATATTCCAGTTGCAGGTATTAACAATTCGGTAAATAGTATTTCTAAGAAAATCGAAACTTATATATATTCTAATGATGAAAATTACAATTCTAAAGAAGTGTTTCTCATAATTGAAGAAATAACAGGTGATATGCCTCAAATTTCATTTGATCTGTCAAAATTGCAGCTACCAAATAATATAGTGCTTGCTGATAACACAGTAAATGAGTCAAGTCCAATCGATATTCTGTTGGGGGCTAGTGTGTTTTTCGACATATTATGTGTAGGTCAAATCAAAACCAATGCTAATAGCCCAATTATTCAAAAGACCAAGTTAGGTTGGATTGTGTCGGGACATTTGAATATTGAAATTTGTAATACGGCTATCTCATGTAATTTATCCATAAGTAACAACGAATTACACGAACAATTGCAATCTTTTTGGAAAATAGAAGAGATAGAAAACAAAAAACACTATACGCGAGAGGAAACCGAATGTGAAGAACACTATATAAAAACAGTTAAACGAGATGTTGATGGTCGGTTTGAAGTAAGTTTGCCGGTGAAAGATGAACTTCATCAATTAGGTGAATCTGAGACTAGTGCAATTAAACGGTTTCATTCGGTAGAAAAAAGATTCGCACGCGATTCTGAATACAAAGGTAGATACGTTAACTTTATGAACGAATACATTAACTTAGGTCATATGAGTGCAATTGATCTGAATAATGATACTACTGATATCAAATGCTACCTACCACATCATGGGGTACTGAAAGAGAGTAGTAGCAGTACTAAACTTCGTGTTGTTTATGACGCTTCTAGTCCTACTAGTTCAGGGCTGTCTTTGAATAATGTTTTGAAGGTCGGACCGACAATTCAGTCTGAACTTTTTTCTGTGATTTTGAAATTTCGAAAACATAATGTCGTGGTCATTGGGGACGTAAAGATGATGTACCGACAAATAAATTTGAATCCGACACAACGCGATTTGCAACGAATAGTATGGCGTCCTAATCCGAATGAGGAGCTCAAACATTACCGTCTCAATACTGTGACGTATGGGACAGCTCCAGCGAGCTTTCTAGCATGTCGTTCTTTGATGCAGTTAGCTTATGAGTATGAACATATTTACCCTCACGCGAGTGACGTAATAAAATATGATTTCTACGTTGACGACTTAATTACGGGCGCAAGTTCCGTATCCGAAGCACTTAAATTGAAAAATCAAATAATTGAAATTACAAATAGCGGAAAATTCACGTTAACAAAATGGTCGTCAAATCGTAAGGAGTTATTAGAAACTTCTGATCTGGATTCACTACCAAAATATGATATTTGCAATGACCAAACAATAAAAACTCTGGGACTCGTTTGGAGTCCACAAAATGACTCTTTCACATTTACTACAGATATAAATTTGGATAATTCAGTCACGAAACGTACTATTTTATCTACGATTTCTAAGCTATTCGACCCCTTGGGCCTGATTGGTCCAATTTTGGTGTTAGCAAAATTGATACTACAAAAACTCTGGGAGTTACGCTCAGATTGGGACGAATCAATTCCCATGGATTTGCATACCACTTGGCTGCAGTTGTGTCACCAACTCCCAAAGATAAATGAATTTGTTATCCCTCGTCAAGTAACTGTACCTCAGAGTGTAGAGGTTCAAATGCATGGTTTTTGTGACGCATCTGAGCTGGCCTATGGTGTTGCAATTTATATTCGAACGACGGATGTTAATGGGGTTCATTATTCGAAATTATTATGCGCAAAATCAAAAATCGCGCCGTTGAAAAAAATCACGGTGCCTCGTTTAGAATTATCGGGCGCGCTTTTACTAGCACGTTTAACGCGCAAGGTAGAACAATCGCTAGACATGGGCGCACTCAGAAAATTTTATTGGTGTGATTCTACGATCACGTTAGATTGGATTAAATCAGAACCCAATAATTGGAAAAACTTTGTCGCTAATCGGACATCAGAAATTCGGGATTTAACGGATCCACATGCTTGGAGACATATTGAGGGCAGTTCGAATCCTGCTGACGTCATATCTCGAGGTTCGACTCCAGAGCACTTAAGTCAAAATAAACTATGGTGGTTTGGGCCTCCATTTTTGAAAAATGATATGTCTGATTGGCCAGAAATACGTACGGAAGGGACACCCGATACAACTGAAAGACGTAAACAAATCCAATTGAATTTTGCTTTGTATAATTCGCAATTTATTCTTGACAGATATTCTTGTTTTACTAAAACGCATCGGATATTTACTTATATTCTAAGATTCATATATAATTGCAATTCTAAAAATTATGAAAAACGAAGTGGTACGTTAACTCGTATCGAATTGGATAATTCACTCAATGTACTTCTCAAATTATGTCAGGCGTCCAGTTTCTCTACAGAAATCCACGCATTGAAATCTGGAGACGCTATACCAAAATCAAGCAAAATATTGTCCTTAAATCCATTTCTTGATTCGGATGGTTTATTGCGTGTTGGTGGCAGAATTAAATATTCTATCGAGCCTTTTACTAAAAAACATCCCATAGTTTTGCCAGATAAAAATTCGTTCACCAAACAAATTATACAGTATGAACACATACGAAATTTGCATGCCGGGACTATAGCCACTTTGAATGCAGTGAGAGCTAAATATTGGCCAATAAACGGAAGAAGTGTAGTTCGGGGAATGATACAAAAATGTATTACATGTTTCAGAGCCAAACCTCCAGTTGCTAATCCTATGATGGGAAATATTCCCGAAGCGAGGCTTGTTCCAAAGCGTCCATTTTCTATAGTGGGAATTGATTATGCGGGACCTATCCTAATTAAAGATAGTTTTTTAAGATCTAGAAAATTGGTAAAATCCTACATATGCATTTTTGTATGCTTCATAACAAAGGCGGTCCACATCGAGTTGGCCACTAGTCTATCTACCGAAGCATTTTTTTGTTGTTTAAAGAGATTTGTCTCAAGACGCGGATTATGCACAGACATTTATTCGGACAACGGCACCAATTTTGTGGGTGCTGACAATGAGTTGAAAGGTATCATCAATGCCATCAATAAATCTGTAAATTCTGGTGAGTTGAGAGAATATACCTTCAGAAATTTCATAACTTGGCATTTCATACCTCCTCTCGCTCCCCACCAAGGCGGATTATGGGAGGCCGCAGTCAAATCGGCCAAATACCATCTGATTCGCATCGTAGGGAACACGCATTTAACTTACGAGTGCTTATATACTGTGCTTTGCCAGATTGAAGCCATATTGAATTCCCGTCCTATCACCGTCCTTTCTAATGATCCAAATGACCTATCTGCACTCACCCCAGCACACTTCCTAGTGGGTGATTCTATGATGGCTATACCGCAAACCGATGTCACTGAAATTCCGTCGAATCGATTGAAACTTTTTCAACAACTACAGCAGTTATCTCAACACTTTTGGAAGCGCTGGTCTGCCGAATATATAACTTCTTTGCAACAGCGCACCAAGTGGAAGTCCAACACAATGTTGCCAGTCAAAGTTGGCTCGCTCGTCGTTCTGCGAGATGATAATCTACCACCACTGCAATGGCGACTAGGGCGTGTTGTTGAGGTCCACCCAGGGAAGGATGATGTTGTGAGAGTGGTTAGTGTAGCCACCAAAAATGGTGTTGTGAAGCGTAGTGTAAATAAAGTTAGCGCTTTACCTATTGACTAAAATGTACTTTAGCTCCTTATGAATGAGCGATTCTGATGAATTCAGGACAATTTTGATGAATGTCAGACAACTTTTATCGTTGATAATGTTTGATTTGTTAGTCCTAAGTAGAATTCATTGTTTGTGTTGAAAGCCCAAGCTTTCAAGGCGGGCTGTATGTTAATTGTTCAACTTTGAATTTTTCATTTTTTATAACTGTTGGTACGCCTATGTGTGGGCATCTGAATTCTTGCCGCTGGATAGAGCCTATTTTGTTCGAAAGTCACCCTCACACAGTTTGTTTGTAACCACACAGGGATGCGCACGGTCGCTCCAGTATAATAAAACTACTCGTTACATTCATTCTGCCTTTGATTCACACAAGTTGTATTTATTCATTAAAATCAGTGGAAATCAGTCACCGAGACTGGTCGATTTAATCAACGCGGACATTTGTCCCAAAAATACAGGGCTGTTCTTTAGCTGTATTGCTGTACATATGAATACATTTTGATTTCAGACTGAGCCTCAATGATTGAGAAGTGGCGAAAACCTTGTATATAATATTATATGTGCTCATCATATGTCATGTGTGCTAATAAACTGTATATTTATATTTATTTCATATTGTGATTTTGGGTAAGTATCATTTTTGCAGTTTTTTACAGCTATAATTCTTTGTATGGTATACAGAGTGTTTCTTGATGACATGCTAATAATATTCAAGGGGGCGATTCTTGGACCCATTTCAAGAACAAAACTTTAGATGAACGATAATGTATCGTTAAATTTTTAACTTCTGAGATACAGGGGGTATCAAAGTTGAACATATACATAGATTTTTTTTCCACCCTGTATGACAAAATTCATTCTGCGTGCTGAAACGGTGCAAAGATTTCAAAATGTTACATACTGTGGTAATAGATGTCCTAAATGGAGTACTCAAGCTTAGCATTTATATCAAAAATTTGTAGTACGATCTCTTTTTCAAAATTGAATGACTTTATAGCATTTTATTAAATTTTTTAAAAATTCCTCCTAGCTCATTTTCAAGTATAATAGAATCAATCATATCCCCCTAACGGCGCCACTGGTAGAGAAAAGGAAACTCTGTATACATAATAAAAAAATGCACCTTGATGCATAGAAGATATGTACCAAATTTCATAGATGTCTACAATATTATCCCGGTTATTCTTAAAAAACGGATCCTTTTTCAAAACTTCATTACCCTGTTTCTCAAAAGTGAAGACTTTTAGGAAAGTTTTTTTCTTTAAACGAGTTAATGAATCAACGCTTGAATATTAGCATGTCTTTAAGGGACACCCTGATGTATATGCCACTTCTTATTTTAATCCCCCGTTTTAATCAAAACAATGCATTCAAAAACTTTTGGAGTGGATAATTGTGGATAGTATTAGCGTTGATTGATATATTACGCTTACGCTGGGTACGCGTAATATATCAATCAACGGTATTAGTTAATTTTACCTCGCATATTTTGCTGATTTGGGCGAGTGGACTGATAATGAATTATTGGCATTCAATTACTCCACTTTGTCGTAAAAGGAACCTAAATTAATTTTTGCAACATTTCTCATTGCTTTTTTATGTAAATAATGAGTTTGCGTTCTTAGAAGTAATTGTTGAATGTCAGTTTTTATGCTGTTTCTTATTGGTTAGATAATCTTCCATTTCCACTCATAAAGCAAGGTGGTCAAGTCACCAATTATTATAATCAAATTCAAATTTGCCATCCAACTGAATGATAGCCTAATGCAGCACATTTGACCATATCCTCCCAAAACGAAATTAAATAATGTCGTATTAGTATCGATTGTTCATCATCAGGGGACCCTAAGCACAGTGGATAAAGAAGTCATGACAGCTGATATACTGCTGACAGGTGTATAAGACACTTCGAAGCCATATATGTTTATTAACTCCATAGTCATCAGAGATGAGTATGTAAATGTCAATTCAATGGAGGCCAGTAATCAATTGACCTCCTTGAAGCCAGAACTAAACCCAATTGAACATTCTTGAGGTGCTCTTAGGAGAAGGTGAATCAGTATCTGATCAAAACGTTCAAATTAACGTACTGTTCAAATAATATCATGAGTTTGAGAAATGAAAAAGCCACTTATGTCAGTCAGTCCACAACTCAAACAATTTATTCATAAGAAATAACAATGATCAAAAAAACGATACAACCTCATATCATTATTACAAAATTAGATTGAAAGCAATAATAAATAATCCTGTAAATAACCTTCAAAAAATTTTAAAATATATATCTATCACACAATCTGAACCATCTAAGACTAGACTCAATGTTTGGGCCCCAAAGAAGACGTATTTTTAGGTGTCAACAAAGGTGTAGTTTCTTCCATAGACCTAGTATGCTTCGCTGCTTGCCGATAGTGCCTATCATGCAAGGCTATTGCACTGCTACGCATATTCAGGGGCCCCATCACACTAGGCCCTTCTGCCATCCAAACAGATTGCCTAGGAGCCCCTAATCCTAGAGCGTTCCCTGAAGATGGGTCCTCCACAAAAATCGATTTTGTACGAATGCTTTTCTTCCTTTCAGCGCTAGTTGTGGAGCTTGACACTAAATTAGCAAAACTAGCAAACATGTTCCTATCATCAACATTGTCAAACAATGGTTCCACTTCATCTTGTACTGACTCTACAAATTGTACTGCTTCGGGTGGAGGAACCCATGATGGGTTTGTAGTGGTGAAGTGAACTAGGGATAGCTCTATTTTACCGTCTTCCGCCTGAGTGTATTGATCAGGTATAGATTCTGTCTGAGGCAGCAAAGAATCAGTATGCCATTCTGGATTGCCATTCTTTTTTATATCCATTTGTGCAAAGCTACACACATCACCAACACCAACTACAGACACGGTGAAGTTCCTGAAGAAGTCAACTATTTCCAATGACCTGGGATATACCCATCGCCACATAAGGTAAGGTGTCAAGATTGGTGATAACAAGTCTTCTAAAACCGCCACAACACGCATTTGGAAGAGCTGCTGAAACTCTTCACGTATCTTTGATGTGTGTGCCTGCCCTCTCCAACCAGAAGGCAGATAGTGAGTATGCATCACTACACACTGTAGCAGTTGTTCTGGACACCAGACTACAGTCTCATCAGGGATCAATCCCCGACAAATAGCCGTCATTCCACCTACTCCAGTCATCAATGTGAGCACATGTTCCACGCCAATGACATCCTCGTCATAAATCGTCAGGGCTACTATAACTGTGAACAGGGACCCACATAGGAACCCCACATACTGTGCTACAACTGTCACTACAGGACTGCTGAATGCTGAAAGATATTGTGATGCTGGGAGATAAGCTCTTGTGAGTCTAGAATGCAGTTCATGATCTAGCTCATTGAAATGTCTGAGGTACATTTTGGAGTAAGTGGACCAGCATCTTGTCCCCATTTGTCCAGGTTCACGCTTAATTACTTCCCCATAGCTAAACATTGTGTATAAGATCTGCCAGATGAATATTATCGGCGCTAAGATGAGGTTTATCAAAGCCAGCCACAATATTTGTCTACCAAGTTGCTGTGCTAGCTCAGTACGCAAGTTCTGTCTCTTATATTCCTCACGCAAATGCCAGGGGTTCTCAAATGGGGACCAAGGGGACCAGAAAAGTAAACTTTGCATGTTATATCGCAGCCCTTTGGTCCAATAGACAACTTCCCCAAGAAAAGGTATATGCATCCTTGGTGGTAGCAAATGTTTATTAACCATAGCTACCAAATAGTTTTCTTGACGCAATATTCTATGGTATATATCCAATTCTGTAAGCTCCCTCTTGTGTATACACATTTGCTGTTCCAGCTGCACTAATTTTATTCTTGTTTGAATTTCATGCCAAGTCAAATTATCTAAGTCAGAGTCTTTAATATTGAGGGCAGTATTATAAAATTGCTTGATATCCCAAAAGTAGATTATCTGATAGCACCTAGTCAGGAATTTTAATAAAAATACAGCTGCTGCAATGATCAATATGAACCAAGTCAAGCCAGTAAAATTGTCTAACCACTTATCTATAGGGTAAATGACATCACCTAAGGTAAGTTTTCTTCCTGGTCCTGGAGTATACCCAAAAAGCAATTGGTAGTCTATTCCATGGATGAGGTATGCTGTTAGGAAGACTACAAATATGAATTGATTCAGTTCAAAGATTTCCTGAAGCAGCATACAAACAAAGCCATGCTTTTGGTGGTACTTATACATTCGAGAAAAAAAGGAGTCCAAGTCTTCTATGTGGTTCCATTTTGATCTAGTTGGTTCAGCTACATGGAATAGTATCCCTTGTTCTTCTTGATCATGATTTTCTTGTAAGGATGAATAATTTTGCATGATGATTTAGTTTAGAACCTGGAAAAACAATATCAGAGTTTGAGATAATGATAATTAAAAGCTTTGAAAGTACCTATTTGAAAATTATTAATTGCACAGTTCTATCCCTGAATCAGAGAATAAAATATAATAAAAGTGATGGAAATACATCTACACCATTCTTCCTTTTGGTCATATTATCACAAGTATTATCACAAATACAATTTAGGGCAATCTAGACAAATGCTCACGATTTTCAAAATTTTGATTATTATAATACTTGAAGCCATTTGAGAATTAATTTACATGTTTGTTGTTTTGAATGGGACATAATATGTCAAGAAACCTAACCATAATAAAAAACAGCTGATATAACTTTATATATGATGACCGTGAACAAAACAGAAGCTTACCATCGAAAGTTGTCAACAAATAATTTTATCTGTACTCTGGATTGGATGATGACGGCTGCATGATTTGCACTCGAGAGGGAAAATCAAACAAAGAGATCACATCACCAAACCATTATTTTGATCACTACATGTTTTCCACGAAAATGTATCAACCAACCCGATGAACGATATTTCACAATAACAGAGAACACTACTGATCGGTCCCAGTGGTCATTTCGTTCCAATATTTTGATAGGTCAAAGTGCAATTTCAAGAATCTATAACTTTAAAGTTTCTGATTGATGGAAAATGGAATGGAAATTTATGAAATCATGGTAAAAAAATTAAACAAAGAAAACGACGACACGAAATTCGAAAGACAAGTGAGACAGAGACAACATAAATTTTATCAAAATACTCAAAATAGTGTCAAGCACGAGCACGATAAAGATGTCAAGATGTCAAATTTCAAATTAGTCAAAGCTTCTGCTTGAACTGTCAGAGGATCAGAGCCTAGAGGCTAACGTAACTAATGATGTCAATAAGACAAACGAGAAGGAGAAGAATAGGTCGCGTGCACGAAGACCGACCCTGGAGGCAAAATATTGAAACACAACCTCATTCTTCTGTGAATTATTGAAACACAACCTCATTCTTCTGTGAATTATTGAAACACAACCTCACTTTTTTATTTGGTTACAGCGGAATCAAAAGGTTGAAATAGTTTTTCACAATATTTTGGCATACGAATCGTGTTTCTTGCGTTATTCATTAATTCAAGCATGCCTTCGCATTGTGCTGTTGTACAATGCACAAAAAATGCAGCGAGACGAAGGAATATGATTTTTCAGGTAAATATAGTAATCTCACATAGTTAGCATTATGAAATGTTGTCATTCCTTATTAAAATTCCTTCTGCCACTTCTGCAATACAAGCTAATGCTGCTAATAGATTGAAAAAGTCTACAACACACACGATCGTCAGCATGTCAGATCAGTCCTACCGATTGATTGCATGAATCCAATCTTCTTGCATTATTCTAGAAATTTCAGGTATATTTCTATTAGCTGATCCTATTGCAGAAGGAATTCCGATGAGAAATCAGAGAAATAACCAAATATCAAAAATGAAAACTATGTGAGTGACTATAGTAGGTACTTACTTTTGAATCATAATGTACCATCCGGATTTCTTCATCTTCCGCTGCAGTTTTTGTGCATTTTACAACAGCACAGTGTGATGGCATTAGCGAATTGATGAATAGCGAAAAAATACGATTCATATGCCAAAATAATTGTTTGTGGAAAACTATTTCAATCACTTGTAAACAAATATGTTTTGCCTCCAGGGTCGGTCATCTGACAGTTCTTGCACGTGACCTATAAAAAGCCAAAACGTCAAATAAATTTGTTTGTAGGTTATGTTGCCACGTATTTTTTCCCATTTCCCAAACTCAACAAACATTTGTTGTGCATAATCCCAGAAAATATGGGTAATGCTGAAAGTGTGGATATTCCAGGGGGTGGTACTGATGGCTATCACATACTGCGAGTAAATAAAACTCATTCCAATGACAATTACATCTTAATATTGTCAATCATTCTAGGTTCAAGAAAACTCCCCAGGAGCCAAAGCTGGTCTACAACCTTTCTTTGACTTTATCGTAGCCATAAATGGCACTAGACTGGATAGGGATAATGATACATTGAAAACAATCTTGAAAACTGGCATTGGTAATATTGTTCACACATTGAAGTATTACAATAAAAATCATAAATTCTTGCAGGGAAACAACTACCATTAACTGTATACAGTTGCAAAACACAAGCAGTGAGGAGCTTGACTATTGAGCCTAGTGACTCCTGGGGTGGACAGGGATTCTTGGGTGTTAGTATACGCTTCTGCTCATTTGAAGTGGCTAAAGAAAATGTCTGGCATATCTTAGAAGTCAACCCTAACTCACCAGCATCATTAGCAGGACTGAGACCATTCTCTGACTATATTATAGGGTCTGATGCTATTTTACATGAGAGTGATGATTTGTATAACCTCATAGAGAGTCATGATGGGGTCAGCTTGAAGCTTTATGTTTACAATTCAGATGATGATAGCTGTAGAGAAATCACCATAACACCAAATTCACATTGGGGTGGTGAAGGGATGGTTGGCTGTGGTATAGGTTATGGGTATTTACATCGTATTCCTGTTAGGAGTAACTTAGAGAAACAGGAACCTACTACAACAATCTACAATACATTGAAACAAGAAAAGAGTGTTGAGCCAATAGTTACAGCATCTAATGTACAGTTTACTAGTAGTGTGACTGAATTGACCCAAAATACTGCTGGTTTGTCTCTGAACACTCCTAGTAATGTAATAGCACCAGCTACTGTTGATAGCCAAGTTTTCAGTGCAAATTTGCCTCCTCCTGTATCCATTCCAAACTTCAATTCTGTACAACCAAGTCCTCTTTTCAACTCAATTGTTGCACCAGTAAATCCAGTTACACCTACTGCACAATTTCAAACTGGAACACAACCAGAAACAAATTATACCACTGTTTCAACTGCACAAATTCCCATGTATTTTTCACAACCCCAATCCACCCCAGTGAATTACCACACTACACAGAGTTATGCGCCATACAATTCTACCCAAAACCAACCAGTTTATAGTGATCCATCAGTGTCAACCACAATTGCTGGTGCTCAAGCACAAAATATTCCTCATGGTGTGCCTATTACTTCATCAGCTTTACCTCCACCTCCTTTGTCAGGATTTCAACCAAATCCTGGACAGCCACTGATTTTTGATCCAACAATAGCAGCACAGTCTGCCCAGCAATTGCTTAGTGGGAATGTGCCTATCTCTAGCTAGGACTAGAATGATCTCTCATTCATGGACATAAGCAAGGTAAGACACATGGAAAATATTATAGACCAGCAGGTAGTGACATATTTTCAGACATGTTTTCACCCAGTATGCCTTCTGGAAGGTATCTTTCTTCTTTCTTTGAGATGTTTCATGCACTACACAGTGTGTATTGCACTTGAGCTACTCCCAAATAGAATACATTTTAATCTTTGTTGTTTTTCAAAGGAAGGAAGGAGAGGAGGAAGAAGAAGAAGGAAGGAGATGACTTTTAGCATTCCATCTTAGGGATGCTGATTCTAAAATCGATTTTTCAGAGATCAATCTTTTTCACCCAATAAAATGATTAATTAACCGATTTTGATTCATGGGATTGGTTATTTTTTTAGGAAGATCCATCTTATATCCTTGTGACTAAGAAAACATAATAATGTTGTTCCTTATGTTTCTTCTTTATTGGGAATTTATTTTAATATTTTATCATTTTTCATAAAATTCTATACTTCTTCATTGCATTCATGATAATATTCCTCAAGTTATCTCCTAATGATACCTAATCTGAAGAAAAAAACAGTATTTTTTTCAAATTTGGCGTGGTTTGTGAGGGGACTAGATTTTGGAGAATTGGTTAATTTTTTACCTCCATCTTTTTTTAATCCATTCTTTAGGGTTCCGATTGGAATCCATTCAAAAAAAAAATCGGCATCCCTATTCCTTCCTTCCTTCAGAGATTGGGGAGTGTATAATCTCTGCTTCCTTCCTTTGTGCCCCAGTGCATGTGCTCTCATTATTTACCTTTTGGAAATTTTGAAATATAGCCAATCTATGTTGATAATTATTGTCTGATTCTGGCACAGGATAATATACCATGATTCTGGAGACCAGCATAGTCCTGTTCATTTGTGCTTGCTCCGCCTACTGAACGAAAAAATGCTCAGATGCCCCGAACTCTCAACAGAACGAAAAAAACCTGCAAACGACTTTGATTGTTAGCAGGAGGTGCAAACTAAAATCGACCGATCTGAGCATTTTTTCGTATCTACGCTATTATCACCCAAAATCTCCCTGTCAAGTTGAAAATGGGCCATCCTGTATGATGAAAAGGTTATTAAATAATTAACATGGTGACCAAAATATCAACATGAAGGAGGAAGAACCATGCATAACACAATAACTCTGATATCTTGGACTATGGATGAGGAGGGACTCCAAAAGAATTTCTTCAGATATATCGTAAACCAAGCAAAATTTAGAAAGAAATGTAGTGAGAAAAAAGATAGATAATTGATTTTGTTATTCAAGTAGATATTAAAATATTGTCAGTAGCGTACTCAAAAAAAGTTCTATGGATTTTCTCCAATCAGAATGCAAAATTTGTATCTTCCTGTATATCGATTGAACTGATGAGACCTGTTATCTATGCACACTTCTTATAGTTGACTGCCTTCCAAATTTCAGAGCATTACCTCTCAAGGATTTTGAAATATTCAATAAAATCTGAAAAAACAAAAAATTCCATTCATCGACCTATTTTGAACCCTAGTTCACCCTGTTGAATTTGATGTACCGGGTGATTCACCATAAATGTCCCCCCCTTCAGCTCACTTATTTTTGAACCGTTTTGAAAATTTGAAAGATAATCTAAAATGATTTTTCAGAAATTTTTTCTCCGTTGCATCAGAAAATACAGGGTGCTCGGAACAAACGATCTACAGAGTACTAATTGATTTTTTAAAATGGAACACCCTGTATTTTATTGTATTTTTAGATTCTTCCTGAAGAGCTGATTTCATCAATGTATCACACTTGGGGTTTAGCCGAGGGTTTAGCGGAAATGATTACAGAGATATAGGGTGTTTAAAATCGAGATTTTCCAACTTTAGGATTTTTTTGTGCCGAAACCGAGGCCGAAACTATTCATTATTGGTCTCAACTTTTGATTTACTATCTAGTGCAATCTAATTGGAACATTTACAGGGTGGTTCAAGATTCAGTATTCTGGTCACCCTGTATCTGTTCCAATTATTAAATGTCAGTAGATAGTAAATCAAAAGTTGAGATACGGACATGAAAACCGCGTGACCGATAATGAATAGTTTCGACACAAAAAAATCCTAAAGGTAAAAATCTCGATTTTGAACACCCTATATCTCTGTAATCAGTCCCGCTAGACCCCAAGTGTGATACATTGATCAAATCAGCTTTCCAGGGAGAATCTAAAAATACAATGAAAAATAGGGTGTTTCTTTAAAAAAAATCAAATAGTACCCTGTAGATCGTTTATTCCGAGCACCCTGTATTTTCTGATCTAGCGGAAAAAAACTTTATCGAAAATCATTCAAGATGATATTTCAAATTTTAAAACCGGTTCAGTAATAACTGAGCTAGAGGGGGGGACATTTATGGTGAATCACCCTGTACGTTGTTCTGGGACACCCTGTATAGGTATAAAATATATAATTATGTTCAGTATTGAAATGAAAATGGAAATATAAGTGAAATATACTTGTATAAACTCTGATCTTGATGAGTCCTGAGGTCCTGAGTAACCTGAAGGCCAGTTATTCTTTCAGCCATTTTTCATGATATACACAATTCTCTTCTTTCTAGAATACAACTAAAACTATAACGAAACTGACATCTGAGAATTATTGTTGACATTCAATCCTTGTCATCCTATATTAGTCCATCCAGTGTCCCAAAAGAAACAGGAACAGTTCATAAGAATTAATTGAACGAAAATTTGTTCACTTGACATTTCATTGGTAATTTTGTTGCCTGGAAATTATACGAAAAAAAATGCCTTGCAGATTTTCGAGTTAACTTTCCCAAAGGCAACAAAACTCGAATTATAAATGTTAAGTTTACTCCGACCAAAAAAAAAAATAAGTTTAAGTGTGATTCGATAAGACAATTCAATGAATGCATAAATCACATTATTGATGGATTTTTCAATATCTCCACTCGAAGAACACGTTGCCCCACCTGGCCGCAAAAACTTCAACACCTTTGAGCGGTTTGTTCTGATATTGTGACCAATAAGCACAAACAAAAAACAAATGTGAACCAATGAAATTAAAGTAAACAGGCCGCTTTGACAGCTTTCAAGATCTCCGATAGGTGGCGTACGCCTATTTTCTATCGCGAATAACGCAAGATTGAGAAAAACTGACATAAGCGCCATCAAGGATTCGTTCACAATGGTTCACAATTATGGTGGTTGTCATGGTTTCAAATGTTAGATTCCGTTTTTTTTTTCTGGAGAACTCAAGGCAATGTTTTCGTGCTGTCATAATGACAAAAACACAGCGGCTTATGGGATTTTTCATACGCTAATTAAATTGTCTGAAGAAGACGAGTGCTTCTCTACATTCAAAGATCTTGCTGAAATAGACCGATATTTTATTATTGGGCACAGAATATGTACTTTTCATGTAGTAACTAGATTTTTCAAAACTCTGTCCAAAACGTTTGAGAATTATCCTTCATATTTGATAATAGTCTGAATAAAAAACTTTGGGCCAGACCCAGAGTAGTGTCTACCACATTTTGATTAAGGATTCCAATGTTATGCCCTTGTGTGTAACCTCACTTCTCAGGAAACCCTTTCAGAAATTATATGTTTGTTCACCAATTATATTTTTGTTTCAGATGATTTATATTGGATGCATTTGATAATAGAGATTTTACTATGAAACCATATTTGGCAAAATTCAATATTGTGTTATTTAATCTGCTGGATAAATGCAAACGGAACATTTCCATACTTATTTAAAATATTTATGAAATGAAGAACTTACATTTTGAGTGTTTATTTTTTTATTTGATCCCATCTTATTGTTATTGATTCAAATATTTATATTTGACATAAACAACATATTCTTGAACTATGTTGAATATTATTATGATAATTATTGTTGATCAAACCCCCTGTACCAATGCCAATGTGGAAATGATTGATGTAAATTTTACGATATTTTATATAAATATTGAGTGATGTAATATAATAAATTAATATATGAAAACAATGAAAACATTTCATTCATTTTCTTTCTTTATTGAAAACATAACAAAACAAACGTCAAGAATGTACATCACTTTCTAAACCATTAGATATGATTTCACACCATTGACTGAGGTTAACACATTATTTCACCTTAATTATATCTATTATTATATATAAACTCTTCATTCTTTATATATCCTGGAAAACTTTCAACGTGCTACCTGAAAAAAAAAATATTCACTTTACTGGATGACTGATAAAATTATTGAGTAACATTATAGCTATAGCTTGATAAACTACAAACTCAATTTTGGATAGTACTATAATTACACAATAATAACTATGAAAAATGCGACTACAGGTTAGGTACATTTTACCATGATACTTATCGGATAGATGTTGAAAGTGATTCATATGGAGCAACTATAATGCTAAGGTTTGTATAAAACCATGAATGTATGGTATTCAATTGTATCAATTTATGTATGTAATTATACGCCTACACTTACAAACAATTACAGTTGAGAATAACCTCGAGAATTGCTCTGCAACAAATTTATTTTTTCTACAAACGTCAAAAAATGACAAGGTTCGCGCATTGATAACAAATTGCGAAGTGACACTTTTTTAAGTTTCCTACGTTACCATGATACCTTGCACAAAACAATGCGCGAAGTAAAACAGTGCGCGAAGTACCTACTTCGCGCATTGTCACGTAAAATATGTGAGATATTTATATTTCAACTTTATGGTCCTCAATCGAGCAAACATCCACGAAATCATTTATTTCTGAATGTTCAACAATAACTTTGTTCTATCTCTTGGAGCGCACGAAAGGAAATTCCTATTTGGTATGCTCGTGGAACATCGTGCGTAACTAGGGAAAGGGGAAGGCCTTTTAAACCAGTTCAACACTATTTTTTATGTCAAGCTAAGCATATTTTTACATTAGAACTATATTTTTTGACGTTCGTAGAAAAAATGTTGTTTGCAACTCGAGCGCGAAATACTTTGGTCATCTCGACTATTTTTTTAACTCGGCTACGCCTCTTTAAAAAAATCAGATCTCGATCACCAAAGTAGCATTTCGCGCTCTAGATACAAATATAACTATTTTTCTGTGACGGGAAAAAAGTTTGAAATTTCCGGAGATTCCATATCTCTGTTGACAGGTTATGAAATGTCACTTTTCATGAATTACTTTCTTCCCACGAGAAAAAAAGGTACTTTCAATTCAATTTTTGGAATGAAATATCTCTTTAATTAGAAGAATTAGGAAAAATCTGATATCATGGAAATATTCCTTAGATTGTATCATATTAATGTGCTGAATTTGTGCACTTATTACAAAAACACTTTGTATATACACCATTGATGGCTTTTGTTGTGCTATAGTTCCGAAAAATAAGCAAATAACTCCGTCTGCGAGAAAGAATTTTTCAAAATGATTTTCATATAATGTATTATCTTCTCAATATTGATTCGTCCTTCTTCCTGTCACAAAAAAATAGTGTATTATACACGGAAAAAGTATTAGATTTTAGCTCACATAACCTGGAGTTAAAATATACAACTTTGTTCCCTTGTATAATGAGTAACTATTTACAATAGCGCAGTCGGCAGGATATTATTGTGACCATAAATAATTTAGAATAATTCCAAACTGTATTTTATTCATAAAAGATTTGCACAGGTAGGTTTTTGAAATCTACCATTCGATTGGTATCGGATGGTATAATTCTTATCTCGTTATTAAATCGCAAAATCGAGTACCAAATTCCGCACAGGAAAGTTGAATTTTTCAATCACTTTGCTCAGGATAGTGATTGGCACAGGTGCCGTTCGATAAACTACAATTATTGTTGCTAAGCAGTTGAATAGGTCGGTGAAAAAATTCACTCAAGTATATGCCAGGTAGTGCCATCTGTTAGCAGAGTGGTTTATTTGTAGTACCACTCTGTAGCGTATATAAGTAAGGGTCTGTACGTGTGACTATAGATGGCAGCGCCGTACAGTGTATGTCGCGATCTCTTGATCCTATCTTAGAGCTTTGCCACAAGATGGCTACAACATGACTAGAACTTCATGTTATACCCTGCGTCTTCGAAATGGGTGATATACCCGAAGCGTAGAGTTGTCCCAGTTGTCAGCAGACCGAGAGCGACTGATGAGTCGAAACAGTACCTACTGTCTCGCTTCTGCTGACAATTGAGGCAACTCTGTTCATCCTGAATCTCTCAGTTATGAGATCTAGCAGTTACATCAAGCCTGTCCAAACCACAACTAAAATATCAACTCTTCATGAATTGAGAGCCCTGATTTACTCAAGTTCAATTATGAATCAGATCATATTTAACACAGATTATTTCTTATCTCGAAAACCGCTGGAGATAGGTATAGGGATATATCAACAATTGCAATGAAAAGGTATAATTCTAAAAATGTATTAATATGTAAATATGTAAAAAATTAAGTTGTTAGGACTTTTTGATAGAAACGGCAACGTCGCAATTTCGAAAATATTTTAGATCGATAGAACAAGTGATGAAATGTAAGATGCGCAGTTTTCAGAAAAATCCTGCGTTGCGTTCTCCATAAACCTCTGACCTACCATCGACCGTGAGTTACCCTGTATACTTTTCGCACCTCTACTCAAATTCTCTCTGCCAAATTCGCATTTGCAGTTTCACTTTTTCTGTTATGAGCTAAAGGCGAGAAGTTTATTGAATCACCCTGTTCAGAGTTTTACCATTGATCTAAAATTACCTGGCTGATGCAAAGTGGAACGACGTGTACTTGTAACAGGTTCAGACGTTCTGGTGTAAGTTTTTTCAAATAACGCCATCTTATAGCTTTCCTCCATCTGCAAATTTTCTTTCAGTCTTTGTTCAGCTCGATGAATTAGTGACTGATAGACAGACCTATTAATGCAAAATTAATAATCCATAAATCGTTTATAATTTCCTTCATATTTCATCCATTTCATCCGAGACTTCTCCGGCAACAAATTCAACTCTATATTTTTTGCCACCTCCCTCTTTTCTGGAGGTGTAAGTACTTCCAGGTCGCTAATGTCGCTATCACTGTCCATTATATAATAATTTTAATAATCCGATATTTTTTCGCACAACTGTCAGAAATCTCATGAACTGTCAAACTATAATTATTATGGACATTTCCATAGCAACCAACCATTCCAACAACTGCGATTTGTATCAAATTTTATTTTAATTGAACATTACAAGAAAAATAAAGAGATATATATCATTATGAACAATCGGAGAAAAAATTATATGTTCAACTCGACAGCAAAGTAGATTGACTGCCTTAGCTGGATTCCTAGCCTCGCTACGCTCGGCTATGAATTCAGCCTCGGCAGTCAATCTATTACTTTGCTGCCTAGTTAAACAAATAACTATTCCCGAGAAACTGCTCAATCGAAATATGCTATTGAATAAATCGTAGGTATACAGGGTCACACCGAAGTGCACCTGTGACCTAACTTTCCGATTCGAATAGGGACACCCAGTATATTATTCCATATTCAAGTAGAGTTCATTATTACAAATTCAACAATGCCGGGTTTGATGGGACTTTTTCAAAGGCTTACGAAGATATGGCAAAAAATAAAACGATTCAATAAAAAAATTATATGATTAGATTTCATTAATATAACACGATTGAAATCGAATTGAAAGAAAATAATTAAAACCTCAACAAGAATATTACATATTCTTTCAACAAGATGGGTGTCCTGCACATTACTACAGACCCGTAAAAGACTATCTTCGCCATCGGTTTGGAGAACATCTAATAATCACCATTTGTCCCGATGGTGATAGCAACTGGCCAGCTCGGTCGCCAGACCTCACCCCACTTGATTTTTTTTGTGGGGCTACTAGAAACAACAGGTTTATGAGTCGCCAGTTGAGAAAATGGAAGAAATGAAAGAGAAAATCACGAATTTATGCGCACAAATTGATCGCAACGTGATACATAGGGTCACAATGAACGTTATCAAAAGAGCTAGGAAATGTTTGCAGCAGAATGGACTACATAATGAGCAGTTGAGGTTTCAATTATTTTCTTTTCATTCGATTCCAATCGTGTTATATTAATAAAATCTAATCATACATTTTTTATTGAATCGTTTTATTTTTTGCCATATTTTCGTAGTCGTTTGAAAAAATCCCATCAAACTCGGCATCGTTGAATTTGTAATAATGAACTCTACTTCAATATGGAATAATATGCTGGTTGCCCCTATTCAAATAGGCAAGTTGAGGTGCACTTCGGTTTGACCCTGTATACCTACGATTTATTCCATAGCATATTTCGAGTGAGCATCATCCAATAATGGGTGACCAAATTTAAAGTCATTCAATCGCGCGGTTGATTTTGTACAAGGGGGGACATTTTAGCTGGGACACGGTGTATATACAGGGTGTCCCTAGACCAGTGGGACAGTTGAATATCTCCTGAACCAATAGGAATTTTCGAAATATTATAATTCCACAGCATATCGCATTATGAGTGCTAACTTCAGGAATGACTATATTTTCTACGAGGGGCACAAGAAAGGCTCACAAAATCGAACATCAATTTTTTCAAATGGAACACCCTGTATTTTATTGCATTTTCATAATCTACTTGAAGAGCTGAATTCAACGACCTAGCACACTTGGGCTCTAGCGGGAATGATTTCCGAGATATAGGGTGTGGAAAATCGAGATTTTTCATTTTTGGGAATTTTTTGTGTCAAAACTATTCATTATTGGTCAAAACGGCTTACATGTCCATGTCTTAACTTTTGATTTACTATTTACTCGTATTTAATTGAAACAAATACAGGGTGGTGTGGAATTCCGACTGAAACTGAGAATTCTACACCACCCTGTATTTGTTTGATTTAAATACGAGTGAATAGTAAATCAAAAGTTTACATATGGACATGTAAGCCATTTTGACCAATAATGTATAGTTTTGACACAAAAAATTCCCAAAAATGAAAAATCTCGATTTTCCACACCCTATATCTCGGAAATCATTCCCGCTAGACCCCAAGTGTGCTAGGTCATTGAATTCAGCTCTTCAAGGAGAATATGAAAATGCGATTAAATACATGGTGTTCCATTTGAAAAAATTGATGTTCGATTTTGTGAGCCTTCCTTGCGCCCCTCGTATAAAATATGGGCATTCCTGAAGATAGCACTCATGATGCGATATGATGTGGAATTATAATATTTTGAAAATTCCTATCGGTGCAGAAGATATTTAACTGTCCCACTGGTCTAGGGACACCCTGTATATTACCTGTTTTTCACCAAAGTTTTCTCGAAATCCTTCTTTTTCAAGCGATAAACTTGAGTCACCTCTATCGCTATAATCGTTGCTGTTCGCGCCTGATCTTTCAAGACCAGCGATATTTCGCCGAAATATGCGCCATCTTGCAAGTGGCATATCTGCAATGTCACAAGGCCATATCAATAATCAGGTATAGTATATTTTGTTCTTCGTAATCCCCTGTAATTTTTAAATAAAAAAGTAACAGAGTGATCGATTTCGCAATTTGTTTTGCTGGTCATTTTTTTGCTGGTGAGTGAATTTGAAATATGGAAGTAGGTGGCAAAGCCTATACAGTTTTAGGTCCAATTTTATTATTAATTTTCATCAATTCAATATCATATTTGGAACTGAAAGGAGATCTTGAGTTATTTGCAGACGATACTACAATGATCTATTCCTCTAAAGAATTTAACGATATAATTAATGATGTAAAAATTGACTTGAAAATGATATCATCTTGGCTACAAATTCATAAGCTGACTCTTAACTATGAAAAATCTACGTATATGTATATTTCAAAAAGAAAAACTGATATATCGAAAACAACAATATTTTTCTACCAGAAAGCCATAAAATATTCACATGTTACAAAATTCTTAGATGTCTATATTGATGAACAATTATCGTGGGCTAAACATATAGATCACCTGAGAAAAAAGCTAAATCCAATTACTGGTATTTTATACAATCGAAATTTCATTCCTCATTTGAAGAATATATATTTCTGTCTGATTTACTCAAAATTACAATATTTGATATCAATTTGGGGAAGCACAAGTATATCACATTCACAAACAATTCAGTATTCTACAACGGAATCATTTTATATAATTTATTACCTTATGATTTGAAACATATTGATGATGAAACAAGATTCAAAAGTCAATATGAAGAAATATATACTCATGACACTGTAAACGGAGCAATTTATTCTCATTTGAATACTCATATCATATGTTTATATATATATATCTCTATTATGAACAAAGATGTTTCTTGGGGTAATAAAGAACAACAACAACAAAACGATCTATTATAACAGCATACAAGTTCTTATTTGAACTGCAAGTTCGAAGAGTAAACACCCTTTAGATATACAGGCTGATTTTAAAATAAGTGCATATATTTTAAACTCTAAGAAAGCTTGAGGTATACTACCGAATAGCACTATTAAAAATATTATTAGGATCAAGATAGATTTGGGGCAAAATACCCTTTTTCCGCCCAGATTTCTACTTCTGTCACAACTATCGTTTGCGATCCGCAGTCGACCGTGATGAACGAAGCGACGTTGCCACTCTACATGAAAATTAGGAGATATTAAATAAAATGTATAATCGAGAAAATGTACATGGGGAAGAAGTTAACCCTGGTCTTGAATTTCAGAAAGATAATACAAAAACTTTAAAATGGACTCACCCAAGATTTCTACACATAAGCTCGAATAGCGTATAACTTAACACCTCACGGTTGGAAGTTCTTTTACTGAATAATGCTTTAGACCCTTCCTTCCACCTCCTTGCATCGCTACAATTTCGTGTCCTTCGAGGAGTCTCATGGGCCCCGCACAATAACGACCCGACATAAGAACCATATCATTCAGCTCAATGTTTGAGAAATGCATCGTCACATTCCAAGCAAATTGTCAGAAACAAAACTTTACATTTACTAGTATCACGTTTTGACGTTTTCCAAAATAACATACATTCTCAGATCAACAAACTGTCAAGAAAGGATCTTTGTTTTGATTGTTCTTATGGTGTGCTACCAGCAAGAATTCAGATGACCATGAATTACTAATAGGCGACTTTTACGGACCAATCAGAAACAGCAAAGTAGTGCCTGCGTGGTTGCGATTCATCCTGATTGGGCACAGGTGATTGAGATTAATGTATTAGTGAGGAAGGATCATATCTTTAAATGAAACTACCATTTTCATAAAAAACTAATTTGGAAAAAACATCTATTAGTTTAATTCAATGAAATGATACTTCCTCACTATACACTAATCTCACAAATCCAATCAGCTGTGTCCAATCAGGATGAATCGCAACCACGCAGGCGCTACTTTGCTGTTTCTGATTGATCCTTAGAAATCACCTATTAGTAATTCATGGTCATCTGAATTCTTGCATCCGAAACGGTCAGAAGCATGCGCAGTTTCACAGAACTGTATGATTTTTTTGGGTTCTGTGGACTTGTGCATGCTTCTGACGGTTTCGGATTGTTTATTTTCTGAACGCGAACAATCCTAGTTAGTACTGTCAAAGGTCACAGCAAAGAGGAAATCTATGGTCACAGATACTACTGTTCTGAGAAATGATGTTGACAGATCATATGATAATAGTTTTGTTTGTGTGGTTGCTGGTTTGTAAAATAATTGTAAACGTAAAATAAAAAATAAAATAATTGGATGTTGTGTCTTGTGTCGTGATAATCGTGATATGGTCGTGATCGTGATTTTTCAATGTGAGATTACCAGGAAGGATATGTCGTCGTCGAGTAGTTTTCGATGGTTTAAGTGCGAATATGAACCAACAAGAACACAGGACGATATTAGTCTGGAATGGACTCGATATTAGTATTTGTTTGCTCTCGGGAGTTTTGCTGTTCGAACAGGTATGAGAAAATCTACTAGGTGAGTCGATTTTCAACTTTGTGTATGTTGTGTACCTATTTATTGTCTGCTAATTTTGTATCTACCCGCTGGGGCCTTATTTTCGAATTGAAGGAAGGGGGACGTTCTATCATTCCCCTCATGTTTCTCTCCTTCTCTCGTGATCCATGGAGATAATCACCCCACAGTTCTCTCAGTGAACTATAAAAAATAAGGCTCCTGTACATATTACATTCACCTCTATTAGTTTCCATAACCTATTCCAATTCATATTCATTCTGTAACAAATTTTTATCAGGATATTCGTCTCTGAAACAATCTGGCATCACTGTCTTGTTTTGACGTTAGTGAATGACGAATTGGGGATTCCCTGGGATTCCGCAGATTTCACTTGCTTCCCAGTGGCGTACTCGAATTTCGAAGCATTTTATGTTCAATTCTCAAAATGAAATTTCTCGTTAATGTGAAGACTTAGGAAAAATCAAATATTTTAGTAATTTTTGTTAGACTCTCTCATATATATGTCTTGAATATATGCACTCATTTTAAAATCAGCCTGTATAGCTTCAAAAATATGTATTTAGACATTTAATCCAAATGACTATAAGATTGTAATCATCAAAATAGTATGACGAAGACTTGTTCAGTAGACCACTTGAATTATTGCCCAGTGTAGGTATTTACCTCTTTTCCTGAATGGGTATACACCGCGACAGTTCCGCTGGACAGAAAGTACATGGAATCCCCGTTGGTGCGAGATTGTATGATGACGTCACTGGGTAGGAATATCTCGGGTATTAACATGGCTACAACGTCTCTCACCTGATTGGGAGGAAGTTCAGCGAACAGCGACACGTTTTCTATCAGCGATCGACACACGTGCAAATTGATGTCTTTACGAAGCTTATCTGCAAGGATTTTTGAATCAGGACAAGACAAGTTGTGGTTTACACGTTTTCTACTATTCATAATAATATATTGGATATTCAAACACGGATTCAAAAAATATCATGCATACTCAATAGCGAAAACATTAGCTGTCGTTCAATTCTGATTGAAATGAATAGCGAAGCAAAGTCTGTCAGTTTGGCATAAAATAATTATGGCTGTACCCGGTGAACAACTACGAACGGCTGTCATATCTATCATTCTTTCAACTTTGATAGTTGATATCTTCCGTTGGCGAAAAGTCATGTTACGGTTTTCGTTGGTCTGTTGAGATTTAGTTTCTCTATTACATCGTGTAATGATATGCATCCCATTAGATTCATTCTATCTCAAACTTGTATCGTCATTCGTTGCTGAGATATGGCCGACAGCCGTTCTTATAGTTGTTCACCCTGTACTTGTCAGAATGAATTACTCATTTATAATGAATAATTTTTATGCTTCGTGAACGTGAAATAGTCTAGCAAAATACCACTTTGTTCTGAATATCTTCTCATAATTCTGTCTTCCATTGTTCACGAAATTGTGATGCCGAGCTACGACACGAATCCGTCAGGACGAGTAGTATTGCTATAATACAACACAATTGAGTTCACAATGAAGCGACAGAATTATCTAGAATATTCAGAACATCATGATATCACCGAGCAACAGCACGAGTCCGTCAGAACGAGTGGTATTGCTGTACGGCTTTCGCAATAATACAAGTTGTCTTTGGCTTGTGATTGGTCAAATTATGTGACAATTTTATGATAAGTGAAATAGTCCATGAAATGTGTTGTGTATACAGGGTGTATCGGAATAAAACCGAAAAAATCCAAGGGGTGATATTCTAGCATATAAAGTTCCTATAAATATGTGTCCTAACTTGCTCCGTTTTTTGAGATACAGGATGTTGATGTTGGAAGTATTAATTGTTTTTATTTATAATCCCCCTGTATGAGCTTTCATGGTGCCAAAATTCAGTATGGTTGGAGACTGAGAAAGACCCAAAATTTCAAAATGATTCTAATTGGGGTTATTGAGTAATCTCAAGGGAAAGTCTTGAAAACACGCCTACATTAAAATTTGGAGTCAAATCGAATTCTCATTGTTTCCTCAAAAATTAAGCTAGATACAAAAATCACACAAAGGATACAAAAGTTGTTATTTCAAAAGTTCAATCTTGTAAAAATATGAAACTCAGAAAAACCGGTGGCGTACAATATTCACCATAAATATCGATAAATTGACCCACTGAGACGCCACTGGAAATATTATTTAGAACAAGAAAGAAAACTCAAAGTCGTCTCCACAAGAAGAAGCTCCATATTAATATTAACAAAACCACAACGTTTAATTGAAATTGATGGAAAGACAATTGAGTAATGAATAAAAAAACGATTTTTCATGGAAATATCAATACCCTGTATCTCGAAAACGAAGCAAGTTAGGACACATGTAAATATGAACTTTATCTCCTAAAATATCAAGAGGAATCACCCCTTGAATTTTTTCGGTGTTATTTAGATACACCCTGTATAATGAATACCCATATTGAATATTGATTAGTGATTTGAAACAATCAATTACAATTTTTAATAGACAAATAATACTACATCGCTGGTATATGGGTAGATACTTCAAATTTCAATATTTGCTCACCTGAGAGTAAACTATTGATCAAATCCTCTTTGAAGTAACTCCTTTGGTATTTGAAAGCATAAAACTGCATAATTCTTTGTCTCAATTTGAGAGGTAGTTGTTTCTGTCTCATGTACTCGTTCAATTGGTTGATTATCCCTTGGTACTCTATCTCCATTGATCTACTGTTCAAAATCGCCAGTGCTAACACAACTATCACAAAGGAATACTATGTCAATTTTTATTTGGTCAAACACAGCGAAAAACCATTTTTCTTTATGGCACATAAATATACATATGGATTGAGCAAAACCTCTTCTTGAGTAGATAGGTATTCCACGCCATGATTCATTCTGTACATTTCTATTCTGCAAATTGACGCATGTACACTCAATAAAATTTAAAATAAAATTCTTGAATTTGTATAAGTATCACTATATTTCCAAGTTGGAAACCAGGACCTATAGCTTATAGTGGATTTCGAATCGACATTGTCTATGATATTTAAATTTCTTTTTTTATCTCCATTATTATGAATCTTATATTCGACTGATGATGGGCTTATACAGGGTGAGTCATAACTATTGGGTCATAGGCGGATTGTTTGGATCAAAATATGGCGATTGGACCAAACATGCCTTGATAAAATATTTCTGTGAAAAGAGATACAGGGCGTTGAAGTTGATTTTTTTCGTTTTTTGTCGTTTATTTGTTAATAATTTCACTGTATATGAAATATATTTGGAAAAGTTTTGTGATTTGGTTGCTTTCTGTCTAGATATTAGAGATATTACAATTCATACCTTCTGGTTGCATCCTGCATTTATCCATTCATTATAAATGATTGTGACGAGGCATTTCAATCGAAAAAAATTTGACTAGAAACTCGAACCAAAATTCATTCTCTGACAAGAAACGCCATTACCAGCAACATTATCTGACAGTTCAAGCACACTCTTTATGAATGAAATGATATTTATAATCAACTTCTGAGACTCTGAACTGTTCAATAGCGTTTTTCTCGAAAACGGATGTAAATATCGTGTTCAAACAAGAGTACCAATATTACGTAGAAATGATGTTTAGGTCATATTTTTCAATCAACACCACACAAAAGTTTCGTCAAAAAAAGTAACCAGGCGATTGCATCATCAGGAATCAATCTCGTGGCGGCCCTGTATCAAAATGTAAAATAGTACATAAAATAATATTCACTGTATGAAATTATGCCTCTGTGCCAATTTTGATAACAATTGATGAAAATACAGTGAAATTATTAGCAAAAAACGAAAATAAAAAGTCAACTTCAACGCCCTGTATCTTTTTCCATAGCAATATTCTATCAAGGCATATTTGGGCCTATCGCCATATTTTGGTCCAAACAATCCGCCTCTAGCCTATGTCCCAATAGTTATGACTCACCCTGTACATATAAACCCGAAACACATGTTCCTGCGTGATTGATCTCTGATGCATGATCAGTCAAATAAACGTTTTGGAGATGACTTTGGGTCCTTTATCTTTGATTTATTATTTGTTTTGTTCAATATAATGATCATCAACTACTTTCAGCTCTAGGGATGAAGACATTTCTCATTGAAAACTATAGGGCCCCAAAAGATCCCCGTTGCACTGGGCCCCCTTCAACTCTCGCTACGCCTCTGAAACGAGAGATACGTATTTTTCGAGATGCCCACCCTGTATCTCAGCTATCTTTCAGCTCATCGGAGAAGTATAAACTGTCGTTCATACATTTCTTCACGTAGAATCCACTGGCGTACTCAGATTCTCAGAATAATCTGCTTTTTCAGATATAACCTAAGTTGTGATTTTTTAAAGGGACACTGTATATTCTTTTATATTTGAAACATTGATGCTCTGCGCTTTCTAAAATTATATAACATTCATGAGGAATTCCAAGAATTAGCCATGAATTTAGATAATTTCTAGTTTTTCAGTAGATATTTCATCGATATGCCTTGTAAATATGTGGCAACATTGTCCATATCACGAATTTTCATATATTTACTCTGTTGCTAATAGTGTTTCGTTACACACTTGTTTTGATTTTAACAACATTTACCAATATTCAGCAATATTTACTGACTATGAAAGCTGTGGACCTAATTGGTAGGTGGCTATGAGAAAAAGTGAGTGCAGAATGTTTTATAATCTTAGTCGCCTACCTGTCGAATTTTCAAAAGTTCCATACGACGGCAAATGATAATCCAGGATATCAACATAACGAAAATTTTGAAACCAACTTATATATATTTTTTTATGTTCTGGTTCTCACTAAAATGGATATCCTGTAATGTTCAGAAAACATCGTGAGAACCAAGGGAAATAAGGTAGGAATTCTTCTTAAATTTCTGGAGGTTATATGCCTCGGGGAACACCTCCCTTGGCAATGTGTTCCAGAGCCTTGCTGTTTGGTGGATGAACGAGTCTTTGGAAAGAGATGTTTTGAAGGGCTCCAAAGTGACCACGAGGGAGTGCGAAGCGATCGTCGGGTTAATCTCGCAAGGACTGCCAAGGGAGGAACAATTGTTGGTATTTCAGAAGAGCATCGTCCATGAAAATATCTATAAAATAGAGCCTGATCGACAACTTTTCTACGATGTTCCAGAGAAGTGAGTGCGTTTGTGAGCGAGGCATCACCCACGAGACGAATTGCCCTTTTTTGGACAGAATCAAACAGTTTCAGGGTATGTTCGGGTGCTGCACTCCGAAAATCGAATGAAAAATTTGTAAATTCGATAGGATTAAAAAACATTCTATACACCCGCTTTTTTCATAGCCACCACAGCTTTTATAATGAATAAATAGTGCTGAATAATTGTAAATGTTCAATGTTGTTGAAATTGAAACTAGTGTGTGACGAAAAATTGTGTCGTCAGCAATTTATAATATGGACAATGTTGCCACATATTTACAAGGCCCATCGATGAAAAATCCACTGAAAAACTAAAGACTGATTTCATGGCTTATACTCAAAATATCACATGAGTGTTGAATATTCTTGGAAAGCCCGAAGCATCATTGTGTCAAATATGAAAAAATATACAGGGTGTTCCGTTTAAAAAACCCTCACTTTGGGTGATATCTGTATAAATACAGCTAATTTTGATCATATGATCACACAATTGGATTGATTCCACGTGAAAAAATGTGTGAAAGGCAGTTTTCACTTTCTCGATAGGATGAAAGAGAACTGAGATACAAGGGAGTTCCCAAAATGCAACATTTTCTTTGAAAATAGGTGAGCCATCCCGTAAGGACATTGAAAGTGGGACAGCCTGTACCTACAATAAGTAGTTAGGTATTTATGAGAATTGAGAATGCTTCTTAGATAATAATTCTTGATACTCCATCGATGGTCATTGAAGAGACATGAAGGTATATCTTTGTTGAGAAAATGGGATAAGGGTAACAAGCATCAAAACGATCTGAAGGTCGTCGATAATCCAGGATACCTCTCTCCATTGATGTATTCATGAAATATAAGTTATAAGGAACTTACTCCAAGTAATTGCGATAAGAAATTTTCCGACTATATATGTAGTGATGGCTACCAGATAATCCTCAACGTATTCATTTTTTTCGAGATCGTATCGAATACCTAAAAAAAAAACAGAACTGAATACCAAACTATTGCGAAGGGTGTTCTGTAATAACATTAGATTTCTGCTGCCATTTATTTTTTGGTAGTTGACTAGCAGGTGTCACGTCGACACTATAAAGGGTATTATTTAAATATGTGACCAAACTTCAAGGAGCGATTTTTTGCATATAATTTTCAAGAGCTGTGTATCTTGAAGGCTAGAAGATATATTTTTTGGGATCACCAGAAATCACAGATTCCGAAAACAATATAAAAACAGTGCTCCATTGAAAAAAAATTTAGTTATTTTCACGCTTTCAGTGATCACCCTGTAATCCTTCTGATAGGGGACGTGAAAAGGCCTTGTTGCGGCATTCAACTTCCGCATATTGTTTTTTTTTTCTCTATATAGAGTGAGCCTTTTCGATGGTTAACCCTGTACGCTGACCACCCCAGCAAACACAGTTACATCACAGAGATACTCCAGCGATGTAGCAATTGTGACCTGAGATATCGCATTCTATGTCGCATAGAGGTCTCTGCAATGTCAGGGGGATGTTATTTTGTGCCACTCAAATTTCATCCATGCGACGTCGCTGAGATAACTTCTCTGCGATATAACAACGATATATTTTTTGCAATATGTTTTTGCGATAAAAATACGATGTGATTCGAGATGATATCGTAGTGAGACGAAAAAAAAGTATTTTCAAACATGGTGTGATGATAGGTACACCACTGACTTCTGGGTTATGTACCCAGCCAAATTTGAATCTCATAACTTCGGAACCCTGATAGAAACCATGGCTTGTCTAATGATTTCGTTATCAACCATGGAAATAATTTCTTGGTAGGTACCTCTTTATAGCATTTTTTATTCTAATTTCTGGATCTTAATCACATTTCAGGGTACCTGTTGGTGTTAGTGAAATGATTCGCAGATCAAAACATTCCAACGTTTCATGGAAAAATCTTCTCTTCAATAATGGTATAATATGTATAATGGTCGCCTGTAAAAAGTACCTTCTTTAATACCCATAATTTTTCTATGAATTTACTTTCCGCTTAGGCTGGCTTGAACGGTAAATCACAAGGAGCAGATATAGCTGTTTTATAGTTGGTTTTATACTACAACAAAATATGTAACCGTCCATCAACGATAAAATTTTCGTTCACTGTGTCAGATCCTGTTTTTGAATCAAATATTGGTTTTTGTAATAGGATGCTCAAGGGTAAAGTAATTTTTGATATATCTATTATGGGATTTGAGGTTATAATGAAATCTGTGGTACATACATGGAGCGTTGATGGGAATACTCGCACTAATCGAAGAAAAAATGTTCTACTAGAGTCTAGCCATAGCACCATAGCGAGGTAATATTTCGCCTCGCTCGCTGGGCGCGAGAAACTGAAAATTTCCAGCCGATCCTGAGAAGAAACATAATTGAAATAGCGAATCACTATCGGCTAACCAATAAATACCTCCATTGTATTTTTTCGATAAATTACTTCGAAAAAAAAATTAAAAAAGATTACCTGGAGTGGGGATCGAACCCTGGTCATTTCGAAGGAACACTACTTTTATGACCACCACGTTTCTGGCAAAACAAACTACAAAACAATTTCTTACGCTCTTGATTTGCTACTGTGGCAATATCTCCCGTATAGTGGTGCTATGGCTAGGGTCTAATACAAAAAATATCTACATAAACGCGGAGTGGGCTGGCTATACCAGAGCTCAGTGGCAATCGTATGATAAAAACCAGTGTGTTGCATTGGTTGGTAAATGATACAAAATCTTCAACGGTTTTTTGGAAGGCTATGTTGCTTTGATGTGATGTATGTGGTACTTTGATGATAGTTCTTCAGCGTCGTCAGCGTCTTAGTACATACCTAAAAGACATGCGGAACTCTTGAAGGCTGCCTTTATATAGAGCTTCTTGTAATCTTCGCCAAAATGCTGTCGGAGCCACTCCTTGGTCTCTGACCCAAAATTGTACCGCACCAGCCTGGGTACTGTCAATATCAGGCACGACGACAGATGCAAAATGTACAGGAAGGCTGATATTGATGACGCCAGAAATACTGCTGTGCCGGATTTGATGTGAAAACTCTATAAAATCCAAATAGCGAACAGGAATAATTTCGTTAAGTTAAGATAGGGACATGAAAGCCGACAATGAATAGTTTCGACACAAGAAAATCTTGAAATTGAAAAATCTCGATTTTGAACACCCCCTATATATCTGTTATCATTCCTGCTAGAAATCGATCGCGATACATCAATGGAATCAGCTCCTCAGGGAGAATCCTGAGATTCGATGAAATACAGAGTGTTCCATATGCAAATTCAAAGTTGCTGCTACTTTCAAGTAGAAGTGGTAAGGCCGCATCTTTCAGAATATTCTAGATGTGTAGAGCATGTCAATTTATACCGACCATCAAGTTTTCAGATTCATCTGTTGTTTGGTTTGCCAGAAACGTCTAATTAACGTTCATCGTGAAAACCCCTGTATAGCACACGCAGAATATCTCATTCATTTTGACAGTTCAATGTAAACGAGTAGGTTTTATCGAGGAGCAGTTCCATCAGTATAATACCAAATATGATTGGCTATAATCACACATTGCTATTGTTTCAATTCATTAAAATGTCATCACATCTCATACTTTGTATATTAGGTATATTGTATTTCTCATCCCTCCTCAGTATTCATTTTTGGCAAATAGGTATTAGCAGCAACAGAGTCATATTGGGAGAAATTTTGATCCACCGTGTATGATAAATAATGTATAAAGTTTGTTCAGAGAACAAATGAACTGATATAAGATTAAATGAATATAAAAAGCTCAAACTCATTTCCACACAATAATATTCATAAAATGTACAACAAGGGTAAATTTCGGGCTAATACCACGCAGAACATTTAATGACATCCTCCCGAAATCTATGCATCGAGTCGTATAAACGAATACTGATACAAGTGATTCTTTCCTGAATGCCTATTGATTTCGATCTAGCCAGGCCACGCTAGACACCTACAGACTGGTTTCGAGCTCTTTGACTCTCATCAGTCCAGGGCAGTCTCCAGCCAGCAGCGCTAAGACCGCCGACTAAGCGTAGCCTAGCCAAACAAAAATCAAGTCGAATGAACATTGTGTGGAAATGACTGAGCTTTTTGTATTTATTTAACATTTCATTCCACTTTGAGCATTGTGGCTATTTCGTAGTTGAAATTACGCCAGTCGGGCAACCATCCACTTCCGTATGGGAATTTCGGTTTCGGAGTGTTTCTTTCCTTCGTTTCTACTCAGATGCTAACTTGATTTTTGGCTAGGCTACGCTTAGTCGGCAGTCTTAGGACTGCTGGCTGGAGACTACCCTGCCCTGATGAGAGTCAAAGAGCTCGAAACCGGTCTGTAGGTATCTAGCGTGGCCTGGTTAAATCGAAATCAATAGGCATTCAGAAAAGAATCACTTGTATCAGTATTCGTTTATACCAGTCGATACATAGTTTTCGGGTGAATGTAATTCAATGTTCTGCGTGGCCTTAACCAGGAAAGTAGTTGTTTTTCTCCCAAAATCTACCATTGTTGTTCATTTCATGAACATTGTGTGGAAATAACTTTGATCTTTTTGTATTTATTTAACATTTCATTGCACTTTTAACATTGTGGCTATATCGTAGTTGATATATTAAGATTGTCATATGAAAGACGCCTGATGAGCTGTAACTCTGACATTTTTCATGCGATTTCCCAAAATAACAATAAAAATTATAATGATAAATAAGTATGACTTACTGACGACTTTGAAGAATAAAAACAAAATCATTGATTAAAGATATGAATTGATTTCTTCATTTCATGACGAACTCGAACGATAATCAATATTTAATTTCCAAAAAAATAAGAAAGAAAAAGAATTATCGAAGCATTATGCTGATATGTTCAACCTATGGTTAATTGGTATACTTACGTAGCTAATTTTAGAAATTAATCCGAGAACAGTGAAAATTCGGAAGAATTTCAGTACACAAAATATATTCAGACATCCAATGCTCCTTGCTCTAAACAGTTCATTTTCTGGTCCTCCTCTCAAATAGTAAATCAAATATCTGGGTATAGACGAAAAAACATCTCCTATGAAATAAGGACTGAATATGTAATTCCTGAAAGAAAATATAACATAAACACAGTAAAAAGAATGCCCGACGAGAAGAAAAACTCATCCAAATGGGAGAGTGGACTGATGATGAATTATTGGCATTCATTGATGAATTTCAGAGCTCATTTCAAATTTGATGGTGACGTCACTTTTTATGCTGTTTCGTTATTGGTCAGATTATCTTCCATTTCTACTCATGAAGCAAGGTTGTCAAGTCACCAATTATAATCAAGTTATCAAGAAGATATTTAAGTCCTGTCGTTGAATAACACATAATAGGAGGATCTCATGACATGATAATTCATTCTTGACTTTTTAGAGCAACCAGCATGTCCAAATATTTCTTATACTCCATACTTCCAGCTCGTTTCCTCCACTAATCAAGGAAGATGAAACACTAGCCAAAACTGTCCAGGAGAAAAGCCAACATTTTCGCGCATTTATCTGCTGAAAATTCCACTCTAGATTCATCGGGAAAACAACCTCCAAACATAACGCCAATTGACATTCATATGCCAGGGATCACCTTTCGCCAACGTACTATAAGGAAGATTTTATTGGGTCTCAACCCCAACAAAGCTTGTGGCTCCGACGGAATCCCACCGATTGTCCTCAAGAAATGTGCTCCCGAACTTACACCTGTTCTCTGCAAGTTGTTCAACTACTCTTACACATTGGGGATATTCCCGTCCAACTGGAAAATTGCGAGAGTACAACCAGTTCCTAAAAAAGGCAAGAAGACCCTACCTAGCAACTACAGACCGATCGCACTGCTATCTATTATTTCAAAGATCATGGAGAGAGCTATCAACATCGAGCTCATAAAATACCTGGAACATTCAGGTATTATCATATGGCTTGCCTCCCCAGCTATGTTCTCTGCTAGCTAGTTTTCTCTAAAACAGGTCTCTCCATGTAGTGATCGACAAAGTTTTATCTAACTCTCTCATCATAAAAGCTGGTGTTCCGCAAGGATCAATTCTAGCACCAACACTATTTCTACTCCATATCAACGATTTGTTGGAAGCAACTTCATGTCCAGTATCCAATAACTTGGTAGATTTCGATGGCAAACAAAACACAAGCATGCCTTTCCTCTAAAAAAGCCGATCTCACTGTGCCCAACATGAGCTTGTCAGGAGTAACCATACCTTTGAAGACATCCATTTCGATGCTTGGTATTACTATCAATATAACCTTTCTTGGGAAAATCACGTGAGATCAATTGCTAAAAGTGCATCCAACAAACTTGGTTTTCGGTTTCGGGCTAGGAGCTATTTCACTTCCAGTCAGCTGCTTATGATCTATAAGGCACAGATCCGACCTGTCCTGGAATACTGTTCCCATATTTGGACTGCAGCACCCAAACATACCCTGAAACTGTTGGGTTCTGTCCAAAAAGGGCAATTCATCTCGTGGGTGATGCCTCGCTCACAAACTCACTCACTTATCTGGAACACCGTAGAAAATTTGGCGATCTGGCTCTATTTTATAGATAATTTCATGGACGATGATCTTTTGAAATATCAACAATTGTCCCTCCCTTGACAGTCTCCGCGAGATTGAGCCGTCGAGTTGAGGCTTCGCACTTCTTCGTGGTCTCTTTGGAAACCTGCAGAACATCTCTTTCCAAAGACTCGTTCATCCAACGAACAGCGAGGCTCTGGAACACATTGCTGAGGGAGGTGTTTCTGGAGGCATATAACCTCCAGAAAATTAAGAAGAACACCAATTCCTACCTTATTTTCCTTGGTTCTCACGATGTTCTCTGAATATCACAGGATATCCCTTTTCGTGGGAACCAGAACATAAAAAAAACAATAACAAATTACCATATGAAAGTGCTGGCCTCTGTTTGTTGACTCGAGTTGTTGTTTCGTCTTCTACCAAATGTTGCCTATCTTTAGCACTTTTTTTACCGTACTGATGAAGGTCGAAAGCCCGAAACACGTGTCTGCGCTTAACTCTTTCTGTTTTTGACGCCAATAATCTCTGTCTAGTTGTCGATAAATATATCAATATATCGATATATCGATAGCTGTCGATATATCGATAGCTATCGAGAATATCGATAGCTATCGAGAATAACTCATTTGTGTGACCCCATAGACGCTTTCGTAATATCCAGACAATAATTGGAGTTATAACATCTACAATTTTTTTTGGTTGGTCTGTTCAGGCATTAATTGCGTAGGTAGATAGACTATATAACCTTAGGTTTGGAGGAAAAATAAAATTATTTTGAGTTAGACTTGGAAATAAATCGATATATATCGATATATGGTGAAAAGATTAGTTTTCGTCTTATGGCATCAGCGGTATGGAATCAGCGGTCTGGAATCTAGATAATGGGTTATGTCGGTGTTTCAGAAAGGGTTTACTTTACAGGATGACACTGCATGAATCTACTTCTATGCCACAATGCTTGGTCTGATGAACCGTACTAAGGTATATTCCACAAAATCGCTGCCAGGTATGTGGCTGAACATTTTGTTACCTAGTTATTTTCGATGGCCGCATTTCTATCTTCTTGTGTTTTGCATCAGTATACCCCATGCAGAAAGTTAATACAATATTGGCCCAAGAGACAACGTCCAAAGCTAGCGAAAATTCTCGGTAGTAAGTAAAAAGGTTATTCATGCTTTGTCCTCTTCCAATACTGCTGTCTATAGGTTTCACTACCAACATCATTATGTAAATAAAAAGTATGCACACGTCGTACCATTTCCTGAAATGTACAAAAAACAGAATAGAGTTTTTCTGCAATCGATACAAAAGTCGTCCATTTAATACCAAAATTAGCTCTTCAATTGACGTTTCAATTATTGACACAAACATAGGTATGATACTAAACAGCACGTTTAGTTCCCAGGAGCTATATATATTTGATTATCGAGCCAAACACAGTGGAGTATGGAGAGAAATAAATAATAGCTATTATTATTGTTGATATGCTCACTAACCTAAAATTTTCCACGTCTTTTTCCTATAGGTACCTGGCACTGGAGCTGTATTTTCTATTAGAGCACCTGGTCCATACACAAATTTGTCACTCTGTGGTTGTATTTTTATTGAAACTACAATTCGATTTTCCTTGGAAATTGAATAAACCTGAACTGTTATTGCAAGTAGAATATTCTCACCACACGGATTATTTATTTGTTGCATTGCATAAATATGACACGACATTGGTGGTTACTTCACATATTAATCTGAGTTAATTGTTTCGGTTGCAGAAAGAATAGCATGTTTCATTCGGATCAAAAGTGACTTTGTTTGACTCGCAAATTTTGCTTTCGCTCGGCTACGCTTGTCTAACAAAGTGTCACTTTCGATTATTGGTACAAAGTAAACCTTGCACAAAATCTGTCAATATACCGGCCAGTCTAATATAGGTCCATATTTCAGTTTCACAGAACTATGATTGTAATATATTCCTAATGATGGAAAAAATGGTAATTTACCACAGGGTGAACACGATAGAACTTTTGGAATTGGTCGCTCTGCAACTTTTTGAATTCCTTTCTGATTCTGGTGAAATGCTAATAGCTTGATCATTGTGTAGGAAGAAACAAAACTAACTATTTCACGTTCAACTTCTTAACGCCCTGTGGCAAAAGTAAGTCTAAACCTAATTTCATTTCGTTTTGGACTGAAGTATGATCCCTTTCTGAGCATAATGGTTTTTGATTTATGTCAATATCTTCTTTGTAAGAGAAGTATGGATTTTTCAAATTTGCAGAACACATATACAGGGTGAGTCATGACTAACCAGCCATAGCCTAATTACAGAAAGAGGAAGTCAAGGTGAGTTGATATATATGTAAAAAAATATATTTTGCCTATTCGTAACAGAAATACAGGACATTATTTGAATTCGGGGCCAAACTTTTATGAATGATATTCCAGGAACGTCTTCATGCTATCGTCTGAAATTCACCAGCAACTTACCTCTACCGACACTCTAAAGGTCTGCTATGAAAAAAAATCCAGAGCCACACTTATGGGAATCCATTTTCTTTATATATGTCATAATTATTTTTAATTTTTCTTTAAGGCTCTCTGTTAGACAACATTCTTTAAACGCAGTGGCATTTTGGGGCAAATCTTCTGATTTGTCCTCACTACACGTATATTGAAATAATATCCATATAGAATCGAGGAGGGAAGATCCCAAAAAATCTGGAATAATGAATTCTTGCATATTTGACATTTCCTTAATAATTGAATGGCACGAAATAGTGAATATAGAGAAATATCTCGATAAATATAGTGGTTTGTTCACAAATTTCATTATAAAATTCGTGTTCTTGAGACAAAATAAGTAATGCCCAAAAAAATTTTTCAAAATAAAAATGAACCTGTGTCAGGAGAATTCTGAGAAATGGCTGAATGGCTTGAAGGGAATTTATTGAGTACCTTTTGAAAGCACTGTATACGGTGAAGGTGCACTCATCATGCGATGGTTTTTTTTTTTCGAAAAATTGTTTTGGTATTTTAGTACGTATTTTCGTCTGAAAAATACGAATTTCACAATGAAAATGTGACCAAATCGAGATATTTTATGAAAAAGTACGAAACCTCACCTCCTTTTGCAACCCATCTAGGACATTCATTTACAACTACTTGTAGTACTTGTCCTTCTTTTTCCATCAGTGGACACTTTATGTACTCACGTTGTACCTCAATAACACATTTTATTTACTAAAATCCACAAGAAAGTATGGTTTATTTGAAATTTCTTCATATTTAGTAATGTGAACAGTAGTTTGGTTTCTCGAGTTTCTTGCAATTTTTTTGACATTTGACCTTTATTTGACATCTTGTATTTGTATTTTGAGTTCTGTGATTTGTATTTAAATTCGATAATTGAATGGCCATCAGCTGGTGTGATGTTTACCTCACTGATGAAATATGAAAAAATTACAAATAAACCATACTTCTTGTTGAATTTAGGGAATCCAAATTACACCAAAAAAAATCAGGGGGTGTTTGCTTGTGATAATCTAGCACTAGCAAATGAAGTTAATGCAAACATGTGTCTTAAGTTGCTCCATTTTTGAGATACAGGATGTTGAAGTTGGAAGTATTAATTGTTTTTATTTCTAACCCTCCTGTATAAGCTTTCATATGGTGCCAAAATTCAGTATGAATAGAGACTGAGAAAGCTCCAAAATTTCAAAATGATTCTGATTGGGGTTATTGAGTAATCTCAATGGAATTCTTGACAACACCTACATTAAAATTTGGAGTCTGATCGAATTTTTATTGTTTCCTCAAAAACTAAGCTAGATACGAAAATCACACAGAGGACAAAGAAGTTGTTATTTCAATAGTTCAATCTAATAGGAATATGACACTCAGAAAAACCAGTGGTGTACAATGACATCGATAAATTTACCCACTGTGACGTCACTGAAAATATTATTTCGAATATAATTGCACTAGAAGAAGCTCCATATTACTATTAACAAGATCACAACGTTTTATTGAAATTGATGAAAAGCCAATTGAGAAATGAATTGAAAAAAGATTAGGACACATATTTAATAGTTATTTTTGTATCTAGAGCGCGAAATGCTACTTTGGTGACCGAGATATGATTTTTTAACGAGGCGTAGCCGAGTTAAAAATATAGTCGAGATGACCAAAGTATTTCGCGCTCGAGTTGCAAACAACGTTTTTTCTACAAACGTCAAAAAATATAGTTCTGAAGTAAAAATATGCTCAGCTTGATATCGAAAATAGTGTTGAACTGGCTTGAAAAGGCCTCCCCCTATCCTCCCTAGGTACGCACGATGTTCCATGAACATAATAGGAATTTCCTTTCGTGCGCTCCAAGGAATAAAACAAAGTTATTGTTGAACATTCAGAAATAAATGATTTCGTGGATGTTTGTTCGATTGAGGACCATGAAGTTGAAATATAAATATCTCATATATTTTACATAACAATGCGCGAAGTAGGTACTTCGCACACTGTTTTACTTCGCGCACTGCTTCGCACATTGTGTCGTGGTAACGTAGGAAACAGAAAAAAGTGTCACTTCGCAATTCGTCATCAATGCGCGAACCTTGTCATTTTTTGACGTTTGTAGAAAAATGAACTTTATTACCTAAAATATCTCAAGGACACCCCTTGAATCATTTTTCGGTGCTATTTAGATACACGCTGTATGAAGTGTCTAATGAGGGAGAAAGAAGGACAAATAGTTGTAAATGGATTTCCATCAAGGTGGGTGGCAGAACATGGTGTTTCGCAGTTTTTCGTTGAATATCTCAATAGATAGCGGTTTGTTCATATTTTCATTGTGAAATTAGTTAGCGGAAAAATGAGCTGAAATTTCGATTTTCTTTTCTTGGGAAACAGATGACTCAAACTCACCTGAATTTACTAAGAGGATGTATGATGTAGCGGTGCTTAGAACATAGCTGCTTGATTTTCTCTGCCCTCACCCCATTTGCGCTCCTGAAGTAAATGGAGCATAAGGGATTTTCAGGTGAAATCACCACCAAAGACAGCCATTTCGATGACAATACCGAAAAACCTCTTGATCTCGTTTCATCTTCGAACTTTTTGGATCCGATGGTACACAGATGAGGCATGATCGTTAATTTCTACGTCTTCATTCTTATGGTAGCGATATGAATGAAAGTGCCAGATGAGACAGTGGTGAAACAAGTCGTTTGTTGTATTGAAGTCGTCATGAAAACACAAAAATATTTACTGAACCAACCACAGCTGCCTTCTTCAGTTCACATTTTACACTTCAAAGTGAAAGAAATAGCAAATATTGAGGCTTTTTCTGGTGACCATTGGGTGCCATTGGATATTGGTTATTGAAGTAGTCTCAATGATAATAATGGCGGATTCTCATTCTGATATCCGCACATTTCAAACATTTGATATTATTTGCTGATTGCTTTGGAAATTGAAAACTGATTGATATGTCAGATATGTATATTCTAGTGAACGATTTTTCTATATGAATCTTTTAGATATCTGTAACTGGAATAGTGGTATGTGCAACTATTTGAAATTCCAATCTTGTATATACCTAACCTGAAAAATGTGGTACTTGTGGTAGTTTTACATCAACGAAGATAATGGCGAATTTAGAAGTGGGATTACTTATTCAGGTCATAAATAATGAGGAGGAAAGGTGAAATTTGCAATCAATTAGGTTTTTGTTCCAGCATGGTGATGATAAAAGTGTTAGAGGTTTTTGAATTTATGTTGGAAATTACTATAATAACAAAGGAACCAATGCTTTGGACCTGGCTGAATAATCTCGATTTTCTGATAGGTAGTTCAGGGAACGAAACAGTTAATTTTTTTGTAGCAGAGAACACAATCGAAAAAAAAAGGCAATTGAGAACAGAATCAGATTTGTTGAATATTCCAAAAGGATTGTTCAAGAAGATGTATACAATGACTAGAGCTACAGCTCAATATTTGATAGAAGAAATAAGTCCTTCTTTACCAAATCCTGACCGAGAAACATTGGCAGTTCCAAAAAGTGTTTAAATCCTCGCTGCATTGCACTTTTATGCTCAAGATAGGTACCAGGAAGGTGTAAGCCAAGACTTGAACTGTCCATTGAGTCAAGCATCTGTTAGTCGGGCTATCACATTGGTGACCGATATATTGGTTGATAATTTTTCCTACAAGATTAGGTTTTCTATGACTGTTAAAGAGAAAAATGTAGAGAAAATAAGGTTCATCGATAGACCAAATGGTTTTCCAGGTGAACGTTTCATTTCAATTAAATTATCAAATAAATTTCGAAAATTTTCAGTATGTGACCGTCGAACTGTTCAACTTTTAGATTCAATAATTATGTCAAATTATCAAACTAGATGATTTTCGAAACCGAAAAAAAAATATAGTAGAATGAAACCCATTGAAAAAGAAAAACGATATAACAAAAATGAAAGGAAATATAGCTATTTATACAGTGTGTCCCAAATTTGATCCTCACCATTGGTATCTCAGTAACTATGAGAGATAGAAAAACGCTTAAATTAGCAAAGTTGTAGTAAATTTAATATTGAACGCCTACTTTCGATTCAGTGAGCAGATAAAATAAGTAACGGTCGATCTGAGGTCGGGAAATGGAAGGGGGTGAGATTTTGTGGATAAAAAACGGTTAATCTCGATTTCTGGCAAAACTACAAGTCCTATGGAAATAAATTGAGAGACAGAGTTGTAAGTAATGAAAAGATCTATTACTCTTGTGAATAAATTTTTTCACATAACTCCAAAATTTTCGGGAAAAATTCAAATACCAAGTTTGTGTTTTTTTATTTTTATCTTTAACGAAACAAACTGTATTCACGAAATTTTGTCTAAACGCATCATTTTATCTCCTATACACTGTGATTTTTTTTATTCGATCGAAGAAATCATGCAAGACCGAGACTCCATCAGCAGCCTCTAGCATCATAACAAGCCATTACAGCAATTTGGTATTTGGGCATTTTCTTCAGAATACTTTGGACTATAACATTTCAAAAATTTATCTAATTATGCTCAATGAGTGTGACAGAGAAAGAATAAGTTTCGATATTGCCCATTGAGCAAGACTGCCATTTTTGACAGGGAAAACTATGTTTTTCTAATCTTGACATTTAATTTGAATCTTTTCAAAACTGACGGAAGTTTTGATATGTCTCACTTTGAGCAAACAGATGTGTAATAATAATAATAATAATAATAATAATTTATTCGCCATTTAGGTACAGTGTGTACATATGGTAAGTCATACAATGCGTAAGTCACATGATACAATAAAACCAAATTGTAGATCATTGAGTAAAAATAACAATCGTATGAATAAATAAAATCAAAACGGATCTGACGACAGCACAACACAGGATACATATTTAAAAGTGAAACGATTAACAGTATAAATAAAATCATAGACTGAGTCCAAATGACCACGACCATATATAATTAAAATCATTGAATTGAAGTTGTATTACGGAATAGGATGACAGCACACTACAAGTAAAATAATTCACAATAATGGATCATCCAAATATTCTTGATAGGAATAGTAACATTTGTCAGTCAGCAAACATTTTATTTTGTTAAAAAATAATCTATCACATCCAGAATTTTTAATTTCCGTTGGCAGTATGTTGTAGAAACTCAGTGCTTTGTAGAGAGGAGAATTTTGGAATTTCGTGGTTTTGTGGTTTGGTATTTTTAGGTGACTACCATTGCGTGTGTTGTAAGCATGCGAAGAAGCATTGGTATCGAAGGATTTCAAGTTGCTTCTAATGCATTTCAAACATTTCAGAATATAGATAGATGGAGCAGTCAACAATTTCTCTCTTATAAATATTGGTTTGCAACTATCTCGATAGTCCATATCAAATATGAATCTTACGATACGTTTCTGCCCTATAAACACTCTACCAAAATCTTTACCACATCCCCATGACATAGTGTTGAAGGAAATGTGTGAGTATACCATTGCATAATAAATGCTTAATAAACTCTCCTTGCCTACTCATGTTTTCATTTGCTCAATTGCAACGAATGCTGAATTTAGTTTCTTGCATACATGATTGATATGTAGATCCCAGTCTAACCTCTCATCTAGAAATGTTCCCAAGAATTTTACATCTTGCGATATAACTATTTTATCAATAGCGTTTATTTCACCAGGGATATTATCTTTCCTATTATAGAATTTCATTGAAACTGACTTTGTTGTGTTTAAAGTGAGTTGATTTCTGTCACACCATGATGTGAACGAATCAATGATTTTGCCGACATTTGTTAATAGTACATCTGGATCAGGACTAGCAACTGTAATTTTTGTGTCATCAGCAAACATGGTGATGTAGCAATCAGTTACGTTTGTGTAAAGTAAAATATTATATAGCTGGTGAAGAAATGGTCAGTTACGTGATGAAAATACGGATGGACGAAAAGAATAGTACATTTTGTGCTACTTCCTTTTATTTTTCACGCCCACAATCATGACAATAAATGTTTTCGGAAAAATGCTAAACAATAGTTTCTTTTTGGGATAGTACCTTGAATCAAATAAAGGAGCCCTCAATTCCAGGAACCCATACTCTCGAATCAAGAGTGGCATATTTAAGACAAAGTGCAAAAACTTTCAAAGAAAGAATCTTGAATCTCAAATATACTCCAGGAATCTTGAATCTCAAATATACTCCAGGAATCTTGAATGAAGCTCCCAATTCAATCTTGTCAAGATTCTCGTTCTTGGGAGAAGAAAACCCTTATAACTCTCAAGCCATGATAATCTAAATAATCTGGAAGCTTCGGCTGAATATCTGAGAATTTGATGGAAAAGAATATGTTTCTTCAGTCAATAAATTTCGAGAAATCAAGTACTATAGTCCAGTCATTATATCCAAATAACGGATCTTACCCGTAAATAATTTTTTAGTGTTTTTTTTTTCATAGGTATCTCGGGGGGGTCACTGGGAGTGTAAATTCAAAATGGCGACCAAATCAAGCTTTTGCGTATGTTTTTTTGTTAAAAAACGATTTTTCTTTAATAACTCGGCCATTTTTGATTCTACAGAAAAAGTTTGGGGACAAAAATTGTAGTAAATTTGGTTCTATACAAGTTTGGTTCTCACAATTTTTCTGATAGGATCGATATTTTGTAAATTAAACCTGAGAAAAGCGACAAATTCGAAATATTTTCATTATCTCGTTTATTTTCAACTTTACGGCATAAATGAACCGAAACAAACTTGTAGAGAATCAAATTTTGGACAAATTTTGTCTCCACCTGTTTGTCCGAAAATCGATATTTCCGGAATTAAACCTAAAAAAAAAACGACTCATTCGAAAGATCATCATTATCTCGTTTATTCTCAACTTTACACCATAAATGAGAAGGAACAAACTTGTAGAGAATCAAATTTTGGACAAATTTGGTCTCTACCTGTTTTTCCGAAAATCGATATTTTCGGAATTTAACCAGAAAATATGAACCCATTCAGAAATATTCGCAATATCTCCTCTTTCTCAATTCTGCAGGTGCAACGAATAGGGCGAAAGTTGTATACAATAAAATGAAAATGATAATGAAAATATTTCGAATTTGTCGCTTTTTTCAGGTTTAATTTACAAAATATCGATCCTATCAGAAAAATTGTGAGGACCAAACTTGTAGAGAACCAAATTTACTACAATTTTTGTCCCCAAACTTTGTCTGTAGAATCAAAAATGGACGAGTTATTCAAGAAAAACCGATTTTTAACAAAAAAAAAACAGTTTTCGCAAAAGCTTGATTTGGTCGCCATTTTGAATTTACACTCCCAGTGACCCCCCCGAGACACCTATGCAAAAAAAACACTAAAAAATTATTCACGGGTCAAAGTCTATAATGACTGGATTATACTTAGGACAAGTAAATTGTATTAGATACCTGAAGATTCTATTCCTGAGACAAATACTTATTTCTTTCCAGCAAGATATTCTGACAATCTTATAGCAAAAGAATTTTGATGGTTTTTGAAGTGAACATTCACTTGGCCATATTCAAGATCACTATTTCTTTTAATGAAGTGTGTATTTCTCTGAATGAAAGGGTCCTTTTTTTCAGGGTGGGTGCTGAAGTGCTAGTTCATCCGGGCGATAAAGTTTTATTTCACACACGGTCTTGCATAAATATCTATACGTTCAACACAATTCTTACACCATTTATTCATTCATTTTTAGAATACATATATCAAAATCCTATCAACAAGTAACATTAACTTCACTAAATTCATCGAAACATATAAAGGGCATCAATTTGAAAACTTTCCACCCTTGATATACAGGGTGTTTCACAGGTAAAGGGAAATATTTCAATGGTAGATAGGGGTCTCCAAGGTGGTTCTGAAAATACCATATTTGATAGGTCTTAGAGTCTTCATAACGGAGATACAGGACGATTTATTGATTTCGAATAATTATTCATTCGTCTATATGTATTGACCTACCCAGTATATTCTTCTCAAATTTGGTAAGGAGCTTATACTTGGGACGTTCAATTCATTCACCTATCGGGCGGAGTGAAAATCCAGGTTCGGCTTCAGGAAAAATTTACATTTATTCGAAATATTAAAATAACACACTGTACTTAATAATCAACACAGTACATCAAAAGAATTGTGAAGAGGAGGAAAAACTGAATTGGGTTTGATGCTTTTTGTTTTCCCGCCACCAATTCTCATCGTAACAATCATAAACAGAAAGTTGAAAGTATGTCAGTTTGAAGAGTATTGAAATTATGAAACCAGTGTCAATTATGATTATTCGATATATTTTGGTCAAAAAATCGCTCTAAAGAACTTACTAAGTCTCACAGTTTTTATAACGGAGATACAGGGTGAATTATCGGTTTTGGATAATTATTCACTCGTCCATAAGTATAAAACTACCCAGTAACATTATCTCAAATTTGGTATGTAGCTTACTTGGGACGATGGATTCATTAACCTATCAGGCGGAATGAAAATAATACCAAATAATTATAATTCGGTAATTCACCCTGTATCTCTATTATAAAGATTATGAGACTTTTCCTGAAGCTGAACCTGTATTTCCATACTTATGGACGAGTGAATAATTATTCGAAACCGATAATTCACCCTGTATCTCTGTTATAAAGACTGTGAGACTTAGTAAGTTATTTCGAACGATGATTTAACAAGAATATATCAAATAATCATAATTGGAAGTGGTTTCATAATTTTGATACTCTTGAAATTGACATACTTTTAGCTTCCTGTTTATGATTATTGTTACGAGATTGTTATGAGAATTGGTGGCGGGAAAACAAAAAGCATCAAATCCAGTTCAGTTTTTCATCTTCTTCACGATTCCTTTGATGAACTCTGTCAATTATTACTTACAGTGTGTTATTTTAATATTTCGAATGAATGTAAATTTTTCCTGAAGCCGAACCTGGATTTTCACTTCGCCCGATAGGTGAATGAATTCAACGTCCCAAGTATACGCTCCATACCAAATTTTAGAAAAATATACTGGGTAGTTCAATACTTATAGACGAATGAAGAATTATTCGAAATCGATAAATCGCCCTGTATCTCCGTTATGAAGACTCTAAGACCTATCAAATATGGCATTTTCAGAACTACCTTGGTGACCCCTATCTACCATTGAAATATTTCCCTTTACCTGTGAAACACCCTGTATAAAAATTTGAAAATCCGTCAATTCCATGTTCAACAGGGACACTCTCAATGAATATATCTAGTACTCGTGGTCTGGTTAAACCCCCTAGGAAGGGTAGATTTCACTCTCAGAATCTCAAATGAACTGGGGTAGAATGCAAAGATGCATGGTTTTTATTTGAACAAAATATATTATATTGAGTATCCTTTCAGGAGAAATACATATGGCAGAAACAGCAATTAGCTCTCCAAATAATGAGCGAAATTGAAGCAGCAAGCTGGAGTATGTCAATCGACGAATATTTTCAGGAAAAATAGTATCACGAGTTGTATTCGTATGAGTATTCCATGATTGAGACAATAAACAAGCGGCTCACGAGAGTTGCGCACACTGCATCCATCATTCTGGCTTCCAACATAATTGAAGTTTTAAACGTCCAAAATTATATCGCTGAAAAACGAGGAAGGTTGATGACGTGTGGGTCAATTCGGCTTCTCTATTGGTAGAGCAAGTCCGATAACATTTAGTGAACAAAAAAATATCGCTGTTATGCAGATGAAACCGTGAAAATGGCCGATTCTGATTGATTCTAGAGACCAAGAGTGGAAAAGTCATCAGAAAGCAATCTGATAGTAAAATTTCGGTGGTAGTTCACAAATAGCTTTCCTCTTTGCTACTTCTGCTTCGATAAAGTTAATCTTTTCAGCAAGAAACGGGTCAGGAAATTTTGCAGGAGGATCTGTTACATTTCCACCAGGATGGTGCTCCATCTAATTATTTTCTTCCTGCCCGATAGACAAGAAAGTGATCCCATATGTTCCATTTCTGAAGTTTGTTTCATGCAAATTGAAAGTTTATTTTTCGTAAGTTTAAAATACCTAACAAATACAAATAAAATTCAGGAAGAACTAGACCAGGCTTATTTGTCATTCAAGCGTTGGAACGAAAACAACTTATATTCTAACAAATTCTACTGAAAAGAGGCTCAAAACTATCATTTTCATTGAATTTATATAACCTGAAAACCATTATTTTCAGTGCAGGCAAGTTGTAATCACTACTGTAAGTTTAGAGCGATATTACATGTAAGTTGCTCATCAAAAAATAATAAATTAGGATACCGTAAAAACAGAATTCAACCAACGCCCTTTCCTCCTTTCAATTCAAGATTCTGAGGGGACACATCAACCCCACTAGGAGGTTGAACCACGAGTGCTAAGAGTGTTAATAAAATTGAGAGTGTATCTTTTGAAAAAAAAAATTGACACGTTCCAATTTTTTGTATCATTCACTGGAAGAAAATATTGAAGGTGGGAGAGTTTAGAAATTGACATCATGTAAGTATATGCCTACCTATTATAACAAATGAAAAATACATTACATTAATTTAACCTAATATTATTTCTTCATATAGGTACTCGGGACAATGTTCATCGGGTTACCTGGAACAATAATTTTCTTGATTACGCACCATATATCATACTAGAGTGCCTCAAACATCTCATTTTACGCTCTTTGAAGAGTAAGGACACGCTTGTCATGTTGTTAAACATTTGAACAAAGAAGATGAGAGCATTTTTTTGTGTGGAATGTCCTTTTCCTTTACCCCTTTCATTGTGAACGAGTGCAGAAATGATATTTTAAACCGTAACAGTGGCGTAACACCAAAGACACATAATACTCATTTCGTAGTTAGATTATAATGTCATTGAATATATTTCCATTTAATGAATATTGGATCACTTGAGATGTCTTCTGATGGTCATTGGGCAATTCAAATGAATGATAACCATCATTCTTAGAACTTTTGCAATTCGTTACCGAACAAGAAATATTCGAAATCATTTTCGTGGGGACGCCTATTTATATTTGAGAACTGACGTTTTAAATCTGAGAATGATGACAATTCGGAAATACAGTGGTGATAAGCTGTTCCTTACTTTTTAGAGGGCGTGAAATGAGATATTCGAGGCACCCTATAATGTACAGGGTATGTCACGACGAGCTTACACTATCCTTATACCAAGAATTAATCGGGAGAAATCCATGAAAATGTGCATGCTTATATTTTAGAATCCTCTCTCTTCATTTAAAATATTTTCGACGATGCAGTATTGCCGTTTCTACTAGAAAGTAGTAGCAACATTACTATTTCAAACGGAACACCCTGTATCTTATCGCATTCTTAGGTTTTCCCTGAAGAGCTGATTTCCTCGATGCATCACACTTGTGGGGTCTATTGAAAATGATTACAGAGATATAGGGTGTTCAGAATAGAGATTTTCCAACTTTTTTGGGTCGAAACTATTTATTTTTGGTCAAAACGACTCACATTATATGTCCCTATATCAACTTTTGATTCACTATTTACTGATATTTGATCGAAAAAGATACAAGGTGGTTCAAGATTCAGAATGCTGATCTGAATTTTTGTTTTCATACAATACAGGGTGGGCCACCAGTAACGCCTCGGTCTCTAGAAGGCTAACCACTTATCTTCTTGGAATTCTTCCTCTCTAGGAAGTTGCATGTCAACATAGGCTACCATTTAAAATTATTTCGAAACATACAGGGTGTCCCCAAAAACCATAAAACACTGAAGTTAAACTTTTTTCTATCGAACACCCTATATATTATTTCATTTTGAGATTCTCCCTGATGAGCTGATTTCAACGACCCATCATACTTGGGGTCTAGCAGTTATAATTACTGAAATATAGGGTGTGAAAAATCGAGATTTTCCAAGTTCAAGAATTTTTTGTGTCGAAACTATTCATAATTGGTCAAAACGGCTTACATGCCCCTATATCAACTTTTGATTAACTATCTACTGATATTTAATTGGGACATATACCGGGTGATCAAGATTCTGAATTCTGCACCACCCTGTATTTGTTTCAATTAAATGTCAGTAGATAGTTGATCAAAAGTTGAGATAGGGACATATGAGCCGTTTTGACCAATTATGAATGGTTTAGACACAAAAAATTCTTGAGGCGAAAAGATAGGCTACAGAAATATACAGGGTGCCATTAAAAAAAAAAGTTGGGTCTACTTCCAATCAAACAGGTAGTTGAAGAAAATTGTCATTGGGTTCAAGGGAAGCGCCATCATCGATAATATAACCCTTGTGAATTTAAAATTTTTATCTCTTCAAATAAGAAAACTACAGGCTGTTACATGTCTCCTGTGTCACCCGGTATAAATATATGGATTTTGTTGAAATATTAGTTGAGACTGAAACGGTCTGTATTTTCTTTCGATTTTTTGCGCAGGTTGGTCCTTTGCTCTACCGTAATTACGGCCCTGCTTCCAATACTTCCAATGGAGTAAATAATATTAGGAAGAGATTATTGGACATAAAGAGTTAACCTATTACCTGGTCCTGACGATGATACGTAGGAAACGGATCGAGAAGGAACTGCAACAGACTGTTTGGTGTATGTTTTCTCGAAAAGCGCCATCTTGTAGCTCTCCTCCAACTGCAATGTCTCTTTCAACCTCATTTCGGCTCTATGAATTATTGACTGATAGACAGGCCTAATAGATGATGGAAACGAATCAGTTTTTCATTATGGGTTATTCCTTGGGGCAATAAGTCTATGGGTTATTCAGTGGTTATTCATAAGGGTGATTGAATATGATATCGTTTTCTACTCGTTGCGCACTTAAAATCATTCGTTTTCACATCAAAGATTACATGGGACTGCTTTGAAACACTCATGCAACTGGGAAAGGGCAACAAAGTCACACTTATGTGGGTTCCAGGGCATGAAGGAATCAAAGGAAATGAAGCAGCTGATCGCCTTGCAAAAAAAGGTGCAGCATCTGCACTTTTTGGTCCTGAGCCTTTTTGTGGGATAAGCAAATGTCACCTAAAGGGAGAACTCAGGAAATGGGAAGAAATTGAAAAGTCCTCCTACTGGAGAGCAACTCCAGGTTAACGACAAGCGAAAAGGTTCATCAACCATACGCAGAACCGAGCCAAAGAGCTACTCAGCCTCAGCAAACCAGAGCTAATGCTTATCGCAGGCTTTCTCACAGGACACGGCCCTCTGAGGTACCACCTCAAAAAGATGGGCCTGGCGGAGATTGACACTTGCCGCTTTTGTAACAGTGCGACCGAAGCCGCGGAACACATACTTTGCTCATGTGAAGTATTAGTCCGGCAAAGGCTGAACCACCTAGAACAGGTCTATCTCACCCCTGCTGAAGTGGAAAATTCAACCGTCAGGAGAATCGTAGGCTCCATCAATAATAATAATAATAATAATAAATATACTTTATTGTCATGAAAGAATTTCTTCTTGTCAACAAAGCATGAAGTCAGTAAGGAGTATATATAAAATAAATATATCAGAAGTCTAGGGTTAGAGGACCAAAACTAGATATGGGTAATAACAATAGATCTTCTAGGTCGCAGTGATCGAGAGGTCTCCCAGCCTATACGACCCATCTACAATCTACAATCTACAATCTTGGGGTAATAAGTCTATGGGTTATTCATAAGGGTGATTGAATATGATATCGTTTTCCACTCGTCGCACTAGCTCGAAGTTTTTCGGCACAAATGATTTCCACTGGCTTTCAAACTTGCTCTATGCCCGAGTTCGAATTTTAAGAACTGTGCTTGTACGACGGTGCGATACACATAACCTCAAATATTCGAGTCACGAGTGGGAAGATGTTTGTAATTTGAATAATTATGAATGGCTCATTGAAGTTCATTACTGTTATTACAATAATTTCCGGAATCATAGATACTTCGGATACACGTGATGATGAAGACATGATGAATGAGATACAGATGTACTTCGTTACGAAACAGCGTTTACGGAAGATTCAAAATTACCTTAAAGTTAAAGAAGCTATTCAGATGTGCAGGTATTAAGCATATTCGATTGTTGATTCAGTAATGATGTGAACGACACTTCAATGCTACATCACTATTGTCGAATGATTCAATTGAACATCATTAACAATGAACATTCATACATTCATAAGCAGCTGACTGGAAGTGAATTAGCTCCTGGCCCGAAATAGAAAACCAAGTTTTTGTGATGCACTTTTGGCAATTGATCTTACGTGATTTTCACAAGAAAGGTTATTGCTGATAGTAATACCAAGCATCGAAATGGATGTCTTCAAGGGTATGGTTACTCCTGACAAGCTTATGTTGGGCACAGTGAGATGGACTTTTCTAGAGAAAATGCATGCTTGTAATTTTTTTGCATTGAAATCTACCAAGTTATTTGATCCCCATTCGAGAATTGTTGCCAAGTCCATATTTATGTTGTCAGCATTTCTCCCTCGTTTCTTTCTGATTTGCCTGGCTGGTATTGGAGCCATGGAGGAGAAGGCGGAATGGAGGTTACTATCATCCGCGAAGCTGTGTACTGGACATGAAGTTGCTTCCGAAAAATCGTTGATACGGAGTAGAAATAGTGTTGGTGCTAGAATTGATCCTTGCGGAACACCAGCAACTACAATAATTCTGAGCATTAGAGAATAAGGTCTTGGCACTCTTGGCTTTCGATTTTCAACATCAATTCAAAAGTTCGTGTCACATTTCGATTTCGGCTTTGATAATAATTTTAGGAATATCTGGTAGAAATATCAGTAGATATACACTTATGTATCTGATACTGCACCGTGTGAAGAAGATTTGAAGTGTTTATTGGACGAAATAGATGCGGAATTTTTATCCACCTTTATAACGAAAAATCACTTTCATCAGTCCAAATTGCTGATGGTTTAGCAACTCTATCATCAACGACACAAAACCCTTATAGAGATGAAATGAAAAACGTGAAGACAAGTGATGTTTTTATATCGGCATATGGGGAGTGGATATATACTATATCCATTATCTCTCCTTCGTACGTATGAATCCCCATCTACTCTTATTTTCTGAAACCTATGAGAAGTACAATTTTCTGAGTAATCAATAATTAGAAAATTATCCATTTTTATGTCTTATCCCGCTGTTGGTCATCTCTTTTTATATTCCCGCTGTCTACCCTCAAATACCATCGCACCTACCTGTTTTTCACTAAAGTTTTCTCGAAATCCTTTTTCTTCAATCTATAAACCTGAGTCACCTCTATCGCTATGATCGTCGCTGTCCTCGCCTGATCTTTTAAAACCAACGATATCTCGCCGAAATATGCGCCATCTTGCAAGTGGCATACCTGCAACATCACATCCACGTCACAACGACATATCATCGGCGTCAGTGCATCATTTCCTCGGTTAACCACAGTGGGGAAAAATACCTTCACATACATTTATGAAATTATGGTTATCATGAAAATCATATTATGATATGATAGACCATTTGAATAATTGCGCAGTGTATTTACCTCTTTTCCCGAATGCGTATACACCGCGACAGTTCCGCTGGACAGAAAATACATGGAATCCCCGTTTGTGCCGGATTGTATGATTGTGTCTCTGGCTAGGAATATTTCGGGAACCAACAGGGCTACCACATCGCTCACCTGATTGGATGGCAGGTCAGCAAATAGTGACACGTTTTCTATCAGCGATCTGCACACGTGTAGGTTTATGTCTTTGCGGAGCTTATCTGCAATGATATCAAAAATAGGGCATGAATCAGTTAACGACTATACAGTGCGACTCACTCAAGAGAGGAGCACATTATATAAAACCACAGTAGTGAGGATGAGCCGTTTCTAGAACCTCGAAGCCAGAAGGTTCCAGAAACGGCTCACGTACTCACAGTAGTATACAGGGTGTATCTAAATAACACCGAAAGAATCCAAGGGGTGATTTTGATATTTTAGGAAATAAAGTTCATGTAAACATGTGTCCTAATCTGCTTCGTTTTCGAAATACAGGGTATCAATATTTCCATAAAAAATCGTTTTGTTATTCATCAGTCAATTGTCTTCCTATCAATTGAAATAAAATGTTGTGGTTTTGTCACACCTGGAAACGAGAAGAACCTGCAAATCTGATTTCAAAATAATAATAGGAGATATAAATATTAACATCCTGGATAATAGTGACATAAGCGAGGAATATCTTAATATTCTGAGCGAATGGGGCTACATCTCGACCATTAACACGCACACTAGGATCCTAGGCAGAGCACGGTCTTGCCTGGATCACATATTCGTGAAGACAGACTCTCCTTATGAGTGGCTGAGACCATTCGTCGTCAAATCGTGCATCAGCGACCATTTTCCAGTAATCCTACAAATTAAATATATAGATGATAGAAAACAGGAACAAAAAATTCAGAACGAAAAATACAAACTGTACATTGATAAAACAAAGCTACGGGACCACCTGACAAGAGAAACATGGAACAATATATACTTAGAAGATGACGTGAACATAATGACAAACAACTTTATACAAACTCTGAAACAAAAAAGTGAACTCGCCACGCATAAAATCGCAATAAAAAGAAAAAACATCAAAAGGAAAGAATGGATCACTGACGGACTTGTGAATTCAATCAATACAAAAAATGATTTATATAGAAAACTGCAGGACGAACCGGAAAACGAAAACATTAGAATTGAATTCAAAAAGTATAGAAATAAGTTAAATCAACTAATACAAGACTCAAAGATTAAATTTCTGGAAAAAAAGGTTAATCAAAATAAAAACAATCCAAGCGGGTTATGGAAAAGTCTTAAAATTATAAACGGTAAACAAGATCACAGTGAACTAAAATCCATTACAACAGAAGACGGAAACGACCTTACAGACAAAAAAGAAATCGCGGAACACTTTGCCGATCATTACGCTACAATTGGTAAAAAACTCGCAGAAAAAATTACCCCGGCATTGTCAATGAATAAACAAACAACTCGAATAAGTAATTCAATATTCATAGAACCCGCAACAGTCAAGGAAATCAAACAAATTATTCTATCCCTCAAAACAGGTAAAGCTCCCGGACTGGATAACATAAAATCTGAGATATTAAGAGATCACTCAGATCTCATTTCAGCTCCTCTAACCTACATTATAAACAAAGCCATCGACACTGGCACATTTCCAAGTATATTAAAAAATGCATCAATAAAACCTATATACAAAGCAGGAAACAAAAAACTGGTAATAAATTACAGGCCAATTTCTTTAATAAATAGCGTGGCGAAGGTCTTTGAAAAATTTCTGAAACTACGTTTTGAAAGCTTCTTCAAGAAATACAACGTCATGTCTGAAAAACAATACGGCTTCAAGGAATCCAAATCAACTGAAGACGCAATGATGGACCTGACAGAAAAAATCTATAATGCTATGGATAAAAGTAAACCATGTCTCTGCATCTTCGTTGATTTGGCCAAGGCCTTTGACACGGTGAACCATAGAGAGCTTCTTCGAACACTTGAAGCTGTAGGCTTCCGGGGAACGTCACTCAAACTAATGGAAAGCTACCTTAGTGAAAGAAAACAGGTGGTCAACATTGATGGCACGATAAGTTCAGAAAAAACACTGGAATACGGCGTACCACAAGGTACTGTGTTGGGGCCTATACTATTCAATGTATACATCAATGAACTATTCCAAACAACAACACAAGGCAGCATCATCAGCTTCGCTGATGATACTGCGATTCTATACGAAGATTCAACCTGGCATACCCTAAAAAATAAAGTAGAAAAAGACTTTATGAATGTAATGAACTTCTTTCAAAACCGACTACTTACCATAAATTACCAGAAAACCTTTTTTATACCTTTCACTTGCTACAGCGACACTCTCCCAAACTACAGCCAACTGGAATTCAATAACGGCCTCATAAAGATCCCCTCAGCTTCCCATATTAAATACTTAGGAGTAATTATAGATTGCCACCTCAGATGGAACTACCACTCAGATTATGTATCAAAAAAACTAAAAAGCATGGCCAACAGATTTAAAGTTTACAGAGAAATATTCGACTTGAAATACATGACAATCCTATATAACTCATTAATTCAGACACACATAACATACGGTATAAAGGTCTGGGGAGGAATCGGAGACGTCTACTTAAAACCATTAGAGACATCACAAAAATGGATCTTGAAAATCATACACCGCAAAGATTATAGGTACCCAACTGAATCATTACTCACAGAAGCAAAAGCCTTAGATGCCCGACAACTGTATTACCAATCTTTAATTATCCACCATCATAAAAATAAACACAAATACGAGCACATACACCACAAACATGAAACACGCTTCAAAGCCAAAACAACAATTATACCAAGAGTCAATACTCAAAAATGTCAAAGATCATTTACCTACCTTTGTCCAGTCTTATATGCTGATATACCTGATGACTTACGGAGAATTCAATCGCTAGGCTTGTTGAAAAAAAAACTAAAAAATTGGCTGCATACTTACCCAAGAGCTGAAATACATCGAGCAATTGATAGGAAAAACTCGAAATGAGATTCACTATGCCTCTTGACTATATTAACTGTATTTTTAAACATCGATTATCATATAAATTCTTTTTTTTTTCTCTCTGATATTTACGAACGTATAATTGTCACCATGTTCATGTGTTTACCATACCTAACCACCCCACTGTAAAAACAAAATAAATAAAATATATTATAAAAAATGTAAAATGTATAATGTAAAATGAAAAATGTGAAACGTGAAATGTAAAATGTAATGTAAATGTAAAATGTTGATACCTACGCCCATGCACAAGGGAAACCTTTTTTTGGGCGCTCTGTATTTATTTACCACCATTGTTACCACATTGTTTATTTCATATTGTAATTTTGTATACGGTAAATAAATTGATTGATTGATTGATTGATTGATTGTCAATATTGATATGAAGCTTCTCCTGGTGTTATTCGATTCGAAATAATATTTCCAGTGGCGTCACAGAGGGTGAATTTATCGATATTTATAGTGAATGTCATTGTACGCTACCGGTTTTTCTGAATTTCATATTTTTATCAGATTGAACAAATGAAATAACAACTTTTTCATTCCTTATGTAGTTTTTGTATCTAGCTTAATTTTTGAGGAAACAATAAAAATTCTATTTGACTCCAAATTTTAACCCCAATTAGAATCATTTTGAAATTTTGAGGCTCTCTCAGTCTCCAACCATACTCAATTTTGGCACAATGAATGGTTATACGGGGGGTTATAAATAAAAACAATTTATACTTCCAACTTCAACATCCTGTATCTCAAAAACGGTGGAAACATGTTTATATCAACTTCATTCGCTAGAATATCACAAAGAATCACCCCTTGAATTTTTTCGGTGTTATTCAGATAAACCCTGTATATGTTCCGGCTCTGGACTATTCCAGTATATGTTTTCAAAGACAACAATTATAATAACTCATTACGTTACAATTAGGAGGTAGAAGAACCGGTAAATAATAATTTACCTCAAAATAAATCAGATCTATAGTGAATTCATCTAATAGTTTGTATTCTTGTATAGTTGTAACTCAAGAGTCTTGGAGTTTTTCTTACCAGAAAGTAAACTGTTGATCAACTCCTCTTTGAAATACCTGCTTTGGTATTTGAAAGCATAAAACTGTGAAATTCTGTGCCTCAGTTCTATAGGTAGCTGCTTCTGTATCATGTATTCGTTCAATTGGTTGATTATCTCTTGGTATTTTATGTTCATCGATCTACTGTTCAAAATAGCGACAGCCAACACAACTAAAACATGGCGAGATAATTCTGATAATTCGAAATCACACATTCTCTAGCAGCTTTTCTACGCTGCAAAACGCTCAGATATTCATATGAGAGTTATCACTGCAAATTGGGAGTAGGTATAGGTAAATACTTTCCAGTGACTCTAGGAATAGGTAGGTACCTACCAAAACTTACCCCATGTTGTAGCGATGAGAATCTTTCCAACTACATATGTGGCAATGGTTATCAGATAATCCTCAACATATTTGTTTTCTTCGAGATCGTACCGAATACCTTAAAATTAACATGGAACTTACACATATCCGGGTGACACAGGGTATGTGAAATAGTTACATAAGCAATCATTTCGAATTTGATCACATCACAATCCAATATGGCGGACTTCCGGTTCTTCTGGAAATGCCAGCATCTTTGTTTATTCAAATGGAACACCTTGTATATTTTCACATATAAATCAAGTTCAATAGCTCAGTCCGCCATATTGGATTGTGATATGAGAAAATTAAAAATTGTTGCTTATGTAACTGTACCAAATATCAGCAAAAACCAAACACGATTGCACAAGTTACATCAGGGGTGGCCCGAGACCCTGACTCTCAATTTAACGATATTTGACCTTGAGCAAGAGAACAATAATTCGCCTGCGACGCAATGTTTGTCTGTTTCGAAATCATACAGATCATCGACTCAGTCAGGGTTCCTATAAATGATCGTAGGGGTATCCTAGGTACGTCTTTTTTATGTCTCAAAGTGTTCTGTCGATACCAGGATATGATTGGGACATCCCTGGGATGTCCTGCTAAGTATTTCCAGGGTATGTCCTATTTGGTACATCCATGATATTTTCAAAATTGATATTAAACACATTATTCATTGAAGATGCATCTCGTTATTCCTCATTGAGTAAATCACAAGCAAGTGATCGTTGTTTATTTTCATTTTACTTCAATTCCGTTTACATCTTGCTGACGCTCCCCACATGACTATAAGGATACATAAACTAATCAGTAACCATAGCACCAGGACAGAGTCACAAATCAAGTCACCAATGAGTTAACAAGATTTGTGCTGTTTCATTATGTCCCTATAATACCCTCTATATAAGTATGCCTTTATTCAGATCGCTATGTGTACCTTTTTATCAATGCAAAAAGTCTATGGAACTTACAGAGGATGACCCTGGGATTCACTATTATTGTGGTATTGGTATACCCATGGAATGTCCTTGGGATGATGTAGGTAGTACCTGGTATATCCCTAGGACGTACTGAAGGGACGTCCCTGTTGGGTCCTTTCTGGAAGCGAAGGGATGTCCATAGACCGTCCCTAGTACGTCCCGTGTCCCGACAGAGGCTGCCCTAGGGATATCCTCTCACTGAATGAGTGATATCCCTGGGATGTCCATAGAATAAACCTCTCTGCTTATGTTGTTTACAGTCATTGAAGCGTCCAAATATGTTAAATTTCGATCTCTATTAGTGGAAAGCGGCAAATCAATAGAATATTTCAACGGTTATTACGATGCTACGATCATTTATAAAGACCCTGTACAATTCCAGCCACCCCACCTGGAAATATATTTCTGGATATGGAATATTTTTTGTGAGTGTTGTATCTTTTTTTTTTTCAAAGGTTGACATCTAGATATACTCACCTAGGAGGCAAGCAGAACTCCTGAACACCGCCATAATGTATTTTTTTCTGTAATTCTCTCCATAGTGTTCGCGCAGCCAATCTAGGGACTCGCCCCCGAAATGGTACTGCACCAGTCTGGGTACTGCCATTAGCAGACACGTCGACAGATGCAAAATGTACAAGCAACCCGTGATTGCTGACGTCATGAATACTGCCATGCTGGATTTGATATGGAAACTCTGCAACATCCGAAAAACTGTTATAGATGTATTTTAACATGATTATGGAACTCTAATCAGATATTCAATTTGAAAATGGTTATGTTGATTGCCAATCTGAAAGGCATTTTTTTTTAAATAGAATGTCAATTAGTCTATTTGGCGGTCATGATCAATAATAAAGTTGACTTCCGCAGTTTGAAATCTAGAAGACCTATTCGCGAGATTCACGAAGTGGGCGACATCTAGGTTACATAATACGAACTTCAAACTGGGGGAAAACAAACTGTTGTCTATGGATAAAGTGCATAGACTACATTGCATTCAGCTTACTGTAGCTGTACTAGCTGTAGTCAAACTTGTCAATAACATAAAGTGTTGGCACTGTTGGTAGTGATGATGGTTGAGTTGGTTAATTTTTTCACATTATTACATTTGTATTATTTTAATGAACAGTGAACGGGTGAAGAATTGGAGATAGTTCAAACAATTCAAACTAATTATGACGAGCAAATCAATTGACCTATAAAAGAACAGCTACAACATGTTTACAATACCCAGATTGTCCTGCTTTCCATGAACAAATACAAATCCATTGTTCTACAGGAGTTTTTCTGGACCCTCAACTTCAATTTCACTTCATGTGGGGAAGATTTCATCGCCGAAGTTTGTAGATAAAGTGCAAAAATGTGCCTTTTGTTGAAGTCTTCTGCCTCACACAAAATCACAAGATTAGCACGGAGAACTGCTTCTCCTTCCACTACTGGTCGGCTTTTTCCATCTAAATAGAGCAAAATATCTGCCAAAACAACATCTACAACAGACATTATTAGCGTTTTCGATCGAATATTGACAATTAATGTCAAGAAATTCGAAAACTTATCACTCTTATCAGTACACAGTACACAAGCTAATGGCACTAATGGGATTGAGTGAGGATTGAGTTTTGTTTTCCCCCAGTTTTGACGTGGCTTTGACATGGAACGATGAAAACCGAGCGCCACCTGGTAACATTGATTCCCGCGAATAGAACATTTCTAACATCTCCCTTATTATCATCCTTTCAGTATTCAACTGTAAAGTCAGCAAGTGTCAATTTGTCTTTTTCGAATGGTATCACATATTTTTTCGTTTTTTTTTTGTTGTATCTGAATGATACTTATTATGACAAGTTTACTTTCGGACAAAATTAAGTAGAAATAAAAAATGAATGTTCACATAGTTCATAAATTTTCGAGATGTATCATTGAAATGTGAACAAAATCATCATGTTCTGTTCTAACGGGTCATCTTCATATATTGACACACCATTCACGCCTATTATCTAACTATATCTGCCTGAGATATCTAAGTAATTCATAGTTTTTGGTGAATCCACTAAAAATGTTTGGTCTTTGCAAATGTTATACTCACATAACTGACTTTAGATATCAATTTGATGACTGTGAAAATTCTGAAGAGTTTGAGCATGCAACATATATTCAAACATCCCATGATTATTTTATTTTGCGTTCCCTCATTCCAATAGTAAGGCAGATATCTGGGCAAGGAAGATAGTATGTCTACTATGAAATAGGGGCTAGACAAGTATTTCCTGAAATAAAATACATTTGAGTAATGGTCATATTCCGAATATTCGAAGTGGTCAATACGGGTCAACTCAACCTCTTTATTGTCTTCTGTCAATTTTTGAAAAATATAGATTTTTTGGTTTAGATAATAAGGCAGTTGTTGAACGCCAGACGACAATGCTGTGATTTCTGGCATTCTACAGCTGCCTAAGATTTATATTTTTCGAAAACTGACAAAAATAACTTCGATTAAGTATATAAACTTCTCCACATTTGAAGTGAGACAAGCGAATATTTTGTTTGTTTCCGATACGTAAAACTTTGGATTGGATCAACCGATTTTTTATTTTTTTTGGGATTCGGATTGCTCAGTCTATTGGGTATAAAATGATTTTCTTACGTTTCTCCACCTTATCGGAATCATGACCTATAGGATGATATCTGAAAGTTTGATAATTTCAGAAAAGTTTGAGGTCGCCCCGCTAGTAGGGTGATTTTTAAAATTTTTTTCTGACTGCAAAAACATGAAGCCTGACGTGTTTTCTCGAAATGATTCCAGATTCATCAAGATCCATACAGGATGTTCTGAGATATGCAATTTTGAACAACATATGGCTTTTCGAATTGTAACTAAGAAATTTTCATTTCTCGCAGAAGTCTTATTCCTCTGTCGTCCATCTCTTTGACGATAATTAGGATCTCCTGTTTTATCGTGATATCGTGACAGATTGCCCTGTATATTGAAGCTCTTGATGTGTAGAAATACTGTCCAATGTCTTCAACATTCAATTCACGATCTCTGTTTCTGAGAACCATTTGTAATTGTTCATTAATTAGTCGTGGCATATTTTATTACAATAATCAGAAGTATGACAACTTCTGGTTATTTCCCAGACAACATATACGGAGGGGTTAACCAATGAATTTCAGTTATTCAAACAATTCGAAAAGCCATATGTTGTTCAAAATTGCATATCTCAAAACATCCTGTATGGATCTTGGTGAATCCGAAACCATTTCGAGACAACACATCAGGCTTCATCTTTTTGCATTCAGAAATTTTTTTAAAAAATTATCCTACTAACGGAGCGACCTCAAACTTATCAAAAATTATCACATTTTCAGATATCATCCTGTAGGTCATGATTCGGAAAAGGTGGAGAAACGTAAGAAAATTATGTTATACCCAATTGACTGAGCAATCCAAATCCAAAAAAATTAAAAATCGGTTGATCTCATCCAAAGTTACTACGGTTCGAAAACAAACAAAATATTCGCTTGTCTCACTTCAAATGTGGATCAGTTTATATTTGAAATCAGAAGAAAGAGCTTTACCGATTAGAAAAATGAATAACAAGGTGTTTCTTTAAAAAAATACCAGTTTATGTGATATTTTCAGGTTTACGATGCTTTTCAGCATTTTCTAGTAATAGTTTATCAATGCCCATCAAAAAATACTTTTTACGCTTTCGCCCATTTGATCGTTTCTGTGAGACCAATATTAACTGAGATAGCTATCGAGTAAAATATAAACATTAACCCTGTACATAAAATTTCAGATATGATAAAAAAAACAAGAAAACCATAAATCATGATGAAATTTTGCTAGTAGCCCATGAAATTTCCAAGTTTTACTCGAAAAATTATTATATGTGTGAAATCGATTAGGTACCTTCATTTCTCTTATTCCTTTTATCTATTATGAACCATGTATTTATTTGTTGTTTTTGGATACCTACATTTTATCATTCGCGTAATAAGTGAATTCGTGTTAGTATTGATTTTTTTGTCTAATCTCCTATAAAAAATATCACAAATTAGAATTCTCTAATTGATATAGGTACTTCCTTAATATGGAAAATCCACGGCCACTAGCAGAAGTTCATCATAATGTGATGTTTTAGTGTTTTATAAGTTTTTCTGGAAGCTCTATGTATGAAGTTTTATACGTCATTATGAAAGAAAAAAAATATCGAACTCAAGGAGATTATAAAAAATGTATCGGTTTGTGTCGTATCTCAAGAACCATGCCCTGAAAAATAAAATCGAGTACGCGGTTGAATTCTACGAAGGCCTGGAAGGGACACGTAAAATAAAAAAAAATCAACTCTTCAAAATTCTGAGTTATAACTCGGAATTTTAAAATTCCGACTTATATCTCGGAATTTTACAACCAAAATTCCGACTTATATCTCAGAATTTTAAAATTCCGTGTTATAACTCGGAATATTGGATGTAAAATTCCGAGTTATAACTCGGAATTTTACATCAAAATTCCGACATATCTCGGAATTTTGAAATTCCGAGTTATAAGTCGGAATTCTACACCCAATATTCCGAATTATAACACGGAATTTTAAAATTCCGAGATATAAGTTGGAATTTTGATGTAAAATTCCGAGTTATAACTCAGAATTTTGAAGAGTTTTTATTTTTTTTATTTTATGTGTCCCTTCCAGGCCTTCGTAGAATTCTGCTGGAAATGAAAAATAAATTATTCTGCGTGCATTAGTTGTTGTCCTCCCGATATCTATAATATTAGTGTTACCGACGATGTTCAAATCACCCCGTAATTGAGAAGAACGCCTGAGGAATGCCTCATCACAAGCGGCGTCGACGACTCATCGGTATTCGTAATCATCGTGTGATCGAAGATTGAAGCAGGTTTAGACATAAGCATCGTAGCATCAGAACGAATCACTTGTCGAAGTTGTATTTTTATAAACGGTCATCTTTGTACAAGCCGTCCTGAGTGAATAAAAATGTGTTTGAGTGTTGGAATTGTGTCTATCTACGATGCCTCCATTCAGAATCTTATATTAGATATTGTTAATTTTTCGATCATTTGAGGAAATAAGTCTTGAGGTTTTGCTTCTCATTAATATTTCATTCCATTTTGTGTATTCTGGCTACAGATAAGCAGTTTTAAATGATTTAGTCAAACATTTATGTTGTTTCGATAAGAAATGGTAAACGAGTCGGGATTGTTGAAGAAAATTCCAGTTTACGATCAAGAATGAATTATTTGTTTCACAATGGTCTATAAACGTGGCACTGAGCTAGGAAAGACAGATCAGATAAGAGGTTAGATAGTAATTCACAACATACATTATCTAGACTCTAGAGTATATAATCAAAAATTTTCTCTTACCTAGCTATTTTCGATGGACGCATTTCAATCACTTTATTTCTCGCATCAGTGCATCCCATGCCGAAATGCAGGAAAATATTAATCCAAGAGACGAAATCCAAACTCAGGGAAAATTCTCGGTAGTTGGCAAAAAGGTCATCCATACTTTGATGTCTCCCAATACTACCATCGATCGGTTTGACCAACAGCATCAGTATATAAATGAAGAGTATGCATACGTCATACCATCGCCTAAAGGGTACAAGGAGCATTTATCAATGATTATACAAACTATTTTTCCGTATCGTCAGTATCGTCGATTTCAACTGGAACCACGTCCACGCAAGTCTTTCCTCGACAGAAATTGCACAAAGTAGAGCATTTCAAGCCCTGCTTGTTAGCATGCGCAAAATCTTCTTGCGGCAATTGAAACACAGGAATTTCAAGTGAGTTTGTGGGGCCACAGTCCCCAGTTCGATGGGTCCTTGTCCACTCCCAACCACTTCTGCCTCAGGTGCTACGTGCGATAGCTGTGTTGTGCAGCAACTTCTATGGTTGGGGGCAGAAAACCCCGATGGACCATTGTGTTGGCAGTGCTTCTCACGAATAAATCATACCGGAGGGTGCGAAGGTCATATCAATTCGTTACCTACTCCTATAAGGGCCACCAGGCATTGTCTCTTAGCTGACTCTATTCCACAGACGGTAAATGCGTGGAGGAACATTTCAAATCCACGGCAGTGTGACAAGCTTCCTCGATTGATACTCGTAGAGAAGAACTTTTGACAACCAGCCTCAACGCTACGACGCTACCACTTTTTTGGAAGAACAAGCTGTCAACATTGGAGCCTAATCTGTTCAGCAAAACCAGTAGATCCACATTCTCTCCAATGATGACAACCGTTTCATATGATGTTTTCTACTTCAGGGCTTTCTGCACAGTGAGCATCATCTGCTGCTTGTTTGTAAATTTGTAAATTGTAATATCGCTATTTTGGAATTGGGGACGAATTCCCCAGACGTCGAAACTTGTGCTGGGATTAGTGTAGTGCAATCTCGCTGCTGTGGAATTCGATCAGGCGCTGCTTGTTTATTTTATTGAAGAGGAATGTCTGTTAGGACACTTTGATGAGTGAAGACTCCTCAAAAATAATATCGCTGCAAGAAAAGGCTACATAGCGACCTGTTTTTCAGCAGCTTTGGAGCTGTGTGCAGTCCCATCCTATAGAAACCCATATATTTACTATTTCTATATATGGCTCATCGCCTATACGATATCTCAACAAAAATGGGACCAAAATGAGAGGTACTTTTTGAATCTATAAGGACGGAATGTGAAGGATGGAAACAGCCATATTGGTTTGACAAGTTTCGAATTATTTTTTCCCTACGTCGGCATCAACGCCTATTGGCCGATTTCGTTACCTATAGAGACAGAAATTGGTCCCGCTTTGAGGACAGCTATGATTCATATATGAGTAGTAGATATATGTGGAAACCCGTCAAAAACAACTGCCACATTCCTAGCACATGGTTGAATGTATTCCTAATTCAGTTTGTTACAAGAGCCATGATCGAGTCATCCCCAAGAATATAATAATTTGTGAGATAGGTAATTGATATAATATACGTTTATGACTGTTTGATAAGTGATTTGTTTGTCCAAAGAAGTTTAGGTTAGGCCTACGTTACTTTAATATTTCAATATGAACCAAATGATGGAAACAAGCTTTCCGTTCACGGCCGTCTAACATTTTTGGAGTAAATTCGATTCAAAAAATCATTCGGCGAAAACATTCTTGGAAAGTGGGTTCAGCTCACCTGAATTTACTCATTGGATGTATGATATACGGATGCTTGGAACACAGTTGTTTCATCTTCTCAGCTCTCACTCCAGTTTCGCTCCTAAAGTAAAGCGAGCAGAGCGGATTGTCAGCTGAAATCACCACCAAGGACAACCATTTCGATTTCAACCACGAAGAATCGCTCTTCCCATTATTTAACTTCGTTGGCTCGATCGTGCACTGATGAGGCATTATTTTGAAGATATCTAATTTGTATGCGGAGGAAATGAATGATAGTGACAGGTCGAACAATGCAACAACCACGCAACATGTCCACTGTTGTGTGGTGTGGTTGTTATGGATACCGAAAATTGTGCACAAAGCCTTACATAGCTGCCTCAGCTGTCTCTTGCCTTCATCAGATTGGTATTGTTATTGATATACCAGGGGATTTCGAAATCAGTACAAAATACAATCGAACGCCTCAATTCAAAGCCTTCAGGTGATTGTTTGGATGATGAGACATAAACTCGATATGAGCACGTCTGGAGATGCATATTTTTGAAGATAATATAGGTCCCAAACTTTCCTTGAAAATCGTTTTCTGATGCATATATCGTAAAAAAACACCAGTCAGTTCTGTTGAAATTTGGCACTATTTCCTTCAATTCCCAGTCTAAATAAACAATACCATCCATCTTTTATGTAGGTATATCTAATTCCGACTACCACTGTAATGTCTGTTATATCGAAAGTACAGCGTTGCAATTGAGCTCAAATTGTTGCATTCATTTCTCTTCGAAAACTGTGATCACATCTTTCGTCAAAAAACGCATATAAACTGCTCCACATTTGAAGTGAGACAAGCAAAAACTTCTATCATTTTCGAATCGTCATAACTTTGGAGTGGATCAACCAATTTTTAATTCCTTCCAACATTAGTGTGAAAAAAAATATTTATAATGGTAAATAAAATATAATTAAATTAAAAAAAAAACATTCTGATAGCTCATTCCATTGGGTACAACGTCAGTACTTTTTTGTTATTCCACCTTTTCGACATGGAGACCTACTGAGTGATATCTGAAAATGTGATCATTTTCAAAGAGTTTGGGATCACCCCGTTTCACCGGGAATTTTTTTTATGCTTTATTGAGGGCGATAAAATGACGAACAATGAGTTTTTTCGAAATAGTTTTGAATTCAAGAGGATTCATACAGGATGTTTGAATGTATGGAATTTTTCACAACATATTGCATTCTGATATGTTCAACCACCATAAACTCAACTTCAACAGAATTTTACATTGTCATATCTTCAACGCCATTACTATACACAATGTGCTGTACATTTTCGAATATAGGGGATGTAGAAATAAATTGAAATACACTCAGTTCCAAAAAAAGTGCCGCACTTGGTATTTGACCTATCTTCTTAAAAAAAAATAGTAGGCCGATTTTTAGTTTTTTTTATTTGTTGGTAGGTAATGCATTTGTCTTTGAAAAAAAAAATGAAGAGGTGAAAATTTTTTCAAAGCCTCCTTGATGGTGGTGGAATAACTCGAACCATGATTTATTCTTAATTTTTGACTCACCCTGTGTGTTAATTGAGTAATGATATACAAAGTGCTTACACCCTATACGAAAGAGCATTTTGTTTTTTTATTCATTGATTTATCTCTAAAATTTTCCGAATAACAGCTTTTTTTGCTGAATCCTTGCAGATTATCAACTTTCTGAATTTATCGAAAAACAAATTTCTAATGAAATAAACTGATACCAATAATTTCAAAAAATATTCTTATTAAACACAAAATTAGAAATTGGGATGACTGCTTAATACCGTGTATTGCCTCCTCTAGCAACTGAAAATGATAGAAATTTGTTCTTGTCTCACTTCAAATGTGGGGCAGTTTAGTTTATTAGTTGTAACGCAACATCTGAAGTCCAAATATTTTGCAGTTCTTTACGTAGGTACTAGGTACGTGGCGAGCACAGGTTTTTTGAAAGTGCAAACTTGGGTTCACACTACCCTAACTGACACTAACAACATTTCAAAAAATCATAACTACACCACAGATTACTACACCACGCTTTTCGATTTCAAGGTCTTATTTGACTGGCGTACTACCTCTGGATCCGCCCCTGTTTACTCAAACCATTCATAATAACAACTGTTATGAGCTACTCATGACTGGAAACATGAAAACAAACAAAATGCTCGCTTTCAAAAAAAATCTGTTGTTAATAATAGCCAAGAATAATATTTTTACGTTTCAGTAAATTCGATTCCTCAGATGAGGCTTGCCCTAGACGATAGCGTATTTTTCGCGAAAACGAACTGTTTACTCGCACTCCCACGTGTCGACGGCGTCTCGCCACAGCCAATCAACAGCCACAAAATTCCCGCGTTTGCGCGGTGCCGCTACGCGCCGCTCGACTGTTATGACTAGGACTAGCTTCTAGGTTCGTTCACCGATCACCGGCTCACCGGCTGGCTAGTCGCTACGTTTGTTTTTGTTTGTGTACCCGTTCGCAAATTGCGAGTTTCGTGTGTTCCCTATTAGAACCTCAGTAGAACGTGATTATTTTCATCTTGTGACGTTACCACAGAATTATTACTATTGTCCATTGTTGTGTGTGCGGCTATTAGCTATTGTGTATTTTTTAAAACGACTGTTCATTGAAGTTCCATACAAAGTTTGGCAAATGCTTTGAAAAATACCTCGGGAAATACCTAGTACCGTAGAATGAGGATACTTGGAACTGCGGGGAAAATTGCTGAGTGCATTTTGAAACATCGTATCGTGCATAGGTCGCGTGCACGATAACCGACCCTGGAGGAAAAATATTGAAACACAACCTCACTCTTCTGTGAATTATTGAAACACAACCTCACTTTTTCATTTGTTTACAGTGGAATCAAAAGGTTGAAATAGATTTTCACAATATTTTGGCATACGAATCGTGTTCCTCGCGTTATTCATTAATGCCTTCGCATTGTGCTGTTGTACAATGCACAAAACATGCAGCAAGAGACTAGGGAATATGATTTTTCAGGTAAATAGTGATCTCACATAGTTATTATTATGAAATGTTGTCATTCCTTATTAAAATTCCTTCTGCCTTCTGCCACTTCTGCAATACAAGCTAATACTGCTAATAGATTGAAAATATCTACAACACACACGATCGTCAGCATGTCAGACCAGTCCTCCCGATTTATTTCATGAATCCAATCTTCTTGCATTATTCTAGAAATTTCAGGTATATTTCTATTAGGTAGCTCCTATTGCAGAAGGAATCCCGATGAGAAATCAGAGAAATAACCAAATTTCAAAAATGAAAACTATAATTATGTGATTGACTATAGTACTTACTTTTAAATCATAATGTACCAACCGGATTCCTTCATCTTCCGCTGCAGTTTTTGCGCATTTTACAACAGCACAATGTGATGGCATGAGCGAATTGATGAATAGCGGAAAAATACGATTCATATGCCAAAATAATTGTGGAAAACTATTTCGATCACTTGTAAACAAAAAATAAGAAAAGTGACGTTGTGTTTCAATGTTTTGCCTCCAGCGTCGGTCATCTGACAGTTCTTGCACGCAACCCATGGTTATAATACTACTCGATTAAAGATAAGTGGCGTAAATATTGTTTCAGAAATGTTGTTTATCATATTGAAACTACCAGCAGCGATATGACAGAAAAAATAGCATTACAAGCTTCAAGTCAAAAGACATGATCGACTCAATATACGTCGTTCATTCCAACTTATGTTTAGTAACCATTTTACTAGCGAAATGCCGCGATATCACTGCTCAACTTTCCACAGTGCTGCCAATATTTTTTTTTTCATTACGAAAGTCAGAGTTGTAAAAAATCGCCGAAAACTTGGAAATGATTGTGTTTACCGATGTGACCATAATAGGTACTTGATAAAACCTTTCCTCCATCCACCACCCCACAATAACCCCCTGAACTCCCCACCAACACCACCAGGGCCGGACTGGTCCGTCGGGCGATCGCCCGATGGCCTGGCTCATTTTTGGCCCGCTGGCCTGGGCCTGCCTGTTGTGGGTTAGTCATAACAGTCAAGTATTTTTTTAGGTCGAAGTAAACTTGACATTAAAATTCGATATTTGTTGCTATTAGGAAATTTAAATTTTCAGGTGAATTTGAAATCATTTTTTCCCACCTTTATGATACCTACCCGTCTTACAAACCTAACTATCAATTTGAAGGCATTTGACCTTGGAACAACAAAAAATCCGCCTGCGGCGCTTTTTTGCTTTCTGTCAGACCCGTGGCACGAATTACCCCCCTCCCCCTATGAAACAAAGCTGATGTAAACGCGCCTCTTTTATGTTCATTAGTTTTATTATATTCTGTTTATTGTTCTTGGTATCAAAGAAGTGTATTTATTCTGTTCCATCCATCTTTCATAAAAATCCGAAATATTTTTGAAAATGTGAAATTTCCAACAAAACAACTACTTGATGAAGTCTCGATATTTTTGGTGGTGAATATGCTAACATTGCATATATTAAGCAGTCGACCTTGAAATTTGAGAAAAAAAAAACGCCTGCAACACACACTTTTTGACAGGTAAATTGGCCTGCTTTGGGAAATACGCCCGGCTCGTTTTGTACCTTCAGTCCGGCCCTGAACACCACCAAAAAGTTCATGTTTGAGATTTTTTTGCTAAATGAGATGTTACTGGTCCCATATGCTGTAAGGAATCCGACGCCACGCAGGGACTACTTCCGACAGCCTGTGGGGTGAGTATTCCTTCATTCCACCAGCCAGGATGTGTGCCATATCACAAGCTGGAATTTTCTGGATTTCCGAGTGCAGCGTATGTCGTGTGCCACCTAGGGAGCCGATTATCAGGATGACCAATTCTGGGATAGAGCCTGCGGGGTTCGAAGAGGAGATCTCGAGGGAGATCTCGATATTTTGTCCGTTTCCCCTCCTCCTCCAGAAAGATGTTCGGTTCGGCTGGCGCCGAATACTCAATCACGATCATCGCTTGGGTTTGATAGTCGAGGAGGACATCAGGCTTGTTAGCCTGTATTTTCCTTGGGGCGGAGAATGAGAAGTTTCAATCGATTCGGTACCTCTTATTCTACATAACGGACTCGATATCCCAAGGAACATAGGGCAGCTATGGGGTCTATTCCGTACGGTGCCTCAAATGATAGTAAATCGGATATAGGCCGATACTGCCTGCACCGTACAAGAAGACAGAGGATGCGCATGAGTGTCTCCGACGCCCTGAGACAGGCCCTGCAATTTGTATCAAGGAACTCCATACCATTCCATACCCACCATGA